GGGGATTGCGTGCTACTGACCAGGCGAATGAAGAACTCGATACCATATACTACTTGGGTATAATCGATATCTTGACGCCTTACAGTACACTGAAGAAGTTGGAACACTTCTGGAAAGGGCTACAGAGCGATCGAGTAAGTGTCTCAGCTCTATCCAACTCACCAGGTTTTAACGCTGCCCATAATTAACAGCATAAGATTAGTCCAGTACCACCTGCGGAGTACGCGGAGCGGTTCTATGCCTTCATGAAAGCTATCATGCCCGGAGGGGGAGGAGGTGAGAAGTTCAAGGCGGAAACGTAGATGCAACTTCGCTTCTTGACATTTCGTTCGTTCATGGATACCATGGTATCATCGGAGGATCTTTTCTTATCGCATCGGACTAAGTGCATTCGGCATCGTGTATCTTAACTCATCTCCATTACAATCGGCTTCATCTATTGCTTTCGTGGGCTAATTTCTCTTGCCCCTACCACACTCCTTGAATATCATCTCGACTTCGTCCAGTATAATCCTCACGCTCCTTACAGACTCTTTCTCGTGTACTCGGTGGCTCTCCTATTATCCCTATAGATTATTTTCGTATGTTGATACAGGTGCTGATACAATGTGTACAAATCTCTGGCACGATCCTCACTCCGAATCAGGGTCCTCAGTTTGTGCCTTCCTCCTACCAGCTAATGGCTCGACAGGTGAGCACCAATGTCTCCTCTGCGTTGGGTGAATCAACTTACTTCGCCTTGTGGCACGCTTCTTTGCTGCGGCCTTCTTCTTCTCGGCCCGTTTCTCGAGGAGGTGATCTTCCTCTCCTTGCCGCTTGTGCTCTTCAAGTATCTGGGGATGAGGTTCGTTACAGGATTACCCCTAGGTAAAGAACCTAGACGCACTCTCTCGAACTCATCCAGTTCGGAATCAGGCTTGTTCGCCGATTTATTCGAGCGGGCCTACGCAATATAGGACCATAAGTGATTGCGATAGCAAATCAAGAACAGCACTCACCTTGGTGAGGATCTCTGTGAAGTACGCGAAAACAGTCTCTTCGTGGAGCTTATCTCGATAGAACTGCAGGCCCTCAATAAGTTTCTTGACAGATCGCTCCGACTTGAAGGGAAGCAGGGAGAGACAGAAGGCGATATCTCGCCATTGTCGCGGTTCTTCCGACAAGCGGAACCGCTGACACAGTTTCTCGACGATATTTTCGGCTTGTTTTTCCTGGCTCATCGTCAAGATACGTACGTCTCTAGGGACTGGCAACCTACCTTCTCAATGAAGGAGAATATGTATCTCATCGTGCTTTGGAAGACTTCCTCATCCACGGCGTGCTCACCGACCGACAAATGGCTGATAACTATAAGCAGCATCAGCTTAGAGCAAGCGTGTATAAGAAGAACTAACGTGCCATCTGGTAAGTTATTATAGATAGCGTTGTCTTTCGTCGACAACTCTGTGAAGAAGAGCCTCGCGAGATCGGCGATCCTTTGCTCTGGGTCTTCCAGGCATTTCGCCATTTCACCCAGCTGACCCTTCACTTTGATCATACCGTTCAGGATGAGATGGGTCAAGACCATCAAAGTATTCTTCTTCACAACCAGGTCTCCGTCGGACAGTCCTTTGTACAGCTCATTGGTGTTCTCGTCGATGACCGTGCTAAAGCATACGGCAACGTCTCCCAGAGCAATGACAGTATTGCTACGAATGTTCGGGTCTTTGGATGTTTCGAGTATCTTGAACAGTAACCGATGGTGTTGGTCACAGAATTGTGAGCTGACACACAAGAACTTGCTGAAAGCCAACGTCGCAGCAGCCCGCAAAGTTTGATTCTGGAGAACCAGATATGTGAGTATCTGCGGGAGGCATGAGGAAAATCGTTACCTTGAACTTATGAGGACTACCACAGATGTGCACAATCATGGGGCCATAGACAGCCAATAGTGACTTGGGCCCATATAGTAGCTCAGTCTCCCTGACAGCCGCTATCCTGTCACCTATCTCGTCCTCCGCGTTCCCTGCTACCTGGTCGAGCTCCTCGCCGCCCTTCGAAGACCGTGCGGGACTGCTAAGGCCAGCGGCGAGTTTCTCCGCTGCAAACTATCAGCTGTCAGTCCCAGGAGCATTCCCGCTGTCTCACCTGCGTGCTTCTCGTCTTTCTGTCTCTTCCACTCCCTCTCGACGAGCTCAAGGTAGACAATATGTTTGATCGCGACGTGCCCGACGACAAATAGAAGTTGGCTCAAGACGAACGCCTCTCCCACGTCTTTGGCCTCTTCACTAGCCTCATCACCGGCATTGTCATTTGGCCGGTCTTGTTCCATAGCGTCTGGATCCGCTTGACCGGGGGCCGTGCTTTTCTTTGGAGCGCCAAATGCTCTACGCGTCAAGTTCTTGACAAGATCATTGCAAAGGACGTCGGGGTGCTCGCCCAGAGCATAGATCGTATTAATCGCCTGCTCTGCGAGGCCAAACCAGTCCTTCGATCGGCATGGATATTCAACAGTCTCCTGCAGCCTGCGAAAGACCGGATGATCCATGGGCATCCTTAGCGTCTTGTCCAGAAGGGAGCCTGCAATACGGATATTATTTACGAAGAGATCATCGCCGTTATCAATATACGCACCTTTGATCTTCTTTGCGCTGCCGTTAAGCCTCTGAAGCGCGACGCAAGTGTATCTTGCCAGTGTTAAATCTGCCTGGAAATGTCTCACTCGACAAGGGGTAAAGAGGCGGCAGAGTTGAGTACGTACCTTTCCCAGGTTCCCCAGGCCTACTCTGAGCATCGTATCAACGTGGTCGGTGACCACGCTTCTTCTGGCTAGTGCCAGCATTCCCAGGATGATGATGGCTCCCCTCCTTTGCTGCTTGGGCAGAGGTCGATCGGAACCTTCCGGGAACATTTGTTACAGGCAAGTTGACAGGGACAGAAGATACTCACTGTAGACCTGCCATAATTTGGCTATGACGTCCGTATGAATCTGGTCGTCATCCATCATAGTCCGCATCATCTCTTCAAGGCTGGTTAGCTCTGCCAGGGTAGCACCGTACGTGAGCCTGCGCAGATGATTAGCCTGCTACAAGTGAGGCAATGCTGAACGCACTCAATCATGTTCTTCGCGATACGATTGACTTGTTGCTTCGGCTCCATGTCGGGCAGGGGATCGAAGTAAAGGCTCTTGTAGCATTCCAACAGCCGCGAACGCACGCCTTTCAGTTCCTTACCATCCTCGGACGTCGAACTATTGTCTTTGGACCAGATGAGGTGCAACATCTTCTTGATGCCCTCCTGGAAAACGCATCGTGAGTAACAAATAGTCCTTGCCGCCCTGCTGCTTACCTCGGCGCCGTCTAATTGGTACTCGTGCGCCACTCGGAAAAATTCGATGACTTCCAATACCTCAAGTTTGTTGGTCGAGCCGAGCAGCTTTCCGAGGATCTCCATCGCGCTTTCTAGATGCCGAATAAAGTTCAAGGCTTCGGCATAGTATTTCTTCCTCAAGCGTAGATGAAGTAGTTGACTGCTCTCCAGTGCGGCCAGAGCAGCTTGTTCGTTCGTCAGAGCGGTCATGTCCAGCTCCGATTTGCGAGGCTCTTTCTTCTTGGGTTTGCTCTTCTTTGTATCTGAGTCGTCGACGCCGTCCTCGGCCTCCCCTTCCGCCATGCTGGCATCTTCTTCGCTCTCCTCGTCTTCCTCTTCCTCCTCGTCTACATCCATGGAGTCCTCAGTGTGACCGCCGGACCTGAGAGAAACGTAAGTGAACGTTGTTGCGTGGGTGAGTATATGTAGCCTACTTTCTCCTCTTCTTCCGAGTCCCGCCATCTTTTTCTTCGTTCTTGTCACCTTCCTCATCTTCCTCAGCCTTCTGGCCCTCTTCGGTGTCCTCGGTACCTTCTCTCTCTACCACGTTCCCCATCTTGCCTTCGACTTTCTGCAGCTCCTCACAAACGGCCTTGTACCTTCCTTCCCACTCCTCCAAGCCTAGCAGTCCCCCATGCATGAGCCCATAGGGATGGGTCAATATCAGTTTAACCAGGAGAGCGATGGCGTTCTTCCTGACACCCGAGGCCTTGTCTTCCAGGGCACCCACAGCTGCACGAGTGATTGCCAGACGCTGCTTCGGAAATTTGACGGGGAGATCACAGAGCTTAGCTAGTACTGCGAAGACCTTGGTTCGCACGTAGGAGGACAGATCAAGCGTTCTGTCGAGGAGCAGATCGTACAGTCCGTGAATCTGTTTCTGAGCCTGGTTAGCGTCCGTAGAGAGATCTTCGGAAGCGGTCAGTTCCCGTATTAGGCAGCCTATAATCTCCACCATTGCCATGCGCATAGGATATGACTATGATAGATATGTGTTAGCTTAGCAATTCCGGCATATACGCATGCCCTACGTACCTCCGAGTCTAAATGTGCGAGTAGTAAGCTGATTTGCTTCAGTACAGCCCTTGGAGCTAACTCGGCAAAGCGAATCAAGAACCGCGAAAACGCTCTTGGGCCTTTCGTGTCTTGGCCACTGAAGTTCTTGGCCGCAATTTCGCGCAATATCTCATCGCCTAACTGGGCGTGGTCGAACTCCTTGGCCAAGACCGTGAGGCACTCAGCCATCGGTTCGGACAGGTGTTCGTAGTATTGTAGACATTGCATGATGCTGATCTGTGCGCCGAGGCCATGCCCATGATGCTTGACAGCCAAACAAATGACCTTGTAGACGCCTAGCCTGATAGTCTGGTCCTTCATGTAGGATTCGCTCTCCGCGATATGGTATGCAGGCCGTGTAATGCAACTACGATCCGGACTGAGCATAGGAACCACTCAAGCTGAACTGTCACGCACCCGATGAAAGTGTCCCTCTCAGCCGTCGTTGTCCATATTCGTTGCGTCTTCAGCCGTAAGACTTTGCTAAGTAGCCCAAGAGTATGCGGTATTTGATCCACCCATGTCCAGGCGGCAGTCTTCTGTTTGGCCATAGCACGCGATGTCCCCGCCTTCCCACCTCTTCCTCTACGAGCTCTCGTTGGCACCGGCGCCGGTGCATCTTCCTCGCCCTCCGTTGCCTTCACTTTCTCCGCGGCCGTCACGAACCATTGCAGCAAGAACGCGAACATCTCGAGTGGTGGCTTGTGAGCCATATATGTGTGTTGATCCTCGTGATCGACGTCGTGCAGCGTTGAATCGACTTGAGCGGCAAGACCGGAAGAGATGGAGTCGAGCAGCTTGCTCATCATCGGTCCTTGCAAGGCGTCCGCATACTTCAAGAGACTGCAGTATACGTCAAAAACTTCTCCATTACAAATAACGTCTGAAGAGTCCGCTATGGCCTCGACGGCGCCTATACGAAAGACTTAGCCTCTATAGGACGGCAGCCTGAGGCTACGCACCTTCAACCAACCCAGTCACTTCGCCAGCGTCCATCGAGCGAATATCACGTTCGTTTGGCAGAACATACGTCTCCAGGTCTTGCAGCGCCTGTAATTGGTCTTGTAAGTTGAATCCGTCAGCCATAGTGAATGCCAGACAATCGAGAGAACGCGATCCAAGTTGAAGGCGCACGACAGCGCCACTAGCGCGTCGGTGTCACGTGCCTTTTAGATTTATTATTTAAAATTTATTTATTTCTGGGTATAAATATTATAGTAAGTTAGCAAAGGAATAGTAATCAAATGGTTAGTATTATTGTTTAGTTAAGGGATATTTATGCTTTACTTAAGCATTTCAGTACGGCCGACTAGCTCAGTTGGTTTAGAGCGTGGTGCTAATATTTCGTTACGCCAAGGTCGTCGGTTCGACCCCGGCGTTGGCCATTTTTTTTAATTTCTTCAATTATGTAGGTTTAAGTTCGAAGGTCGTCGGTTCGCGTCCGACCTGAGGATACCATTCTCCTATGCTCCTCGCTCTTGATCAACTTGCCACCTGGCGCTTTTTTTTTGTGCATGCGGGTTGGTCTGCAAACGATCCCTGGCAGAATCAGACAGGTGTCCTGACGATAGAGCCTGGTCGAGTGATGGTGGGGTCCATATCGACTTACGACCGTGCTCTACTAGTCAGCTTACCCGTGCTGCCTGTAGACAGGATTGCTCGCCTATCCATAGGATATTGACGGGGGTTGTATCTAGCCTATACCCGTGCTACTTGGCGGCTTATGACCATGCGACAGGCCCTTGGTGAGGAGCTGCGGCTAGGGCGCTCTCAGGCCCCGCTAGGAGTTTGTCGTACGCCAAGGCGAGAGTAGCCCGCCTCGACGGTCAACAACGCACCACCGGATTACCGTTAAGGCTGGCAAGGCGCAATCCCGCTTGTTTAGCTCCCCCCGACGACTGAATGGCTCATAGCATCAGAGGCCAGAAAGCCGCAACTCGAATATTGCTCCTCGCCGCCGTCTTCGCGGAAGTCGTGGCACTTTACCTTTGATGCTGATGCAGTTGACCCGATAGACATGGGAGCTCCCCATCTGGTCCCGGCCGGTGACTGCGAGCGCTGGTAAGCCGTGGTAAGTACTTGTTGATGGAAGATATAGTCTCTGATGAACGTGGTATTCACACCGCTGTCCTTACTAGATGCGGCTTCAAACTAGGTCGCCGGATGCAGGGGGAAGCAAGTCCCCGTCAATCAATTGATATCGAGAAGCCCTACATGCGGAGTATATTGATTGACTGTTCTGTTCCTCCCCGGACGCGGTACCTCTGCTGTTCTACATCAACTAGCTCTAGCACGAGTACTTCCGAATCAGCCAATCATCTCACCTAACTTCAAACACGTACTACGCCTCGGTCACGATACTCGGAAATACTCGCATCACCGGTAGGTGACCCCCTTCCGGTTTTGATCGAACATCCTGATCTTTACGAATGAGCGGCCGGCGGAAAGCAGGTGAAGAACCGGCCCCTTGAGATACGGGAAGGGATAACTGGAGGTGTGTCGAACACTCCCCGTTGACATGCGGCTCTCCGTCTCCCCCGACTTGCGCTTGTTTGATGGCGATCGCAGTCAAACTACCCAGTATGTGTTTTCTCTACGTCCCGGTTGACTACTCTAGCATGAGAACGATTACTATTGCTCGGTTGATCTCATTATACGTTGACCACAAGAGGCAATTAAACAGCCTATCTTTGGACTATCCTCTGTTTCTCATATCAGACACTCCGTGTGTTCCCGCCCGGGGTTCACACATCTCATGGCGAGTAGCTGCTGAGAAATCACCGGGTGAGTGTTCCTCCCGCCACGGTTGACCTTGTGGTCCTTGACAGGACTCAACTCGCGATCCGCTCGACCGCCTCCGCCCTTCTGAATTCATCATATACTCTACTACTGGCTCAAGCGTTTGGACACAGGAATAATCACAGATACCAGCCCCTTGTCCCTGTTATACGCTCACCGGTCAAGGCAACAGGAATACTATCTGTGAACTTGTCATTCATTGGGTGTATCAGAGATGTTGCCCGCTTCCCCGAGTGAGTGCGTCTCGTGGCGTCAACTGCTGATACCCCACAGTCTCTAAGATCTTCCCAAGGCTGATGTGCGGGGTTTGACTGCTGATGCCGTCCAATTGTTTTCGTGCGATGGATAATTCTGGCCCACCGCGAATTGACCGATACGCCACATCTGTGTACCACTTCAAGTGATCAGGTACGGTCAGCATGGCTAGTTCAATGGTTAGGAGGAGACCCGCGTAAATATCCGCAATTTTTTTATGGTATGGGCGCACTAGGCTCTCTCTCCTCTAAGTCCTCTTAGACATTTAAGCTAAGTAGGTGTGGTCATGGGCTGCTGTTGCTACCCCATCGCGTATGGGGTAGCTGGTAAAGCGCCCTCAAACGCCGGTGGTCCCTATTATTATCTGCGACATGTCGCGTGCTTCATTGCGACTACCCGATATCTCTGCCTGTCAATCTCACGCAAAGCAGTGTAACCTAGACACTCCGGCCCCGAATTCCGTCCAGTGCACATACTCCTGTCCATAAGATAGTAGATTCAGAGTCCCAATTGGCAACGCATTGCATCATCGACATCGGGTCCATGATCAGTAACCGCAGACTGGGCGACTTGTATCCGACGGCTGCCTCTCGTTCCGCACATAAATTGGGCTGCATTGTACCCCAGCCGCCATTACATGTCCTTTTGTAAGGCTCATACAACAGACACATAACCCTCTATGTACTTGTATTTTGATGAACGTCAGCAAGGTCGTATCCTGGCGGTGGAGGCACCCAGCGAAATGGGACGATGGAACGGTTGCTAATCTTGAAGAAGGGGCCTGTCCGATCTTGATCTGGAGAAGCACCCCCTACCGCGGACCCGCGACTCACAGCGCTGCGCCACGCGCGATGGCAGACTGATTGACAACCTCCCGCTGACCGCAGTCTGTATCGATAGGTCGTTTCCAAAGTCGTTCTCTTGGTCTCTTGTGAGTCTTGTCCAGGTTGCCTGTTGCTTTTCCGTCCTTTTAACCCTTTCATCAACGCACATCAGGGAGACGGCCCAGGATGGCCCATATGGAAACGCCCAGTGCATCTTTTACCACTGCGCTTCAATTCCTTCCGGCGGAAAAACTTGGAAGAACCAAATTTGAGCATCCAGCCGTTAGGCGCTGTGGATCAATTTGACAGCTCGCTCGATCACGAAGAAAGGTCCGCATGGATGATCAGAACGCTTTAACGTCACGACTCTGCCCCGACGACCACTTTAATCCACCTAGTTCCCTGTTTCCAGCTTCCACCTTGCCCCCTTGAGCTGGAGACTTATAGGGAGGTCACCAGGCGTTATTGAGCGTTTGCCTTGTCCTTTCGCCCACTCCATTCCATCTTCGTAGTTCCAGTCGAGATGGCTCCATTACCCGGTGTTCCCGCCGATATCCAAGTGACGTGAGTATTCGCGTTTACTTCCTGCAGTCAGCAATGCTGAATACGCTTCCAGTGAGGGGCCCCTTGTAAGTATTACAGGTACCAGTGGGTAGTAAGATACCGACATAATCTGTCCTCAGCTCCTGGGATACCTGTTCGCGTATCTGCTACAGGGAATGCTGATGCTGCAAGTCTGTGAGTGTGGCCGTACACTTTCGCCTGAGTGTACCAAGTCCGACCGCTTCTAGTCCTGTATACGTTGAACTATCCCAATGATCGAATGTCAATAAAGGTCACAGGTGCGCGTCGGTGCGGTATCTACAGACTCGACACCCACTGACCCTCGCGCCGAACAGTGTGGTCTGTCCTAACGCTGGAGACGATAGCGACGGCCTTCGCGACCAATTCGGCATGGGATGGTCTAGTGAAGGGCTGGGGAGACTTGGACACCCTCCTCCATCCATCGTGGTCCTTCTCAATCTCGCCTGCAATCTGCGGCTTCAGTGAGTGCTCGTCTGGTTCACCATCTCGTCCGAAAGCTGCAACTGACATGATCTCGTACCACAGTCGCCGGCGCAGTGCAGATTTTCTTCTCGACGCGGATGTCGGTCTTCTCGAAGTCGCGCATCCTGCCTGGCTTGACGAGTCTAGTACGCTAATTATCTTCGCAGACCCGCGATGGATAACTCAATTTACGCTGTAGATCGCCATTACAGCTTTCGTGATGTCGTTGATCACTACAATCAAGGTATGGATGGGTACACTACCCACAAATTATTACGTCGGCTTGGACTTACACTGCGTCAGCTATTCCTTATGCCAGACCTGACTCACCTCAGTGAGGTCACTGTCGTTGCATCGGTAAGCACTCTCAATACTAGTATTTTCGTGCCCTCTCACCATCCGTCGTAGATATGGCTGGCAGGAAATGCGTTTTGCGACTTATTGATCGCTGTCAGCATGGTGATCCTGGTACGTCGGATGTTTTCTAGCCCGCCTGGATTCTTTTTCACTCATTCACTTTACAATAGCTGAGACGAGCGAGCAAGCAGTCGAGCTTCAAGCACACCAGCTCGCTCCTGTACCGGTTGATGAGGCTGTCCATCGAGAGTGGATCGACGACGGCTCTGACCTCCATTCTCCATCTCATCCTGTTCCTTTCGGTTCATAACAACGGTCATTTCCTTTTGTAAGTTTTCCCCTATCGTGTTGCCATTTTCCGCGATTCTTATTTGTCGCCACCACAGGATGTACATGACTGCAAAATTGTAAGACCTCTTCTCCTCGCCTTGTCCTCTCTTCAGCGCCTCCTCACCTTGCATGTTCGGTGCCCTCGCAGATACTCCAACACGCTCGTTGCCAACCTGAACGCACGCCGCCAGATCCGCTCGAACCATGGCACTGGCTGGAACGAAGAGGCGAGCTCCTCCGGCGCCGCGTCCAGACACAACCTATCCCAGATGGGTCGCCACACGAACACAGTGCCCGCTGTCTACATCTCGACAACCCAGCAGGTGGACTTCGACAACGGGGTCACTACCACGGTGCGTCTTCCCTGCCCCTCCCTCTCTTATCGCGCGGTACACTGACTGGATCGTTCCTTGCAGGAGCTGCAAAAGATCTCGCAGACCAAGGATTTATGATGACTTGGCTGGTTTCCCTCGGGTGCTCTGTACATATACATACGGCTATTGCTAGGGTAATGTTCGGCGCGATGGGTTCGCTGGCAGGTGGTGGTCTATCGGATGTTTATACCTTACGATGTACATTGTGCTTGTGCTTGTGTTTATGATAATTGGAGGACATGACTTGGATTGCTTGCTCTCGCTCAAAATGAAAGATGTAGAACCCTGAACACGGGTTTTGGAACCTCGGGAGCCGCTCCACCTCTTCGCTTCGGTTTCTACTTCGCCTTGTTCCTCGGACAAACAACCCTGTCGCTAAAGTACTGCGCGTCCGTCCCTTGGAGCCCGTTGCCCTTCCAAAGAGAAGGTTCACTGAGGGTACTGGTGGCGACATACGTTTTGCTATGTAAGCACATGGCCCCCGATCGGCTCTCTTGCAGAGTGAAGCGGTTCAAACATACTATTGCAAATGGAGTCCAGCATCCCGGTGCCTGCCTGGGGGGGTCTTCCTGGGTCGTCGCGCTGTCAGTGCGTCCCTTCGCACGAGCCCAGACCTTGGTGGCTGGCTGCCACACAAGCCGCTGAGGCCGTCCAGCCGTGCAGGAACAAAAGAGGCTGCAACATGATTGTTCCAGTCGTACTAAGTAGGTGGTAGTCCGCGGCGTTGCTTTCCTCCATCCCCCACCGCGTCGCTTGCGCTCAGATTCTCCAGGACCCTCAAGAGCGGAAATCTGGCCGCGGAAGATCTGCGAAGATTGGTTGGAAGTGTGGCAGTGCAGTTATCCGTCTTTGGAAATGCAGGTTGTTTTTCTGGAGCCCTCAACGTCGACGACTAGCTTCGATAGCCAGTCCAGAGCGATGAGAAATACCGTCCATTCCTCTGAGTTTGAACGAATTTGAAGTGATGGTGCTCCAGAGCAAAAATTTGTAATTTGTGTTTGCTGAGTCAGAGAGGTCCATGACTACAGTCTGACGTATGTCGGGTCGGGCCTGCATGCCTGGACGCCTTCAAAGCTTCAGGTCTCCTCAGGTTGTCCTCTTTCTCGCATCGTTTGCACGACCAATGAGACTCGAGTCCGACCTTGGTTTGAGGCTCGGACATTCATGATCAGTCGGATACCGGGGTAACACCTGTCAAGCGGTTTGGTTCCGTTGACGTACTGGGTCCATGCGGAACAGCCTCTGGCTGAAGGGGCTTTAATTTCACGGGCGTGATTCCGACGGTCAAAAATGTTAGGAGAAAATATACGGACGATGGCGCATCCACGACATCCGTTGGAGGCGCTTCCAGTGGATACCGAGGTGCGCGCCCGCGGCCAATATGTGCCTTACCCTGACGCCAGTACTACATCTGAACACAACAGAAACCGAACATACGATAGGCTGTACAGGCAGCTGAAGACCATCCTGCATGCTGGACATTTCCGCCAATGAGGAGATAGGAAGCACGCACAGCCATCTGACGGCGTTATGCGCCTCAGGTATGTTTGTCGCCTGAGGATGTGGCGGCGAGCATAATGTAGTGGTATACATACATGTCGCTTCTTATGCAGTGGAAATTCTACTGCCAGAATGAATATGCGACAGTGCGTCTCACAGTCTGCATCCCGTAGCGCAAGCCGTGGAACAACAAAAACGGCAGTAGTCTGGATCAGCGCCACCTGATGAGGGTGCCAAGGCACCTCAGCTGGCGACGATGCTGTGTGTAGCTTTGCAGCACTGTACATTCACGAGGAAGGTTGACTCATTAATTATATTTTTCTTCGTCCATGTCATCAAACAGCCAATGCGTCTCGATCTCCTCTCGTTCTGCTTCCGTCTCAGCTGAGGCCAATGCATCCTTTTTCATCTGCCTTGTGAGTCCGATGGTCTTCTCGTACTGTTCGGTTGGCACCCAGCCCTCCGGCCCGAAGCCGACCAAGTATCGGATCCCCTGCAGAGTCTCGTCCGCTTCTCGCTGGATTTCATCCAGCTTCATCGTCTCGCGCACATCTTCGGTATCGAAGGCGATTGGACACGGTGTTTCTCCTCCGGAAAGTGTCTGCCAGTGCTCCGTAGCATTTATCAGTGCAACTTTGAGCCCGAGAGTCTCGCCTTCCCATGGATCACTGGCGCACGAGAAGAGGCGGCGGCGGAGCATGCCCACGGGGTCTGTCAGTGCCGCATAATGGAGTTCGTTGAACTCCTCTGTGTTATTCACGTAGTGGTAATGGACGAGGCGGCGGAAGTAAAGTTCCTTCGCTCTTCTCCGATCCGATTCGTTCAAGTCCTCAAAATTCTCCGGTAGCGACGGCGTGGTCATAAAATGCGATGCAAGGTCGCCGTAGTTCTGCAGACGTTCGGGTACACCAGCAAGGAGAAACAGAGGCAGAACCGACGCATGCTGCCACTCTAACAGGCCCACGATTCGCCAATTGTGCCCGGCCGATCTTGAGACAATGATATTACTTTGCTGGAGATCGGGATGGCGGATACGGAAATGACAGAGGGCTGGATCTCTTGGGATAAGTGACGGTGCGATGAGGAGATAGCGTTTCAGGTTCTCAATATGATCGGACCGTAGCTGCTCCTGATACTTGTACGCAGCCCTCCTCATAGGCTGGAACGGCAGCAGCGGTTGACGGAATTGTTCAAGATAAGCTACCTCTTTGCAGGCCCCCCGGACGAGCGCTGCCTCGGGGTTTTCGTCTATAGTCATTGGTAAACTCCAGGGAGGACCCGAAAAAGGCAGAGACCGACGTACATGGTCCCCGGTCTATGCCAAGCTGCGATCTCCTGCCATACCACAAAGGCACTCTTGTATCCGGACCAACGCAGAAACGACCGTCTTCTAGTGGGATGCCGGGCTTCCCAGCTATCTTCTGCAGGTATCGGGCATAGTACAAGCCTCCGCCGACCGGGAAAACAATAGACATCATCCTCGATTCGACCTGGGCAAGTTCACGCATGACTGAAATGATTTCCTGTTCGTCTAAGTTCAGCCACACGTCACTTAATTTTGTGCCTCGGACGTATTCCATGAAAATATACTCCGTCTCTGACGCGTTATCCGGTGCGGGCGAGTACCCGTATACCTTAGGAATAGGCAGCCCACAGGAACGGAGAAACTCCATAGTCGCCACTTCACTAGCAACGGCTAGCGCTTTGGGGACCGTAACCGGGTACGGAATGCGGGCCACCATCTGGAAACCATCGCGCATTGTGATGAGGAAGATACGGTTAAAACCGCCTTCTCCGAGTTTTACCAGATCGACTATTTCATCAGGACTCCGGTGGACTGACTCGGCTGCGAGTCGACGCAACCCGTTGACATTGAAGATACGTCTCCGCTCTGAGAGTCGCAGAGCTTCGTTGATGCTGAACGGGTTACAAGTTAGCGTGTATTCTGGACATAGATGGGATAGAGCAGCATCTAGGAATACTTACAGCCATCGCCCTGACGTGTAGTCAAAAATCTCGTTGTGACCAAAAGAATTCCGCACAGTAGACAGGGCGCGTCGAGGCCGCCTGTGAGTCGGACTGGTCGTCGAATACGATAACGAAGGACTTAACGAACGTAGTAAGGAGTGAGGTCGGCGCAGAAATGATGAAATGGGATCTGCAAGGGAATTGAAGGCGAGCCTTGCGCTCTCAAGGCAAAGCATGTGCATGCCGCTTAATACGAGGAACGGCGGGCGGAGTACTGGCTCTTATTGCTGTTACTAGTAATATTGACCGCTCGACTTATCATTACAGCCGCTTGCATGCCATATAGACTTGTTACCGTCCAGAAGTGGCAGGGGGTTGAATTTTGCCCGTGTACTTTACCAGTCCAGTTGGTGGACGCTCACAAGATTTGAATGACTAGGTCTGGATAATACCATGAGGCTAGTGAATTAACTTGAGCAGTAAACACTGACATTGAAATGAATCTCCACCCTGCGCATCAGTCAAAATATTAATGGCGGGTTAGTAGACCGCCGATAGGCGGATGTCCGAGCACTGGCGGCTGGACAAACGAGTGTTGCCCTGGCACTGGTGTACGAGATATCTGTCTCGCCCGGTGATATAGCCTGTATATGGGCGCTACAGGCTACGAACGCGGGTATTCTGAACAGCTGAAGACACCTTTAGCTTACCGCCGGTTGCCTGCGAGTGACGTTCCGCTGGTGAGGAAGTGGCAAAGCACAGCCACCCGCGGCATTTCACGCCACATTTGCAATTGTAATTGTCCAAGTATTCGTCTCCGAATGCGAGGTAAACTGGTACTTGAAGCACCTAAGGCTACTGTACACATTACCACAACTTTCCTGTCGCATCCCAGGAGATTATCACACCTTTACAAGGTGTATGCTATTCTTCGGATTTGCGTGTCGACGTTGTTTTCAGTTCTGACACAACACCAGTAGTAGCTCTGCATCAGCGGCGCCTGATGAAAGATGTCAAATCGACCTCAGCTGGCGATGATGCTGTGTTCGGGTTTACAAGTACGTACGCTCAAAGGGGAGTTGGCTGATGCAGGTCTCACGGGCAAGCCAACTTTATACAAAGAAATGATATATGGTTGAGATGCCTACGTGCGTCGTTGGGTCCCCTCTCGTTCTTTTTCTTCTTCGCTTGGCCTCTGGCTTCTTTTATCCTTTGATAGTGGCTGGACCATGTCAAGCAGTGTATTACTAACGATCGACGATACGAATCCTGACCTGCATTATTCGCCTGGGTGGTTCACTGCGGGTAATGCGACCACGGAGTACAATGGCACGACACATGGGACAGTGACATTTGGATCCACGATGACCTTCACCTTCGTAGGTAGGTCTACCGCTCCAGATTGTTTTCTGCTTTGACTTTGACTTGACTGGGGCGTAGGGTCAGCCATCACGGTATACGGCACAGTAGGCCCGACAAAGTCGACCAGCTCCTACAATCTCGATGACCTGCCTGCCTATGTCCACTCCGCCCCAGAGCCACCGTCTCCTGTGTACAGACAGGTGTTCTACCAATCCCCGGTGTTGCCATTCGGGGAACATATGCTCATTATGCAGAAGACCACGCGGGATAATAGCTACCTATGGCTCGATTTTCTGGAATACAACGCGACTGAGCCATCCGCACCGAGTACTACGAGTGCTCCAGCTACCGTGCTCCCTTCCTCGACTTCCATAACTGCTACACCCGTGACAACCGTGTCCACTGGTGTCAGCCGCGGTGCCAGAGCCGGTGCGGTAGCAGCTGCAGTCATCGCCGCCGTCGCAGTGGTTGTTACGCTCCTGCTGTGCCTCGTCATGGCTCGGCGCAGAAAGCGGGGCCGTACCGCTGCAGGACCCAAGCCCGATATGCTTAGCTCAGGTAATTCTCCCCACCACCGTCGCTTTCGCCGCTTATCTGAAATTTTTCTAGCGGATGAAGAGAAGGCTCCTTATCCTCTTCAACTCCCGGGCCCAGGTACAGGTTTATGGAACGGCGTTCCGATCATACGGGCGCCGCGACCACCGCAGCGGCCGAGCGGCTTTCCCAGTGTACTGCCGTTAGCGCTGTCTCAACAGTCGCCTGGCGTAAGACGAACGTCGTTCACCGCCGGTCGCGATCGTCCGTTACCCGACCCGCCTCGCAACGCGGTACAGGGAGATGCTTCCGCGAGGCTTGCGCCAGCACGGTCTTTGCCTATTCGCCCTCACTCGTCAGGAAGGCAGCTAGTTGTTGCTAATGGCGCAGCTACGCCTAGTACTGTTCGCAGTTCTCGAAACTCGCAGGTGTCGCAGGTCAGTCTGCCGAACCCGCATCAAGGTGAAGAGTGCCCTTCGTATGAGGCATCGCAGATTGGGTCCTCACTGTATGACGGCGGAAGCTTGCGCCTGGCAGGGGGACCTCCAGCGGAGGGTGTTGACGAAAAGAGTAGAGAAAGGCTGCAGTGATCAGGCAGGCATCGACGTAGTCCGGGGTGACGGTTGACATTCATTCTTTGGTACTTGGGGCATGGACTGTGGTATCTATTGAGACGCCATCTTTACGAGCGTGTATTGGTGGGTGTGTTGTAGAGTATATTCATTAGTAATAGTATACAAATGTACAACAATTACCATGGTGTATGGGCCGATCAGAAGTGAGGAGGATGGGGGGACAGACATACTCATGACATCTTTGCGTGGAGGTAGGAAGCCATGCAATCGGCTAGCAACCACATTGACGAGCCTCGCTATGAGACACCAACACTCCTAGACTTGATAATGCGCCTCCCAAATCAGACTCGGGGGAGGGGCAACTGATTTACAACGAGTCGATATATCCCTCAAAGAACCTTCAGTAGGTTGCGAAGCCACCACAAGTAGAATGAACGCAGACAAAACTCAAGGTCATCGCTGACGCACCAAATGCAATTGCAAACCATCTAATGGACATCTCCTGCTAATACCGCCGCATTTGGTCAATTAACGTACAAGTGGTCGGTTAATGTACACAAGAACCCGGAAGATAAAGATCAATAGTTTTGCCTGTCTTTCGACCGCTCCATAGCTGTAACATATCGTTAGATTTGGGACCTGGAGGCAAGGACTATCACCACGCACGGTTATAATGCAGGAGCTTTTCAATCAAGTCGACGTGGGTCAGGACCATCCGCCGGCAGCAATATCGCTTTAACTGAAGCTCATCCAGCGCATCACTAGCGCGAAACATTTTAAAATACATTCCAGGAGGAAGAACGGAGCTACTCACCCTTCACTAACATCCTTCGACAACAAATCCAGGTACGCGTTCCACTTGTCTCCGATGACCTTTCCGCACGAGAAACAACGGACTGGAATGATCTGACAGGCAAATCACTCAGGGCAGCAAGCCTAAGAACGTCTGAGGGCAGCACACACCATTTCGAAGAAGCAAAGAAGCGCAGGAGATGTACCGTAAACCGAAAGCAAAGGATTCGGAAAAGTTGAATGCCGACGCCACAGCTTGACCGGAAGCTGACGCACGTGATCTGCTGACTAACGCGATTAATTTTGACTTTCGCGAGGCAGGCTGATAGTCATCGCGGCAGCGAATGCTTTGAAATATATAGCTTGACTCTCTGCACCCGTCTGTAATACTAACCGTCGTCCAAGGCTGGACGGAAGAGCGTGAACGACTGCGACGACATAGCGATGGAATTTGTGCCCGCCCCAGCCGTGCACAGAGTCTTGTGTGCTGATTGCGGTGAGCAGTAATCCTCGGCTAGATCTACAATCTGAGAGGCTGAATGAGAGGCATCTAGGTACCCCGATTGTCCCTAATTCTGCCAATTTATGTGTAGCATGTCTGCGTAACTCGTGCGTTTTTAATGGTATCTGAATGTCCTTAAAGTTGATCGGGTCCTGATGTAGAGTTGACATTACGGAGGGCATCCCAAAACAAGGTACGTATCGTGCTATTTGATTGTCCTGTCGCTCGTGCTGATGTGTGCTGTCCGAAGCGGCACTGACGTTCTGTCGAAATTGTGAACGGTTCTTGACGCCTCCGACGGCGTGGACAATCGCCGAACCTGAATCGCAGGAGCTTCTCGCGATATGCTTAAAGCGTTTGAAGGGACTGAACAAGGTCCGGTTAACAGAGGCTCACTTTATTTGGACGGAACCGCATTCGAAGAGACTGAGGGTATCCCTGACGATTCAGAAGGAGGTACGTTCATTTGTCTCTCTCTGGGACAATAATTCAAGTCGTCATTGTAGGTCCTGACTGCCACAATACTTGAGCAAGTCTTCGAGATTGAATACCTTGTGCAGTACACGCAATGTCCGGATTGCTCCAGACAAGCTGCGAAGAATACTTGGAAGGCCGTCGTCCAAGTACGACAGAAAGTGCCCCATAAACGAACTTTCTTGTTCCTGGAACAGCTGATTCTCAAGCATGGTGCTCAAAAGGACACGATCTCCGTGAAAGAAGTAAAAGACGGCTTGGATTTCTTCTACAGTCAGCGGAGTCATGCCATTAAGATGGTGGAGTTCCTGAGTAGCGTAGTCCCCGTAAGGTGCGTAGCGACTGCAGATTAATGTGTAAGGGGCTGCTAACGTGGAACGGTGTATAGGTCAAAATCATCCGAGCAGCTGTTGTCAGCAGATACGCACTCGAATACGGCGAACTACAAGTATACGTACTCCGTGGAGATTATGCCGATATGCAAAGACGATTTAGTATGTATACCGCAGAAGCTAGCACGGCAACTAGGAAACATCAATCCCCTGACGATCTGCAGTCGGGTTGGTAATACCATCCACCTTCTTGACGTCTCTACATTGCAGCAAGCCGAACTCTCTGCCCCCACATACTGGCGCACTCCCTTTGACTCGCTGGCAACTGTGACAGACCTCGTAGAGTTTACCGTGCTGGACATTGAGCCCTCTGGACCCCGACGGGGCAAGCTCGTCCTTGCCGACGCGCAGGTCGCGATGTCAGGCGCATTCCGTTCCTCGGGCACGCAGGACGACGGCGACGCGCTGATGGACTACGAGAGCTCTTCCTACGCGAACCAGATCTACCATACGCGCACGCACCTTGGCGCGATCCTGCAGCCAGGAGACGCCGTCTTGGGATACCACCTGAGCAATACGAACTTCAACTCGGACGACTACGCGCGCCTGCCGGCGGAGCGTATACCCGACATTTTGCTCGTGAAGAAGGCGTACCCGAACCGACGCAAGAAGTCGCGCCCGCGGAACTGGAAGCTCCGTAGCATTGCCAAGGAGGCGGCGGAGGACACGGACGGGAAGGGCGTCATCGGCCGCATGGGTGGCCGCGATCAGAAGAAGGTCGAGGAGGATTACGAGCTGTTCTTGCGGGAGCTCGAGGAGGACCCCGAGCTGCGCGGCTCGGTGAACCTGTACAAGGCGCCGGATGTCAAGCCTGGCGCCGGTTCGGGTATGGCGGGCGGGAAGACGAGGAAGAAGGCGCAATTTGCGATGGACGTGGATGACGCGCCCGCGCCTGTGCCGGAAGAGACGGAGTCAGTGATGGGCGACGGGGAGGAGGAAGAGGACGAGCCGGATTTCCCGGAGGTCAAGCTAGACGAGCTGCTGGACGAGTTTGACGAGATGACTCTGGAGGATCAGGGACAGTCATAGGGGGATGTTTAGGAGTTATACTTAGATTGTACGATCTTGTTTTGTATCCCAGTAACGTGGCATATTCATATGTTCTCTAGCCCTGACGTCGGTCTTCAGGCAAGTCAGTGGATAGTAATTCAATTTATTTAAATCGTGTTCTTCCCTCTGCAGACAGGAGACAATGTACCGCGGAACAGCATACCCAAAGCTCATGTTCAGCCACAAGCGCCGCTACCCAGATGCCACACATCTGCACGGGTACTCAAGTGCATAATGAAGTCCGTAATTACGTCCGCTCCGAGAGAAGTGTGGCAATACTATGATTCCCACGATTAACTGCTCTCTCGGAACCTCCGCAACGCATATCTCGTGCTTGCGCTTTCTGGTGGTCGCCTGCTTTTGGAATACACGCAGGTTCAAGACTTGATTACGACGGGGGAAGGGTCTCGATAAATACAACTCTCAGTCAATGAACGGACGTGTATCATTCCCTCGTTCGGGGATACTTGTGCTGGGGCCCAATTCTGTCCAGTCACTAGTACCTGCAACTCTCGTGTCTCAAGCTGAATCCCTTCTTGAAAACCACCGCATCTCCGAGGCTGCTGACTTTGCGGAGCAGCAGAGGAAGAAGCTGCAATCGAAGATCTCTCTGGACGATGATGAGGCGAGTTTTGTTCAACGTCCTGATCCACGGGGTCATTGACGCGCCTTGCATGGTAGGTAGAAGAGCTGCGCTACGTGTTCCAGCGCATAGGCCTTCAATGCTTCTCGGAAACGTTGTTTGAAGATGCTGGGCAATACCTGCTTAGTGGAGAGCTCGACCCGCGGATCCTCGTCAGCTACTTCCCTGAGTACAGGGGAGACATGTTCGCGCCGGAGGATTCGATAGACATGTTTGCGGGCGTAGCAGAGCACATTCCGGAAGAGGACACGGTGGTAGACATAAGTGAGTAACTCATCCACCTTGACTTCGTTATCTCTTGCACCCCGCCATCCCATCCCAGCTCTCTAATTCAATGTTAATAATATACTCCTATCTTTGCTGTCCGTCTCTTTCTCTCTACCATGCTTCCCAAAACTCAGGCTTTCTCTTCGCCCGCCCATGTCGGGACTGATGTAGTTGCACAAAACCTAGTCAGGAACTACTCACCGCACCTCAAACCGAACACACGCGAGGCCCGTCCTACCGCCGAACTGCGAGAGATTCTGAAAGATGAGGCGAGGAGAATGCTGCATAACGTGCTTCAGGCATGGCACAGGAAGGCACGGGTGGGAGATAAGGGGCTGGCGGCGATGAGGGAGGTCAGGATGGTTGTGGACACGGCTCTGTTGAAGATCTTGGCTGAGAACGGGGACACGCCTGAGCTGCACAGGATGCTGGATGGCCCGAACGACGTCGACTTGAGCGAGGTGGAGCCCATCCTGATTCAATCGCAACAGTTTAATGTCCTGTGTAAACTGTACCGGCAGCGCGGGGAGGAGGGGAAATTATTGGATGCTTGGGCAAAGTACGTTCACTTTTTGCCAACCGTTCACATTGGGCTCGGGCACCTGACGCGAGACTAACTTACAGATTGGCGGAGGGGGAGTGGACCGACGAGGATCTCCCGGATCCTCTCACCACCATGTTTAACTATTTAAGTGAGAAGCGCGACCGCGCGCTCATCCAACGCTGGGGTGTCTGGTTTACTACCCACGACCCCGAGCGCGGCTTGAAGGCATGTTCCGGATCATGCTACACCTCATTGCCGCAATTAACTTGGTGGGTAAACCGTAGCTTTTGATGTCGAGAGACGCGGGCAAACGAGCAGGGAAGGCGGAAGACGATCTTGTATTGCTACAGCGGCTGCGTCATGCCAGTCCCGTCGCTGCAGCTCAGTACCTCGAACATCTGATCTTACAACGGCGGAGTACGGTGAGTGCAATGGATGTTAGCCGTCGTCATGTTCTAAACGTTGAGCGTATGAAACCGTAAAACTGGATCGGGATGTCCACAGGACCGAGAGCTGCATCAGCAATTGGCGATGACATGTATCGATCAAGTCCTCTCTTGTATGAAGGATGAAGCCGTTGCGAAGTTGTGGCGGGCTAAAGGCGAGTAACACCCACACTACGCACATCACAAACGTCAAATCTAATCTTATCCGCATGTGCAGCTTCGTCTTATGCTTCAAGCTCTTCCACTTCCTCGTCAACCTCTTTTCTATCATATTTTGTCTCGACAACGCCTGACTCGGAGCATAAACGCGTGCGGCTAAAGACCATCCTGTTCCTCCAAGGGTCGGACTTGTATGACCCCGAGCCGATCAAGGAGAGGCTCGCAGAATACGAGAAGACATTGGTGATCGAGCGAGCTATTGTCGAAGGCAAGGTAGGCAGCACCCCCTCCATTCCGCGCTACCCTACTAAAAGATCCAGCTGGGACACCATCGAGAAGCACTGACGATCCTAATGCACACTTTGCACGACTCACGGTCGGCGGAGTCGTATTGTACCCTCGGAGGGGACGTCGTCACTGGCCGGTTAGCATCGTCCATTGGCGAGAAGAATGGCTTGCTGCATTGGTCGTCGCTCTTGACTGGGGGCAAATCGAAGACTCCCGGGGCTATTACGAGACAGCAGAGCGCGGATGAGGAGACGCGGAAGACGTTGTTGGGTATATTGTTGGAGGTGTGTATGAGTGGAGGGTGAGTGTTGTCCCGTCGGCGACTGTATATGGCGACCCTACCCATTTCATCGGGCTGATCGTTGGCGCGCTGTTATCTTTGGCAGGGAGTCGACTTCAGAAAGCACAGCGAGGTTGCTCAATTCCCAAGCGATGAACCTTGATGTCGTAGACGTGAGTCTATTCTAATATGGAACCTTCTTCGGTTCCCAACCCATTATTGCGTCGCATGTGCAGGTGATTTCACTGGTGCCTCCAGATTGGCCACTGCACCTACTATCCTCGTTCCTCTCTCGGTCATTCCGACGCACTCTGCACAGTCTGCACGAAGGCCAGATTGTCAAGAACATCAGTATGGCGCAAAATCTGGAGGTGAGCTCCATTCGGCGCCGTTTACTCCAGCCTCTTCATCAATCTGTCTTTGCCCAACAGGTCTCGGAACGAACGTGGATGGTCATTCGGGAGCAGGGTGCTCTGATCGAAGAGCCGGTCGAGGATGAGGAGGGCGAGGAGGGCGATGGAGAGAAGGAGAAGGTAGCGGAGATCCTGAATGAGAAGTTTGGGCTGCATGAGGATGGGCCGGTGGAGGAGATCCATGTGGACGATGCTAAGGAGGGAGATGGAGGTGACAATAAAGGACTGGATTCGGGGATCAGGTAGCGTGCGGGGTCGTCAGCTCTGCTTTTTGGGCTTGCATTGGTACTCTATGTTACTTGCTAATATCTGGTTTGGCATATGAGATACTAGGGGAAAGGATCTCATGCTTCCCTGCCTCTGAAGATCGCGTCTACTCTAGGCAACAGTTGCAGGTATGTGTATACTCTTGACACCGACCTTGTGATTGCGGGCCAAGCGGTGACCTATACCACCGTTGCATGCATGAAGGGATATTGGAGAGTTTCCGACGTAATCATCCTGAAGAGCGGAGCCCCAAGCCTACGGCCATCCATTCATTACAGTAGAAGGCGTTAAGTAAACGTAGAGATCACATAGGTTAACCTACATATCCGAATAAACGATACAGATCGGTTGGGCACGGGGAATCAGTCTATGGTAAGAGCAAACGAAGGGAATAATCCAAGTGACGAAGGAAAAGGAAACGAACAGGGAAATTACTCTGAATGCCCGTTGGTCTTCAAGCTCTCCGGTACGGGCTCCTCATTTTTGACGACCGCTGCAAAGCTCGGCGCATCCCCCTTACCCGCCGCCGGCGCCTCTGACTCCTCCGTCTTCTCCTTCACCTCCTGAGTCTTGCCCCTGATCGCCGCGAGCGTGCCCTCGACACGCGCGTTGAGGCCCTCCAGCAGCGGCTGCACGCGCTCCTGCACGGTCACCCTCACCTGCGCGACCTTGCTCGCGAGCGGGACGTCCGACTGCGTGAGGATGGCCGAGAGCTGGTGCGCGGTCGCGGCGAGCGCGCCGGTGAGGTCGTGCAGCGTGTGCTGGACGTGCGCGGGGAGGGTCGCCGTGGTGGACTGGATAGCGCGGATTTCGGAGATCATGGTGTCCGAGAGGGCGTGCACCTTGTGCTGCGCGGAGGCGTAGGAGGAGGAGGCGGTCGTGGAGATGGTGTGTGCGGTCGCGGCGGCGCGTTGGCTGGATAACTATGAGTGAAGCGAGACATGGGAGAAGACGCGCAAAACTTACAGGAGTGTGCTTTGGGACTCGAGCTGCTCGAGTTGTTCCTTGGAATAGACGTAGAGGGAGTCGCGCAGGTTGCGGGTGAGGGCGTAGGCGCGCTGGTACTGGTATGTCGGGGACTCGATAGGGTGTTGTGCGGCGGGCGTCTCGGGCACCTGTGCGTGCAGCTTGCTCACGTACAGCTCGAAAAGGTCGACGAGGGGTGCGAAGCGCTAGATGCGCGCGTAAGCACATGTCATGATTCTAAGCAGACTCGGGCGTACCTGGTCAATACCCTGCGCTACACCTGCGACGGGCTTCTTGACGCGGTCATCGATCGTCTTCGTGGCGACGTCGCGCGCCTCGTCGCTCTTCGCCTTCACGTCCTTCACGATGTCCTCCGTCGGCGTCTTAAACGGGTATGGATACCTGCTCTCGACGACGTCGACCGCCTTGTTCGCGTACCCGTCCGCCTTCACGAGGATCGGCGCGAGCCGTGTCTGCAGCGGCTCGCCGATCTTCTGGTAGGCGGTTACGGTGATGCCCTGCGCCGTCGTGTACGGTCTCTGCGTGTACGGGTTCGTCGAGAGCGTCGAGTGCAGCGTCGTCAGCGAGTCGTGCACGAGCGGGATGGCGCCGATGCGGTTGACGATGGACAGCGGTGTCTGCGTTTCTGTGGCCATTGCTGAGCGATAAGAAAATACTGCGCTGCATGGCGGGCAGGAGGAGGAAATATGTACTCGGCGCGTCTGGCATGTGATTTCGGGCGCTGCTTAGACTCGCGCCTCGAGGCTGGCCTTTCCCGCGCGTCAAAACAAGGTTCCGCCGGTTCCGTCACTTACACTCGTTCTTACCGGCGATTATCAGCACTTGGCTTGAATTCGAGTGTCGCCGAGGCACGTCCAGGTGGTCGCTGCGACGCTTTGTCGGGGACGTCGTCGAGGACGTCGGGCGGAAATTGTTGAGCATGGATGTCGTGGGCTCACCGCACTGCGTCATATATAGTGCGGAGCAGCGACGCTGAGCGCTGGAAGGGGTATAGCTTCAGTTCGCCCCAATGCTTGTGAAACAAAGCAACCTCATGCGAGGTCAGTTCTCTATACAGTTTGACGTCAAGCCTATCTTTACGCTGAACAGACTCTATTGCGCAATACACCTTCGCGTTGATTATCTGCTGCATGCCGTTTGATTACAGGAACCTTGCTTGCTGCGAGGTCCGTTATCGTCCATGTCCTGTAGTGCCATCGGCAGAACTAGCGCGGATGCGACGTTTTGTTCGACCAGGGACACAGGTTATCCTTTGTGAGCCTTACTCGGTCCCAAGGTTCGTGCCGGTGATGTTCATCAGATTAGCAATAATTATCGAATATTGTCTTTATCTGCACTCATCCTACTTGCCAAGATTGACGGTCCTGGGAGTCGCGGCTGCAGTGAGATTCAACCGCGTACCGATGCAGCCAGGCATTCGTACGACGCAACCACGGCGGTGAACCACCTTCTCTCTGATGGGCGTTATAGGGTACATACACCCTATTCATCGAGCTCTCCCTTGACCGTGTGATGTGCTTAATGCATTAATGCTCATCTCGCCAGCGGCTGAAGGTGTGGCTATGGCGATAGCGCATTGACACAGGAAGAGGTTCTCTGTCTGGTTGGGTGCCCTTGCGTTCCGGGCTAGGAATCCTGACATTTTGCAGCAGTCTATGGGTACAATCCCAGCCGACTGTCCTTCGTGAACCAGAATGCCACAGTGTAGCGTCATTCAAGGCATGAATGGTATTACTGCGGCGTCCTGGTTGCTCGGGAGACGGGCCCTGCTCCCGTAGTCGCAATCTCATGGGATGGGAGCTGATACTGTACTCCGCTGGGAACTTACAACATCACGTTTTTGACTCAGGTTGAACTAGTGTGTCTCCACTAATAGAAAGGTGGCGAGGCTCTTGCTAAAGCGACCATCTCGGATAACAATGGGCGAGGACCTGACTTGCACCTCCGATCTCAGACGCCGTAAACGTAACGATCCTACCTGGCTTTCTACAAGCCAGATATCATTCAGTCGAATTTCAAGTCATGGAAGAGTTGGCTCTCATAGCGCCCGTTGTCGGGGATCGAGCTTGAATGAGATTCGTCGCTGTAAGGCCACGGTCGTCATTCTCTTGTATGGAATTCGAAGTCACTTCATTCAATAGCGTTGTAGGAAAGACACCACTCACGTCAGCTTCAGACGGAGATGGTCTTTGTCAGTACTCCTCGTTCCCCTCATTCAACATGACTAGCCTCCGTGCTATGTATACGGCCGTCGCGATTACTTCGTCCAGCACCGGCAATCCTTCTTCATGCACCACCAGCGTTGGAGGTGCCTTAGGTCGCCAGACCAGCTGTGACTTGTACACGGCGACGGTTCGACTCGGATCAGAATGGGCATCATCATTAACCACTCTGAGCTATAATAGGAGGTGAGTGGGCGGCCGGGATGGTCGCAGATAGCTCTCACTCGCCTCGGCGCCCAGAGTGTATCTGACTTTCCACTTGAGTTGCAACCCATTGGAGGCCATGAATACGTCCGAGCTTTCAAGCCCGCGGTGAGCGCTCTGTCTCTGGTACTAGAATTTAGTGACATACAGGGACCATGCGTGGCTTCTGCGCATCACTATCGTGTGCTCGTTGCAAGTGACGGTTCGCGATTTGACACTTGCTATTCCCAGCGGGCGGCTCGTGCCGTCCACAATCTTGCTGATGCTGATGTCGTCCCTTTCGTGGGTCCAGCCGGTCCTGCGGTCCATGGCGTAAGTGCTGTAGCGGCTGTCCTCGGGGACAAGCTCGATATGGCCCGCGTGCGATGATTCGGATACGAAGGTGAATACGACCATGGCTTTGATGGATGAGTGTTGAGTTCGGGGCGTGATGCGGAGCACTTTGATCCTAACGTTAAACGTCTGTGTATGCACTGCTATATATCGCTGGAGTGTACCTGGGAAGATTGAGCGGACTATAGTACTGCGGCGTAGTTGGCTTGTCTATACCATATGACCTGGAATTTACGTTTCAGCCTGCACTCACAGCTTATAAGCTACGGGATCCCATCAATAGTGGGGCAGTGCATGTTCGTAGCCCCTCACTGGCAAATATTGCAGCTTGTTTCGGGCGCTTCCGGATACTGCTGCGGGACTTGAGTATACGCGCGCGGGCGGTATTGCGACACGAAATCATTGCACTAGTTGCACTTATCCTCTCCCTAGGGTTTGCAAGGTATGTGTACTAGTACTAGTAGGTACTACCGAAGGGGACTGGCGGGGCAATATCCCCTGTCAAAGGCTTATACAACAATCCGACCGCGCCACCACGTGATCATGACTCGTTAGGCGTGTAGGTCTTCAGGAACGAGTAGTTACGCTAGTCTCGACGGCCACGGCTGAATTCTCGATGAGCAGCGACCCTGCTAGTCGCAAAGAAATGCAGTGGTCTTCGTCTGCATATTTGAATAATATTGTGCCATCGGCAGGCTCAGACGGGATCGACATACTTCTTTGTTCGCCCGACGAAGAGCGTACTTAGAGGTTCCTGGGGAGTCTGGCTCGGTGGGCGCCGGTTATGCCCTTCAACGGAGTAGGAAGGAATGCTGAATCTTCTTGATGTGACGCCCCTCGCAATTGGCGGGATCGACGTCGTGCCAGAAGCTCGGGGCTGCAGCATAAGTGCAGGCTGCGTTTGAGGGCGCAAGCATCCGAAGCCTTGGTATTGCTATCCTTTTCATGCCAACTGTATGCTAGGCAGCGCTCCCGGTCATGCTGACCTGATTTTTACAGGGTACATGGATGGGACAACCAAGTCGCATTTACGGATAAGACTTCATTGTGCACGCAATACGGTTCGCATGTTGCGTATCTTGGATAGCAAGTGAACGAGCCGGATCGGAACCGGTCGTTCAATGCAGCTATCGTTAGAGGTTAGTACATACTGCTTAAGCTTGTCAGCAGGAGCTCTCACGCGCCTCCGCGCCCTGGGTACCGTCTTTCACGCATTTACGCTGCATCCTGCTTGAGGCCACGAATACTTCCGAGCTTGAAATTCAAGTTCATCGTCAGCGGTTTGCCCCTAGTATCGTAGCGACATACTGAGAGAAGACATGACTCTTCTCCATGTCTATCGTCTGCCCGCCACAAGTGGCGGTCTCCAACTTGACGCTCGCCGTGCCCAGCTCACTTGTACATGTCCCGTCTACGGCTTTCTTGCTGATGCTCATGTCTTGCAGCCATCGGTCCCGCGGTCCACGGTGTAGGCGTAGGTGGGGTAGCGGGTATCGTCGGGGACCAGTTCGACGTGCCCTGCGGGGCCGGGCCCCGCGGGGGCTCGGCTACGAAGGTAAATACGACCATGATGGGATGGGATGCTTGGAACTGACCCGGCGTGTGCGTCACCAGCGCTATATACCGCACCTGAAAAGAGGGGATGGTACCAGACTGCGGCGTAGTTGGCCTCGCGTAGGCTTGATCCTGCGCTATGGAGTAGATGAGCGGCTGTAGCCTCGCTTTGCCATATGGGCGGCTTCGACCTGAACTCATGACTGGGACGGTACCGGTGTACAGTAACGCCACGAGACCGAGATGTCCGAATGTACATGCCACACCTGACGATCCGTTGAAGCCACACACGTACTGAGGCACCGGCCTACTTGTCTCGTACAGCTAAATCTGCTGGCAGCGAGTATCTGTGACAACCTCCGTGTGCGGTGTCCGAAGCTGCCTAGCAAGCTAACATGTAGGTGACTTTGTAGGTAAAGTGCACCGAGGAAATAAGTTTCGCGCCGCCGAAAATCGTATATTTGCACAAGTCGCTGGACCTTTGCTTCCTTCGGCCTGTCGTGCATCCGAGTCAACAGCCGACACTTTAGCCTCACGAAGCCGCAGCGGCCTTCTCATCAGCGAGAAAGACAGATATTACGGAATAATCGACCGTATGATCATGACCATGTGCTAGGCTGCCACGAATCCAGGACTAGCTTCTCGAATCAGTATGTGGGTAGTTTGGACACATTGGGGGCGCTCACTTAGGGCTTTGTGCATGTTGTGTAAAACCCCTCATAGCGCACCATCATTCTGGCATATTATGGCTGCGAGCGATACTCAGATGTTTGCGACGGCGGCGGTGCCATCTCTGTGCACGCTGCTCAGATATCCAAGCCATCTCGTGCCTTGTTATCAGAACAGCGTATACATGGAGGCGCCTGCCTACCGCACCAGGGCTGAGGGCCAGGGAAGATGGTGCGATGCCGCGAGAGGGCTCACAGCGTGAGGTCCGCAGCCGCTTGCATATCGACAGACTGCCGAGCCAAAATTGCATGCGGTAGGAGAAGGGGAATGGGCTTGGGTTTCCGGTAGCGGAGAGCCCTCTCCCCTTACCCGATCTTTTCACTCGACGGCCTGTCGACACGCAAACGGGTACCAGCGGGGAGAAGCACTCATTTTCGGTCGACGGGAGTTCGCGATGCCCGGTTTCTTGAGTCCGAAATAGAACAACGGACGGAGGGGGCCAGGTGAACGAGGCGACTTGAAACCATAAGGTCCTTCGAGTATGGCTTGCGACAGATACTAAATAGTGGTGAGCGCGGTTCTGGGAGGTCAGTGAACTTGCAGCCGTTTATGTCGCACCCCTGCAATACGTTGTACCTCGTCCTTGAGCGGTTTGATCATTATCTGGGCAGGCGCTCATCATGCAAGATAGGCGTGAGATAACATCATGATGGTCGCCCTTCCGGACAAGGACATCGACAAAAGAGGGCCTGCAGGGGACCAACATGCGTGAATGACCTGTTTTCCAAATCTCCCCTCTAGCAGCTTGAAGGCAGGTACTCTCACATAGAGTTTTGTCGGTTTGTCCCGTTGGTTATTCACGTTCTAATTGAGCATGCGAGGCACCGCACCTCAATATCCACACCGCAGCTTGGCAACATACTTTAGACCTAGCCTGAGGACTCGGACCGACCCACTTTCTACACAGAAAGCCGAGTCAGTTCGCTCTACAACCTATCAAACTTTGAGTAGATTACCTCAGCCTATGAACATTCAAAGTGCAATCTTGCCATTGGGCATGCCGCAGCAATGTTCATCTCCACGGTCACCGGGCTGAACATTCGCGTTGTAGCTGTCCTTCTGCGGCTGGTGTGAGTCCCCCCCATGGAACCCATCATAGCTGACAACTCTACTGACCACTTCCATCCCGGATCGCAATTGACTGAATTTGATTCCCCCGTTCTCGACGTGCACTCCTGCAGCAGGTGGCACGCCTCCGAGGCCAATAATACACCCGGCACGCGCAACAGGGAGTTCGGCATGTGCTAATATTAGGTTCCCCGCAAATGTAACATCCTAATAATAACATGTATTGCCTTTTACGTCATGTTGGGTTGTTTGCCGAAACTGAAGCATTGACTGCCGTGCGATGTTTGTTCCGCTTGTCGCCCCCCCTTTTATTAGATTTGGCACTCTCTGTTCCTGCCATCTCTGTTTCTCTCTACACTCGGCTTAAATTTGCGCTGTCGACGTTAAGCACTCGTTTACTGCCCGAAACGACGTCGACAACGATGGCATTAAAGCTCGCCGCGGTTTCGTTGACCCTCGCCGCGTTCGCGAACGCGCAATCATGGCAGGACAAGGCGCAGAGCGTCGACCCAACGACGGAATGCCAGGTCTACTCATACCCACCCGTACAAGCTATGGTGAGCAGCCAAAAGTCCCTAGAAACAGCCTCAGGAACAGCTTCGGAGGTTTGGTCGGAAGTTCTGGGAACTTCCTCCAACTTTCTCATCGATTGTTCGTGGCTGCGTTGGACTATTTCTGACTCTATTTTTTTACAGATCAAGAACTATCCTGTGAGTGGGAGCACCTTCGAAACGCTTGGCGAGATCGGATCCCTAGACGTCTCTGACCGTTCGTGACCCGCTGCAGACAATTTGGCAAATCGCCAACCTTCAGACGGCGGACAACGACGCCATTGCGTTGTTTAACACCCTCAACTCAACGTGCGTACCGCCTCCGCAGCTTTGCAACGAGGACACCACGAGGCGTATACTGACCTTATGCCGCTGCAAGGATACCCCAAATCAACCCCAAGGGCACTCCGGTATGTAATGAACAATCTCCCGTATCTCTGCAGTGTGCAGAGATGGTGTCTCTCGCGAGATGTGCGTCCCAAGGGTACGGCTACTGACTGCGCTCGTCATTGCAGATGGGCGACTTTTCCAACGTCACTCCCACATACCCGGCAGCGGATCCCGACTGCTGGTGGTCGTACCATCAATGCACGACACCAAAGATTCAGGGGATCAATCCTGACGTCACGCGTTGCCCTACGCCCAACACCTGGGGTCTCACTGTCGACGACGGACCCAACTGCTCGCACAACGCGTACTACGTGAGTCGGCTGCTCCTATATTTCTTTTCGAACACCCTCGCTCAACTGATGTTGTACAGGACTACTTGCAATCGCAGAACCAGAAGGCGACACTCTTCTACATTGGCTCCAACGTCCTGGACTGGCCTCTTGAGGCGCAGCGGGGCCTCGCCGACGGGCACGAGATGTCCGTGTTCGATTCGCCTATCGTCGGGCTTTTATTGACCGCTTCATCGAATACAGCTGCGCGCATACATGGTCACATCGGTACATGACGGCCCTGACCAATGAGGAGGCTTTTGCTGAGCGTAAGCGCTCGATACCCGTTTCCTTCGATTGTGTCTGATGAGAACTCTGCTTGCGATATCAGTCTACTTCTCGAAAAAGGCCATCAAGGACGTGATCGGTGTAACGCCCCAGTGCTGGCGTCCGCCCTTCGGCGATGTCGACGATCGCATTCGGTACATCGCCCAGGCGCTGGGCATGCAGACCGTCATCTGGGTCGAGGACACGTTCGACTATGAGTACCCGACGCTGCCGCAGACAACCATCGACCAGAACTACCAGGTGAGCGCCACGATCCCCCGAGGATGTCCTGTGACGCTGACCCGCTACGCGCTCTGCAGAATATCATCAACAAGGCGAAGAATGGTACTTACGATACGGAAGGTATCTTGGTGTTGAGCCACGAGCTGGTGCGAGGGATCGTTTATATCCGATGTGCGTGGTTGGCTGATGGATCTTCGCAGCAAAACTTCACGATGTCGGAGAACATGAAGTGGTTCCCGCAGATCCAGCAGGCGTTCAAGTGGATCACGCCGCTCGCCGTGTGCAACAACAACACCAAGCCGTACATCGAACAGGACTACACCTACCCCGTGAGTATCTGACGTACCCCACCCGGTTTTCTTGCTGATTGTCTTTGCGTCTTAGAATTTTGAGCAATGGATGTCTGGTGTCCGGAATGGCTCGCTCTTGGCTCCTACTGCGTCCCCGAACGCACCGATCTCGTTACCCTTCAGTTCGGGTCACGCCGGATCCGTGTCGACTTCAGTAAGCGTGCCTTCGTTTCTGTTTCCTCTTACGGGATTGTTGACCGTCTGCTCGATAGATCCCGTACGGCTCGCCCACAGCGACGGCCGGTGTGACCGGCACCGGCGGCGCCCAGTCGTCAAATAAGTCCGCCGCGTCCCCGATGATGGCCATCCCTGCATCGTCCGTCGCTGTGCTCTTGACGACGCTATTGGGCATCGTGTCCGGCGCGACGTTGTTGCTATGAGTTCCGGGAGATGTCGTTCGTAACAATAATACAGTAGTAATGACTTGACGTTTGCAATCGGACTATTTAACCCTTGGCCTGTTTTTTTATCACGACCCGATCCCACATCGATTCTCCGGACTATAGTACTTATTCCCCCGCCATACTTGTTGGTTGTATGTACCTGTCGTTTTAATGCCACATGTTTGACGGACATTAGTGTTAGTCCTTCGGTGTATACCCCGGTCTGTCGGGTTGGTCTTCGTGATCTTGTCGCTCGTTCTTGGGTTCTTGGGCATGTACTGGGTGCATCTCACAACTAGTCGTCGGGCCAATTATTGCCTCGCAATTCGCGAGGAATGTTGGCCGCCATAGTTTTATATACGCAATCTACGGCGGCAGTCCCTGTGGCCACAGACTTCGAATATGAATACATTTTTGAGAACCACAGGCCATGCTGATGTGTCAGCGAGCTCGAGGACTGCTGAACATGATCACCTCCCGCTTCGCCTCCTGTTACCAGCGCAGCGTTGGCGGCTGCCTTCGGGGACCATGTCGAGGATACCTGCCCAACGAGACGAGGGTACGCAAGTCCTGGAATGATTGCACCAGTGAGAGGCCTTGGAGGAGAATCGTCAAGAGTAAAGTGGGGTTCAGTCGTACGCCGCAGTCTGTCGCTCAGCTTTGCCATCATCCCCCGTAAGGCGACAGTGGATAGTATCCGCTCTGACTTGAATTCACGGTGCTTGCATCCTTTATTCCCCGAGTCCAACTTGAAAGGAAGACTAGGATGGAGGAGCATTCGAACACACGCTTGACATCGCGGAGAACAGAGGTTGAGACTAGTTGTGTCCGGCAGCCCCTTGAGATGTATCGAATCAGCTAACGGTGGACCAGGGAGCTACCGCCAATCGCAAGAGCGCCCGGGCCACCGCCATCAAAACTGAGTTTGGAATTCGATGGCGCGGTGGCGGTGATGCACTACCAAAATAGGCATAGCGGCCACCAAGCCGCCACACAGCTGCGAAGTTGTCTATGTCTTTCACCTTCTAGCTTAGGAATGGAGGAATCGTTGCAGTGCGTAGAGCCCGAGTTACATCGTGGCAGGTTGAGCTAGCACTTAAGACGTGAATTATTATTAAGCCCCGACTTCGCGGCTCAGGGCCAAACGGCATATAACATTGGCCTACGGAATATAACATTGGCCTACGGATTGCAAACTTCAGCCCAACATCACCGCTCACTCGTATCAAGTATGGTTCTATTCACCTTCAAGCAAGGATCAAAATACGGGGTCACTTGGATATCGTTCCCGAATGTACACCATGGATAGCAAGACCGCTTATGGCAAGAGGAAGTCGACCTTGAGGATCCGGAAGCAGGATAAGCAGTGAAGCAATGAGATCGGGACTGCGAGTGTCAGAACCGAGTCAGTCATGTGCAACCAGCGCAAGATAGTTATTAAAGAAAGCGGGTGGTGGTCGCAGTACGTGCTCTTCAAGCACCTCGGACGAATCTCGCTAACGTGGAACCATAAGTAAAGCGACTTTTATCGCATCCAATGGCGTAAGTTTCACCTGGAGGGTGAAGCGCAGGAGTGCGATGGTCAGTTCTCACAACCGTCCTCCATTTCTTACTGACCCGACGTCTACATATGCTTGTTGAAGACGACTAAACGTGACCCGTGGCCGTTCACAAGGCCAATTCAGGCCGGTTCTCCAAGTGCCCAGCGCAGCTGGAGGTGACGCAGGATGGGGTGTCGAATCTCGATGAGGTGATGGCTACGGGAATCTACATCGTGCGGAAGATCTCGATCAAGAAAGACTCAAGATGGGTTCAAGTTATGAGCGTCTATCGTGTCTGTGGGACTGCGGCATGGAGGGGCTCACCAGTTCATAATCGGAGTCGGCGCGAGTACTTGGGCTCCGTTGTACGAGTAGCGTGTCCATTTCAATCATGAGGACCTGTACCTATGTAATCTGGTAACTGCTGTATTTCTGACGGGCTTGCGATGCTGCAGATACCCCGAGAGATGGCAGCGCGATACCTAGACATTCCTGCGTAAGTACCCCAACTCTCTTTTCGTTGATTTCGCCTCGATAAGCCCCCTTTTGTACTTTGGGCAACCGTCGACAGTACGACATTGAGTGCTCTAGGAAGGATATCTGTTCATGCCGTTAGCTCAGGAGGGCCGTAGCCATCCCTAGAGGACGCACCTCGACTTAGAAGCCGTACCGTTGGGATCAGCAACGGCGCCGAAGCAGCCGTGATACGGGCGCCAAAAATTATAAAACAATGAGCAGCCCTTGTACGTCCAAGGACGTACCAGCAAGCATGCCATGAAGGCGGGACTCCCGCAGCTGTGCCCATGGTCTCGACCACCGAGCGCCGATGGACATCTATGACTCTCGATCCATGTTCCGACACATATCCGGCAGCTCCGAAGCAGCAGCCGCATTGATGAAAACACCTTCAGTACGAGAGACAGCTACTTATCCTCGTTCTGAAGTTTGAACCGCAGCCTATATGGACGCGTGCATTGTAATGCGCGGTATTGGATCGACGATCAAAGCTTTGCTACCAGTGGTTCCGAGTCATTGCCGCCTACTACTCCAAATGAGTGGGGCGACATCGAAATCCCAGCTATTAGCTATGCAAGTCACCGACGCCAGCCTAGCCAAGGCCGGACAATCCTACGAGTCATCTCTAGGACTCGAGGCGATGCACGGGAACCAGAGGGCACGGCGAGACCCACCACGATCCGATCCTCAGCGACGCCCCGCCTTCACCGCCTTACGAGGCAGGTCTTCAGGCTCATCATGGGCATCACCAGCCGCCGAGGCGACTGTTTGTTGGATCGTGCATGGCCAGCAACTGGCTCGCTCGCGAAGATAGATTGGCGGCGCAATCTGGTCCGGGACGAGTGTTGCTGCTTGAGGGGTGCAGAGATGGGAAGACCGGAGAAGTGAGGCAACTGCAGCATTATATACTTACATGGATGGGCGTCTAGGTGATATATCGGGAGCAGCACGAGGCAGTAGCATGGATTCGCGGTTCCCAGAGGCCAAGGACGAGACGAAAGCAGTAACGTTACTTCCATTGCATCCTAAGCTGCCTTCTTGTTCAGATAATCCATAATCTCGAGATTTCCTGGTAGGAGCCAGTCATCTGAGCGTTACGAAACGTGTCTGGACAAATAAGTCATAAGAGTGCGAGGTTTTCGATGACACGGCAGGTGTGTGGTAGAAAGGGGCAACCGGCTGTAGCAGAAAGAATCTTGCTCCGTATTTGAATTTTCTGTCCAAAATTCAGTGTCGGCAGCAGGTTACAACGAACAATGAACGTAAATTAATGCGAGGGGACTGCATAGACAAGGGCGGTCATGTGACTCGACGCGTAATTAATCAACGCGTCACGGCGGCGAATGGCTCTGCTCTCACTACAACGTCGACATCGACGGTGACAGTGTGCGCGACCATATCACCTTTCGACGTTTACAGCTCGCCACCGTAGACCACGGGAATCTTAGGCTACGTTGGCCGTCGACGACGACTTGGCTCGCGACCAACTGGGGCGCACTACTTGGAATGGGGGAAACAACAGGTTAAGAGAAAGCGGCCTTTTTTAGCGTCTTTCAAGCCCAAGTAGTTGCCCTTGTCGAGCATCCACTTATTTTGGGTCCATCCACCGGATAGCCTGTACGTCCTCGGATTGTCTAAGACATGGAAGTTGATCTTCAACAACCCAACCTTACTAAGCTAAACAGAATCCTTCATCCGTTACTTTTGAGCTGCTTACACAATGTCAGACGCTGATTATCGCTTCGGTCCTCGAAAGAGTTCTCCATTTCCCTTGCCGGGAACGAGATTTTGTGCGTGATGGATGATATCTGTGGTGAACTGAGGGATATTTATTGGTATTAAACAGGTTCATGCAATGCCAGGTCTCACAACGATACCGTGAGTTAATGCAGGCAGGGACGTCCCAGCCTTGAAATCGGATGTCAATGACCCGGGTGAACTATGTACCGTCGGACGGCAAGAGCCGGCGTACATTGACCAAGATTGTCCATGGTTTACCTTTTTGATGTCACTGTCAGCATCGGGATTGTTCAAGACCTTTCCCCGAATGACGAATGCATCGATGGGCTCGCTTTCTCAGCCTGCTCTGTCAGCAGAAGCTCCTTGTGTAACGTTGTGTTTTTCCGCTGGATCATGGCTATAAAAACATCGCATCTGGCTCTGGATTACGACCAGTTCTACCCATCCAACGACTTGCAGCCATGGCCAACATCTTCAACGCCCCCGCTCCTGGCATCTCCTACTTCACTCCTGCTCAGATCCCGGCTTCAGGGACTGCGTACGATCCCCAGCCGAATGGAAAGCCGGTTCCGAAGTTGTTTACGCCCATCAAGATCCGGGGTGTTGAATTCCACAATCGGATCTTTGTATGTTATCGCCGTACCTTGGATCTGTCTGCTATCTCTGACAAATGGTGATTAGCTATCTCCGCTATGCCAGTACTCTGCGGAGAATGGACATATGACTGCCTGGCACTTGGCTCATCGTGAGTAGTACGGCACCTATATATTTTGATGGAATGCTTACCTGCGTGCAGTCGGCGGCATCTTCACTCGTGGACCCGCCCTGACTATCATCGAAGCCTCCGCTGTCCTCCCCGAGGGCCGCATTACTCCGGAAGATGTCGGCCTGTGGCAAGACTCGCAGATCGAGCCCATGCGCAAGATCGTCGAGTTTGCGCACTCCCAGAATCAGAAGATTGCCATCCAGCTGGCCCATGCCGGCCGCAAGGCGTCCACGCTCGCGCCCTGGCTGCACATGGGGTTGGTCGCAACGGAGGAGCAGGGCGGCTGGCCCGAGGACGTGTGGGGACCCTCTGCGATCCCCTTTAACGACCAGTTCCCCAAACCGAAGGAGTTGACGAAGGAGGGGATCAAGAGGGTCAAGTCGGCATTCGTAGCGGCTGCCAAGAGGGCGCTGAAGGCCGGATTTGATGTCATCGAGATTCATAGCGCTCATGGTGAGTATCGAGATGGGTTACCCCTGCTGTATACGGTTTCTGACCATCTGGTTCGTAGGTTACCTCCTCTCGTCCTTCTTGAGCCCTGTGAGCAACAAGAGGACGGATGAATATGGTGGTAGTTTCGAGAACCGCATCCGACTTCTGGTCGAGATCGCCGACGCCATCCGCGCCGTCATTCCCCCCTCAATGCCGTTGTTCGTTCGGTAAGTTACTTTCTGACCTTGCTCAGAGCTCGGTCACTTACCCTCGTGCAGGGTCTCTGCTTCGGAGTGGCTCGAGGAAGTCCTCCCGAACGAGGACTCCTGGAAATCCGAAGATACCGTCAAGCTCGCCGGCATCCTCGCCGAGCACGGCGTCGACTTCATCGACGTCTCTTCGGGCGGCAACAACGCTGCGCAGAAGATCACCAAGAAATCGCAGGCATACCAGGCGCACTTTGCCGATGCTGTGAAGAAGACGCACGGTGACAAGATCGTCGTCGGTTCTGTCGGCGGTTTCGACAACGGCAAGCTCGCCGAGGAGGTCCTTCAGAACGGCAGTGCGGACGTCATTCTCGTGGGTCGCCACTTCCAGAAGAACCCCGGCGCAGTCTGGCAGTTCGCGGACGACCTCGGTATCGACGTGCATGTTGCCCACCAGATCGAGTGGGGATTCCGGGGACGCGGGCCTCAGTCTAGTGCGACGACGCAACATGGCCACGACGATCCTGCAAAGCAGAAGGAAAAGCCTAGCTTTTAAAGGGGGCGTTTGCAAGTAGTGCAATAATGATAGAGAAAAGTAGATGTATGTACAGTGTATCCATAAAATAGACCCGAGTGGACAGACAGAGACTAGTACGGACTGAGTGTATATACGAGGAGTGCAATTATAATGAGTCACTGGCAATATAAGGCGCGTGCTACAAAACTACGAATTATACAGCGAGTTGCTCAATATAATATCGGGATGTGTCCAAAAAGTGCAGGAGTCGAGTCCTATTGTGGGATACTTTTGTCGTGATGTCATGCGCAGATGAGGTTCGCCTGTACTTCCAACGGCGCAGACCTCGCGAAAATGTCGTGCGTGAAGCTGTGGAACCCGAACCCGAGCGGGCGTGTGAACATGGGGTTTGACATGAGCACGCCGTAGTCGTCCTCGTCGCTCTCCGTCCCGTCTGTGCCGTCACTTTCTTCGTCCGCTTCCTCAAAGTAGAACTTCCCTGTCGACTTGACGGCGTGCACGTCGTCTGGGGTCGTCGCTCGTGGCCGGCGCTCAACGGCAATTGCGGCTGCTTTGGCCATGGCTTCGTCCCTCAGGATCTCGGCGAACTTCTCCCAACGCAGCACCCAGTTTGTCTCCCATGGGCGAGAGTTCCGCTTGGCCGTCGGTTTAGGTCTAACAGGTGACCCTAGGCCGACGTTGATCAAGTCGTCGAGACTCTCGTCTTCAGCTATGCCGCTATTGTTCTCGTTGGACATGTCCGCTACGAGCGTCACGTCACTCGCATCATCGTCAGGCTGTGGTGAGTTTGACCCCGAAGACGTCCCCTTCACCCGATGCTCCATATCATGCCGGAAGAGCTTCTGGTGGATCTTGTACAGCGGGAAGAAACAGAACCACCTGTCAAGGTGGACGGAGTGCCCACTGCGGAGGTCGGATAGGTCCCCCGCACGGGGGTAGATAGGTGAGTTCGGATCTGCCGCGAGGAATCTGTGGTACGAAGTCTGGGGAGGCTCAAAGAAGGTGGCCCCGTTCCTTGGAGGACCACGTGGAGGGGCCTTCGGCGGCACTGCTATGCCATCGTATGCGCCCGCCGCTGCTTGGGATTCTTCGACTTGCGCCTCCCATTCCTGCCATTCTTCGTGCCTCGTCTGCCAGAAATACTTGGTGTACATCAGGCTGCTGCGCGACATGCCGCGATGTGGGTATGCGTGGCGTGGGTGCGTAGTAGCCATGCGCGTATGAGGTTCGCGACCGTGTGGCGAGAGCGGGGAAGGTTGGTACACTGCGGCCGGCGGGAGCGTCGGCAGATGTTCCTCTGGGGGAGGCGTGGACGCGCGAATGGGTTTCGGGGTGAAGAACGCGTCGAAGATGAACTCGTCGTCCGCGCTCGAGTCGGAAGTGTCCGAGTCATCCTCCTGGTCGAAATCAGAATCAGACGTCGAGCAGAACGACGTGTCTGTATCGGACTCGGTGGATTCGTAGATTCTGGTGTAACTGTGCCTGTCCCTCCCTATCTCCGAGTTGCGTCTTTGCAAGGTTGGGCGATATGGCCCGCTCCGGTTCACAGCAGCCTCTTTCCGTGACTGGGGTGACTGGGGCGATTGACGAACGCCTAAACGGCTCGGAGAACGAGGGGGTATATCCATAACTTCGTCGTTAACGTGAGCCTTAAAGTCGTGTAGGTCGTGAAGACGTGGCTGGGATACTCCGTGTAAACTTGTGCCAGATTGGGTACCTGTCATGTCGGTGTCAACGTGCTGGCAGAATTCGGTAGCGTCCATCGTGAACGAGACGAGGAATAGTACAGATAAATAGACAACGACAGCGGAGGATAGTGTACAGACGAAACAAGTTGTTCGTCGTCGTGAGAGACGACGGCGACGACAAAAACACGAACGTAGTGGCGGCAGCTGAGTGTGGCTGAAATTGAGAAGCGCGCTAACGGTCACGTGGACGCGTAACTTTCCTATTTAAGATATGTTTTTCTCCTCCTTTTCCTTCAGCGACCACCATCTCGCGACGGCAGCAGCTTCAAAGCCGCGACACTCGTCCCGCACGAAGCTTTTGCTTTCGTTTGCGAGTGGGCTAAGGTCTGAGCTTTCTAGTCCCCATGATCGTCTCTTGCAGGGACCGGTTCATAACTGGCCGAGCGGTGCACCAGAAATTCGCTCCTCGATTTGTTGATTTGTCCGCTATGCCCGGAGAACTATGCTTTAGGGAGGGCACCATCGAGAGGCTTGGAAGTTACCGCGGGATACGGGCGGTGCGTCGTATTTTTCGATCTTTTCCTCCTCTCCCTATCGGTGTCGTGTCGCCAGAGCGGTGACGGGAGGTTTGGTCACCTCTTGAGGCTGCACGTTCATGAGTGCAGTGCTCCCCAGTCAGGCAGGTGTTGGTATAAGACCTTTGGGGATTCCCAAGGCAAGCAAGCACGACCGCTTGGATTCTACGGGACCTGGCAGCCACACTCCGAGGAGCGGGCTGCTGGCCAGCTCCATGGTCGGTGCTCAAGCTTCAAGCGTGCACGCCTGGCCTGCAATCCATAGATGTGACCCCGAAAGTCACGGATGCACGGAATAGATGATGCTGCTCGCAGTGCGCCCCGTCGACAGGCCCCTGACATAGAGTCCAGGTACAGACAGCTATCATGGCCATCGAGGCGGATGAAACCGAGCACTAGACCGAGCGCTGATGCTGTCGAATGTCGAGGGACCGCTGACATACAAACATGGACGCCGTACTCGTCGTTGCAATGTTGACTGCGAGACACGCCGCAGCCAGTGAATGCATTACATCGATGAGCGGGTCGCATGGTCAGTCATGTCCCTATTAACGGCAATTCGCTTGCTGGGGGGTTCCGACGCACGAGGGGAGAGGGGGAATGCTAACAGGTCGCAGGGATCGCCACCGTCCCCTAGTTCAATTCGCGGCGCGTTTTCTTCGGCGACGCAACTCGATTCAGACTACTCTGGGTCTGCTGCCTTTCAGTGCAATTTTTTCCATGTCCGGACCTCTTCGTGAGGTTCCATGTTGCTCGCGCGGACTCTTCTGTTGTAAGTCCTGGTTTCGTCCCAACGATGCCTGCTGACCGTCAAATTAGCGTCTTTGGACAGACTTTGTTGAGTCGATGTCCCCCTGCGTCCGCGCAGGGGCTTATCCCGTACTGCTCCGTGCATACGGCGTATTCGCCCTCCGGGTAGGGGCGTCTCCTGTACCGTTCCGCGCGTATCGTACAGCGTAACCTGTGTCGCTCCGCTCGTTTAACACAGCGTATCCCGAGCTCGCTGCTCGCCTGGCCTTCTCCTACTTGGTGTGTCCTTCAACTTCTTCCCATGCTGCGGCGTAGTTTGTTTGTACCTGTGCCATATCTGTCAACAATGAATATCGCTGCTGCTTTACCAACAAATAATCCTAACTTGTACACTCGCATGCCTGAGTATACTACTTCCGTCGTAATACGTCAAAGTCCAATTTGAGCAGGCTACAAAGCCGGATATTCGGCCGAAAGCGTTTTCATAGTTCACCCAGTCATCGAGATGGCTTCGACCACAAACTCTTTCCTATACGATGAGCACTGCTGTAGCGACTACGCTGGGCGGGTCTGTGCCGCCATTTACTCCCCATGCGATATCCGTTTCGTTACCGACGTGGAAGGATAATGTCGGATACGAGGAAGGAGAGCCGAGGGTGATAGACTCGATGGTCACTGGGTATCCCAGGTTCTTCGTCCATCGCAGTATCCAAAAGGTCAGCCTGGCATATTCTCATGTATCTAAGTGTCTCTGACGCTCTGCACGCCGCCAGCTAGCCCGGATATGCGAGCAGAAATTCGGGGCAAACGGCGAGCGGTGCTTCCTCTTCCCGACGAAGAAGCTCGCAGAGGCGTGCCGTGCGTTCATGCTCGCTCGCTCTGCCGAGTTTGGGTCGACGGTACCCGTGCGTCTCGTCCAGTTCGTTGTGTGCCCTGAAGACAAGCAGTCGAACGGGGCGTCGCATGCGCGGTCGGGATCAACCAGCGGGACCTGCGTGGAGCTACACATCGTCCTCTTCCCAGCGGACAGCTGGCCGCTGGCGAAACAGTTCTGGCAGCATACCGGTATGGGCATTTCCAGTCGACTGGCTGAGCGTGCACTCTCTATGCTGCCCGACGAAACCGCTCCGCCCCCTTCCCCCGTCCTCTCTCGCCCCATGAAGTCGGCTAACAGGCACTACTCGCGATCCATCACCTCCATACCGAAGTCGCCTACTCTCTCCTCCCCGCCACCGGTAGCTCGACCGGAGGAACCGGATTCGCTCGGTGCGGACGAGAGCACGTACCTGGAGGAGCGGTACGGACGGAACCTGCCTGTCGCGGCTGCAGCGGCTGCGAAGAGAGCCATGCGAAGACGGATCGCTGGCGTGCTCGTTAGCGATGACCATCCGGACGTCCACGCGGGCTCGAACGACGTAGAGATCGGCCCCAGTTCTCGAGGCGTGAGCGATGTCTCGGAAGACGACGTTTTCCTGTTCCCGACTGGTATGGCTTCCATATGGGCGGCGCATCAGTTGGCATTGGGTGTGCGGCCTGTGGCTAAGAGCGTCTGCTTTGGGTGAGTGACTTCACAGTTGTCTGCCTGTTTTCATGACTCTTACACGGAGCCTCGGATTGGTGTAGATTTCCGTACACAGATACCCTCAAAATCTTGCAAAAGTGGGGCCCTGGCTGTCACTTCTTTGGTCACGGCTTGGATAATGACCTCGATGCCCTCACGAAACTGCTTGAGAAGGAGGCCTCGACGAGCTCGTCACCTCCGGTATTGGCATTGTTCACTGAATTCCCCTCAAATCCTCTGCTTCGTTCCGCTGACCTTGTTCGGCTGCGCGCGCTGGCCGACAAGTACGATTTCCTGGTGGTCGTGGACGAGACTATCGCGAACTTTATCAACGTGGAGCTCCTGCCGTATGCTGACATCGTAGTCAGCAGTCTCAGCAAGATATTCAGCGGGGACGCAAACGTCATGGGTGGCAGGTGCGCGTATATTCTATGTTTCCCTTTCATTTCGGTCATTGGTGACCTTATCTCCAGTCTCGTACTTAATCCCAAGGGCCGTCACTACAAGGAGCTGAAAGAGCACATGCTCGCGACTTACGAAGACTGCTATTTTGACGAAGACGCGATCTACATGGAGCGCAACTCGCGCGACTTCAAGCGGCGCATATATGCGATCAATGAGAACACGGAGGCGCTCTGCGACTTCCTGCGCGCGCGGTCCATCGCCGGTGGCGCCGCGTCTCCTTGTGTCATCAAGGACGTGTGGTATCCCAAGTGGAGCACCCCGGAGAACTACGAGCAGTGCCGCATCAAAGCCGGCACGCACGAACATGAGAGAGACGGCGGGTACGGCGGACTGTTCTCGCTAACATTCACCTCTCTCGCGGCCTCGCAGGCCTTCTTTGACGCTCTAGAGGTCAACAAAGGCCCGAGCCTCGGCACGAACTTCACGCTTGCTTCTCCGTATGTAATCCTGGCGCACTATGCGGAGCTAGACTGGGCGCAGCAGTTTGGCGTCGACCCCGGGCTGGTGCGCGTGAGCGTAGGTCTCGAAGACCGGGTTACCTTGTTGAAGACATTCGAGAAAGCGTTGCGCGTTGCTGAGGAGGTGGTAAAAAGTAACGAAGAGAAGGAATAATCAGAAGTGATGTAAGACTGGGAGCTTGGTTCAACTCCGGGCTGTTGGGCAGGTATGCTGCAGTCCATCCTGCAGTGCTTCATAATGTAGGAACTATGTCAATTGTATCATTATATTTCGGAGGGATCAAATAACAGTTGAAACATCTCGTCAAAGACATTCCAGCAACCTGAGAATCCTGGCCAAGGGTCGCGGCTCCTTTGTGACATACCCTCGCGTGCTGTGATGAACGCGATTTGAGGGCGTTCGCAGGGTGAGGCCCGATGCAAAGCAAATGACGGGAACGGATAAGAAATATTCAGGTAGCACGCATGAAGCTGAGACATTCCTGTTCAAGTTCAGTCGTGCCGGATCTGAAGGTCGTGGACAGGCCAATTCTACCTAGGCTTTCCACGCAATTGCAAGTAACTCTTCTACAACATTATAAGGTATGACCCGCGATGAGCGATATGTGGCCCATTTCCACTTTCGGGAGTGCTTTCGCTGCCTAGATCACTTGTCCTTGTAACGGCGCGACATACTCTGGTAGCCGCAACGGGGGCGCTGTCTTCATGCAGCCCTCCTCTATTTTCCCTCTTGACCTTCACCTTACTCTGGAGGACATCGATACTCTCTTCGCGCCTTTTTCGACCTCCGTGCAGTGCCGGGTACCTTGAGCGCCTTGCCCAGGCATTCCATAACCCCCGGGACGGCCTGGGCATTGTACGCGAGCGCGTACGGGAGTCTAAGCCTAAATGATGCGTCGGGGGTGTGGCAGAACTTGCAGTGGAGTCATCGGCCACAGTGTCAGGTGATGGGAGCAACAGCTACCGAGAACGTCTGAAGTTGGACTGTTGGAAACGAGAAGGTTCGTGACGCCCATTGACACGACTTTAGGCGTTCCTGAAAATCTGGCGATAGAATTCTTGATACATATGTCAAGTACATGGTGCAAGATCAATAAGTTAGGATAAGTATGGTCCAACGATAAGATCCATCGTGTTATAGGTAGAAGGGAATACCGTAGACGACTGGAGCGGCGCCAGTCAGATATTTCAGTTTACAAGCATCTCTGGACTGTGCAACGGCCTTTACGACCGATACCGCCTGGCGTTCGCTTCTGCCGTTCTTCTTGCTCTGCACTCCACCGGGAGTCAAGTCGAGTTCGTCAAAGACGGCTTGAGAGAATTTGTCAATATCCCGGTCAGTTACGTCCCAGAGATTTGCGACTAATGTAGGGCTGCGACGGACGGATCAGCGTAATGGCACAACTCGGTAATGTGCGACATACCACCCAGCAAGCATGTAGTTGTAAGGTGTGCCAATGGGATCAAAGTCGCCCATGTCCCGGAGAGTGCCGGAGGAACATCCCCACAGCATGGTGGCAGCGCAGCGCTTCAGGTGTCGTACACGATGCGAACGAATGTATTGTTCACCTCCGCCATGCCCGAAGTAACTGAAGGATAAGGATCATGAAGATATGAAAGTAAGAAGTTTGGTGACTTCAACGTACATCAGCAAGTCTTTACTTGACAGTGCGTTGACGAATTCAAGCTCGCTTGGCTGTCGACCGATGATACCGTCCCAGCCTACCTTCCGCATATCAGTCACCCAATCGCGGAATCGGCCCTCCGTCGCCTTCAGGTCTCCGCTTGGATTGAGAACATAGTAGGCTTTGCTAGGATTCACGATGGCCCGGTCCAAACACTCTTTCGCAGTCTCTCCCGTATTGGATCCTCGCCTTAACCTCGCGTAGTCAAGACGATCGAAGAGGAAATCGCTGTTTGGGATGCGACTAACGCTCCTGCCCCTTAGTATTGGGAGGCTTTCCCATGGTATTTCATGCGCATTCCTGTCCACCACGAGAAACATATGCTCGTCGTCCTGGGCCGGCTTGAGCTTACTAGAGTAGTCCTCCAGGAGCATTCGGAGATCTACAACAACCTGGTCAACATCCACTTCGGCGATGGCCACCTGTGTTCCGTGGAGCTGGTAGAAGTCTAGGATGAAGTATACCAGATCTTCCAGCTCTTCGTCGTGGCATTGAGGGGACAAAGAGCATATCCATTCAAGGATAGAATCGTCCAACCGGACCTGGCTCTTGTATTTCTTCTCCTGCAACTTTATGCCATGCCGGACTATCCTGTCAAGCCTAGCTTGGAAAGCTGTGAGCACCTCCGCGCCAATAGCTTGTAGAGGTCCGAGGATAGTCTACGTTACAGCATCAGCCTGGACTCCCATGAAAGGCACGTTACCCAGAAATATGAATTTACCTTGAAACCACCTAGCCAGCAGAACTCGATGTTTTCTAGCAGGGCCTTCAATCGATTATCCAGTGAGTTCCTTTCAGCCCACCACGCGACCCGTGCTGCCTTCTCTTGGGATTGCTTGACTGCGCCTGCCTGCCTTGTTCCCTCATCGCTCAATCGGATGATGTCACGCAGCTCGGCGATTGCAGCATCGTAAGACAAGTGTTCCTCTTCGTCGACATCTCGTCTGCCTCCCAGGGGCAAGCAGAACATTGTGGGTTGACGCCCGGCTGTGCGCCTGGACACAAACATAACGCTCTTATCCTCTGCAATGCAGATATTGATAATACTCCAATTTCTAGGCAGGCTGTTCACGTGAGAGATCGACAAACGTTCGACGTCCGGTCTGCTTGTATGGCATCGGTCGCTGATTGACGACCAGTACTTCCTGAGATCCTGGTCGTCTGAAATTGCACATCCGTCCGGAGACAAACTGAGACCAGAAAACAGCCGTGGCATCTTCCGACTTTTGGGTAGTTCAAGAGGCGAACCGTTGGGCGTAATCGCAGGCCATAGCACATCATCGACGTGCTCAGACTCCAGGAACTTGTTATCGATTGCTTCCAGGAGTTCGCGACGGAGTGCCACAGCCGATGCATGATCTATCATGACAGCGTGAGCGTGATGCCACAGAACATTCCCTGAGTCGTACCTAGGAGCCCTGCCGCAAGCATCGAGTTGTCCTTCCCAGCTCTACCCAAGGAGCTCTGTAAAGCCCGCACGAGAGCCAGTGCCAAAATGGCACTACGAACGTTGGGGACCTGTCCCCTGCGGGATATAAAGGATAGGTCTGACCAAAACAATCTCTCCGAATTGGCCAAGGTAGAAATAATGTCCTGGATGACCGGGGATAGCGAGCTCCTCTTACTTGACAAACATCCCATAGGTATTGATATAGCTATTGATACGAATCAGCGACTGCCAAGAGAAATCATCGATTCTAGCAACGCACTCGATTCTGCAAGTGAGCTCAGAAACATATCACCTCTGAACCGATTATAAACATCCTGCAGAGTGAGCTTCGCCATCAAAGCCACTTCTTCAGCCTTTGTCTCGGCGGATGCAGGCAGCGCAAGGAAACGGTGAAGTACTTCCTGATAGCGGTCATCTCCCTCCTCCCGCAATAACCATACTGTAGATCGTCAGTAACGCGTCGCGGCCCAGAGATTATAGGCTCACTTTGTTGCCGGAGAACAGTTGCTGCGAGAGCAGGCACTATACAGTCAGCCGTAGCAGGTTCCTTAACACTTGACTTTCCCCGTGCTATGCTAGACCTCCTGCCTCTATATCGCAGTCAGGACTAACTCGATCAAAGGAAGCGATGAACGCACTCAGCCAAGGGACCGTCTAGACCAGTGAGCATGGACTCCAATTGATCTAAAAGAGCAGCGGCATCATCGTATAACCGCTGAGCATCCTTCACATTCGCAGTGAGCCGATGATAGTCTCCTTTGAGACGCAAGACGTCAGCAACATCCGGACCAAGGACGTTCGGCAACGACTTTAAGGCCTCTCCTAAGATACCGTGGCTTTCCTCGAAACGCCAGAGACGGAGCTGAATTTCAGCCTTTCTTGCTAGTGCTCTGGCAACGGCCGCCGGGGCGTTCAGAGAGTGAGCCAAGTCGAAAGCCTGCTCAATGAAGTATTCAGCTTCCCTAGCCGACCCTCTGGAGAAGTAGGCCTGCGCGAGACCAAACAACGTGGATAGCAGTCCATTTGCTACGCGCCATTCTAGCCCATCTCGGTATGGCTGTTGGCACGGCATCGACGGATCCGAAGTTTTCTTGGAATCGCTAGACACAGAGGGCAATGCCTCCTTGATTTCAGTCAAGTCGAATGGATTGTCATCGGCCGCAGTCTTCGAAGACGGCTTCGAGGGACGAAGACGTGCTAGACTATCGAGGGCACGATTCCAGAGACGTAGTGCTTGGAGAAGACCCTTGGTTGAAGCTGAAGGCTCGTCCTGGCTGCGAGTTAGCTGACGAATAGGGTGAACATTAGAGGCGGACCCTTCACTTACCCTAGCGTGCTGAAGGACGGAGAACGTGGTGCATGCGCTAGCTGCTCTTTCGAGCCGCCCGACTCTCATTCGTACTCGCCCAAGAGTAGAGAGTCCCTTCTCTTCGGTGTGTAAGCATTCGTTTAATCCCATGGCTTCGCAGTATGAGGTTGAACTGAAGCAGACCAAAGAGCGCTTAGAAATCTGCAGGACTAGGATGTGTCATGCTTACCTCCGTAGAATGTTATCAGAGACCGCCAATGACTCCGCGTACCGGAGGAGGAAGAAGATGGCAGCCTCCTCTGAAGTCTGCTTGCTACGGACAACTGTAAGGGCTTGGCCATAAATCTTGCCTGCCTTCTCGATCTTCCCAAGCTTGACGTATTCATGTGCTAAGTCGATACAGGCCTTGACATATCCTTAGACCGTGCAACGTCAGGTTGGAAGTCAAAGTAATCAAGTTGACGCCCACCGTCGCGATCATGGCCTCCATGTCTATCCGCGAGTCGCTTCATTACATTCAGCATCCGGACTCTGGCCAGTACGTAACCGAGTAGGTTCAGCAACTGTGCTGCCATCTCTATGGGAACTTGTCACCACCTACTGCGCTAGGCGGATCATATTTGGACGTACCCAGGAGTCCAAAGAATTTCTCAAAATTGTCTAAGAGCACAGTTGACGTCTTCGTCTGCGACTGTTGCGGAGGAGCGGTCTGCAGCGCGTTAGTGGACATTAGCTCCAAAGCTACGGAAGAAGGGCATCAGCGGTCTGTCAGTCTATCCTCACAGTGCCTACCTTTTCGGGCCTTAGGAGGAGTGACCGGATGCTGCCTCGAGCTCTTAGCCGGAGCTCGGCGTGTCGCAGTGCGTTTCGTGGAGGTCTTCGTGGCCCTTGATGGTGCCGCCTTCTTCGCTACGACAGGTGATCTGCTGAGTCTGGGAGAGGTAGGTGCGACGGGTAAAGCTAATGGTTTCAACTGGTCACAGGCTTGTTCTAATAATGTAGGAATGTCTGCAAGTCCTTTCGGACTTCCAAGGCGGTGTGCGTGCAGTGCTTGCCAGAGCCGTGCAGCAGCCCAATATTGGGGTACGAAGTGAACCAACTCTGCATCTTCGCCGTAATGCTACAGAAAATCAGCTGGCTATAGGCACGGAACACGTGTCATATCTGACCTCTCGCGAAAGCAGCGCTCCGACCTCGTCCCCGATTTCGTCAGGATGACGAGCCGCGAATCTTTGTGCATTCCCACTGCCATAGTACGAAGCTTCCAAGCATCGGACGAGGACGCGCGCCCTCCTGATTGGCATCTTCTGCGGCTCGTAAACGGCGAGGCAGTCCGTCAAGAGGGCGCTGATCACATTCTCGACGCCATCTTTCCATTTACTGCCATCAAGGCCATCTACCTGCCGCTCAAGTATGGCGCCGACAATGCACCTGCTTGAGTCATCTGCTGGAAGCACACCCTCCATAGGACCGCTGAGGGAGACGTCACCGGGTTGTCGGAACAACTCGCAGGCAGCAATGTACGTCACTCTGTCGACTATCGTCCCGAGCTGCTTGGTGGTCGGCGAAACGTCAAAGGCAGACCCGCATGGGCCGGAGCGAGCGAGACGGACGAACTCCGTATTCGCGAACGGGTACGCCTTGATGCACTGCACGAATGCCTCGTAGGCTAGCTGTAATGTTATGAGAACCCGTCTACCGAACGAGAACTCCAGCAAGACGAACCTTCCGTTCACTAATCTTCGAGTAACACACCCCAAGCAATTCCCATCGCCGATGGAGCTGCTCTCGCAGCTGTTTCCAGGACTCCTCCTGCTTCGTCTCCTGAGACTCTGGCGCATTATCTCTAAGGCGCAGAGCTTCCGCGCCCAACTCGCAACCTTGCTGCAAGAACCGGATGGCGGCGGCATGTCGGCTGGCCTGATACAGCGTCCCGGCAGTATTGTAGAATGCACCGGAAAGACACCGCACGTAGTTCGCGTGAGTGTGGACGTCGAACTCAGGGGCGGCGGAGGGACAGTAAGAGACCAAGCGCTTCGCATGCGCCAAGAAGTCGTATGCGGGGGTGTGAGTGTTCGGGTTGGCCACTGAAAGGGTTGTACGAGCGAGGAGAAAGAGACTTTCTACGGCCGGGGTCAATACATCGGTGGTGACCCAACCCTGAAGAAATGATATAACCGGACGTCAGCAATGTATGCGACGATGTAAGTAGATGTCCAACCTGAGACAAAGTATGCTCGTGGATGGCTATGATATCTGTCGCGAGTTGGGTCACTTCCCCTTTCAGTGGGGTCCCAGAATCCTCGATAAGTCTGACAGTAATCCGGCGTAGTTTCTCAAGCGCCCGCCGCACTTTGGACGACACCTTCTGTCCCTCATCGTCTTTGTCCCCGGCCGAGCCTATAAACTGTCGGCATTGGGAGACCGCTGACCTAGCTTCTTGTAGACGCTGGCTGAAGTCATCTAATCGCGAAATGAAGCATGCTGTGTGAGAAAGAGGACACCTGGGGCTGGTACCCATCACGCACCGGGTTCGCTGGTCGAAGCCGCAATTGATTCCAGATACGCAGTGCAACTAGTAAGAGTGGCGCAAATCTTTGCACATTTTACCATCTGCTTCTCGTTCTCCTTGTCACCGAGACCATTTGTCTTCATTGGCGATGCCTCTGTTGTGATCAGCGATGCGACAGCCTCGGTCGAGGCTGCGAGGGAGGTTGTCTGGGAGGGGGAGGAAGATACCTGTAATATACCGGATATCTTGTCTACCAGGGCGATGTCCCCAATCTGACCTAATTATTAGTCTGCACATACTCTTGGTATCTTTGCGAGTACTTACTCGGGTCGCCAGGTTCATGCAGTACTCCCCGCATTCGATGAACCCTCTCCCGCTTGACCACGCCGCTCGATCGCTTCGATTCTCGACATGCGAAGCGAGAAGAGAGAAGAACGAGCAGACCAAGGCGATCGAGCCATTTCCTTCCTTCTCATGAGCCTTTCTAGACGTGCCATAAACCGATTTGACCAGGGCGGCGAAGAACTTTGTCGCCTGATCCCAAAAGGTATCGGGCTCAATGGTAGCGGGGCTCGTGTGAAGGAGGCATAACAGGCCGTAGACCCGGATTTGAAGTAGGGCGTCCGGGGGTCCAGAGCACAGCATACTCGATTTGACGGCAGCGGTGTATGCGCGGGTGTATAGTGAGTCGAGATGCTTGGCAGGGAGGTGTGATAAGTGTGGGATCCATTTCAGGAGGGTCGGTTTGTCGAATAGAATGTGGGAGAGCGCGTTCGAGTCTGAGCCTGACCCGGACCCCAATACAGTATAGAGAGTAGCGATGAGGGAATGGACCAGGTAGGTAGAGATCAACGTCAGAAGATCGGGGTCGGCAAATGGTGATGAAGGAATAGGAAGGCAGAGTAAGCTGAGGTGGGCGGGAAGGTCGGTGTCCCAATTGTCGCCAGAAGGATTTGGAGAAGTCAGCGAGAGACACTGAGACATAAGAACCGGGCGTATGCCGCTTAAGAAATTCGTGGAGACGGAATACTGAGCAAGTCAGCGCAAAGAAATCTCATGTACCGGACCGGGACTCACCATCTCGAGACTAACAAGCTTCCCTCCGATACTCAGGGCCGCTCTCTCTATGTCCATATCACCCGGCTTCAGCTCTCTAAGCTTCACAAGTGCTAACATGGCGGGCTGAACGATCTTCTTGATACTTGTGACATTCCAGGCTTCCGGTGATGCCTTGGACGCTCGAACCTTGCCGGAGGCCTTCCACCCTGATTCCACGGCAGAAGAAAGACTCTGAGATGCTTCATTCACGGTGCGCATTGACATTATGCGCTCATCTTCTGCCGCTTGGGCTGGTGCTCTGCGCTTGCCCTTCACGTCTTTCGGCTTCGAGATAGTAAGCCCTGTCGCGAGCTGCTGTGCGAGCTCATCCGGAGACGTGCCCTTGGACTTGGCGACTCTAGGCTGAGACGTACGTAGTCGAGTAGATTGTATAGCGGGCATCACTGAGTGCACTGTGCTAGTCGCCGTGTGGGTCGTCGAGGTCGATGTTGAAGCTTAAGTGGAACACTCGCCTCACGGTCACACGCGCGCGCTCCCACACGCGTCGGGTCACATGATCGCGTATACTAGTATTGTGGCACGAATGCGTGTCGCCCACACCAACTCCGGATTCACAATCGACGATGTTTATTCCTGCAGATGCTCTGAACTCAAACCGCTATATATCCGACAAGATGGGTACGCTATTTGTGAGATATACCACCTGTCAAACGTCCATCCACCAAATTCAATGCACATACATCCACGACGCGACAAATATAGCTGATGAGGTATTGTAAATGAGGGATAGCTTTCTACGTGAATGCACTCACTTGTGAACTTCATGACTGCCTGGATAAAGACCACTTGATGTTGACCTGATGGCTCGTATCTCGAAAGATATACCTCGAGGGCAATGGCACAAAAATTCGGTGAGCAAACCTGAACGTTCGAGGTTTGGACACTACATCACTGCAGTCCCAGTTCTGAACGCTGCAGTAGCCATGTGAAGGTGAGCGTAATGTAAGTCTCGTCTTCTCGTACGTCGAGCGCCGCTCGGGAACATTGACACTCCCTCATGGTAAACTTACATTGCAAGGTGTAGGGTCTCCAACGCACACGGGAGCCGCGCACAAAGGCACGTCCGTAGCGAGCGTCGGACAAGCCGACCTCAAACCACAGTCTTGTCTCCCAGTCAGATTCCCCCACAATGTAAAGTTCTGTCTAGGGAGCCCGAATGGCCATAACCATCGATTGCATCGACTGCCTCGTTCCCAAAGACAGCACAGTCTCGTTCTGGGAATGGATATCCGGTAAGTCACAGCGTCAGCCCGGCATGGACCGAGCAATCTTTCGGCCCTACTAGGGCCGAAAGCGACGCAGACGAAGGCAGAGACAATACACAGATTCGCCCACCTACTACGGCAGCCTTGTATCTCTCCGCCCCTCCTCATCCCTTAGACGGCTCTTAGGGTGTTAGAGAGATAGCAGCGCCGCATTACGACACGACGACGAAGCGTTCGCTCGCAAGCGCAGGTTGGCAGAGCAACCTCGGGTGGGGCGAGCAATACTGCACCAGGTTGGCCGGTGAGAGGAGAGGGGCTGAGAATATGCTTTCTTATACTGATACCTGGCCAGGCGTCTGACACGTGCATTTGTAGGCCACGAGGCCAACAAAGATCCACATCTCCGCGCTCGCATGCCCAGTCCCTAGACGGTAATGAATGGCCATCCCTCCTGTGGCAATGTATCTCACCGCTAGACCGCACAGGTAGCGGCCATAGAAGGTACAACGTGTTCCCACCTCAGTAGAACGTTCACAGTCCAATTCCTCCGTCCAAACTCTTCAAATATTGGGACGCTGAAAAGTGCCTATCCCCGAGACACTGGCATGGGAATACCCCAACAGGACTTCTGCCTAGAACTTTAACGGGGTTCCAATCAGTGCTTTCACTCGTTTTTCTGGACCTCAGGGAAATGCGAATCGATGCTGATGCCTCGTGCTGTCCCAAAATATCTCATGGGCGCCTAGAGACGTATACAACACTTTCTCGTTTCCTGGGTTTCCCACCTATGCAGCCTTCCGACAGCAACACTCGTCCCGGACAAGATTGCGCCGCCGATCTACTACATTCGCGAGTGAGCGGGCTCACCGCTCATGTGCGATCCAACAAACAGTTCTTTGGAGGCTGGTGTGGTGCCCCGATCGAGCCTGGAGACACCCCTTGTTAGTGGCGAAGGCGGGGCACTGCTGAGGATCGGATGGTAGTGAGTTTCCCCCGTTCTTTTTGGTCCTCGTGCATCTCCTCGAGTCCAAGAGGTGACTCGTAGGATTGTCTGGCCTTGGCCAGGCGGGCGCTGGATAGACTTACGATCTGTTCGATTCTGACGGACATGGTGCACTCGCTTGGGGTATGCAGTGCCGCAGTGGTTGGAATCTCGCTGATCGAAAAAGCTCTGGCTGTTGATCTGTCAGGACACGTCTTATGGCACGCTTGCGCGTAGCAGCAGTAAGAGCTTCGAGGCGAGGATAGGTAGACTATCTCTGATGCATCGAAGGCGTTCTGATAGCGCGACTGCTGCTTCGAGCTGCCAGAAGTGTGTTTGTTGATGAATCAAAGTACGTCAGAGCGTCGCCACCCCACCAGCGCTTGGTGCTCGAGACCATGGCATTGCTGGCAATCTCGCCGTCTATGCATGCATGCTGGTACGCTCTACAACGTACACAGGCGGATGGCTGTTACATAATTTTTGGCCTCCATTCATGGCCGCTTCGGCGCCGTTTCTAACACTGAAAAGTACCAGGTCTTGTGGTGTACTGTTTTTCACGAACGGTTTGGCAGTCAGACTAACGATTTCACTAGGTTGAAGCTCACCAATACATCAAGAATGAGAGAGAGACCAGGACAAATAAATCCTCTTGCAATATCAACTCTGAACTTTCCTGATTCTCCGGACAAGTGAAGCATTGACTCGTAGGTGATTCTATCTTTCAGCTCTCAAGTACCACTAGTCCATCTACGCGTCGAACTACAGTTTTCTGGCTACACGCACTGCACCCGAAAGAGACATAATGCCCGCGAAACATACTGCGCCATCCAGAATCAATGGTGGAAAATCGTAGGATTATCGGATAGAGGAGCTGCGCACATAAATCAAGAATAATAATTGAGTTCAACCACTCCATTAGAACGGAGGGAGCTATCTATTGGTAAGCAAGTTGCAGAAGATTACCAGGACGAACAGCCTGCTCTGCACCAGGGCCAGTCCATTTCAGCTGCAGCCTCCGAGGCCTCGAGGTCGATAGGGTCCAACTCACGCATGAACACGGGACCAGCGCCGCAACTGCCTCAATCTGTAACTCGAAAGGTACATATTGCAGGCTGGAAGGACGAAAAATTCGATGATCATGCCCTGAACGTTCGGGATCCCATATAACTGCAGGGTCCCCAAACGCCACTCAGGGTAAGACGGGTACGACCCAAGCCCTGCCTTCTCGTACGCCCAGCGCCTCATGGGAACATCAACACTCGCTCGTGATTTAATCCCGCGTCGATGGGTCTCAGACGGGAGACGCACATCTGGAATGCACGTTCGCAGCGAGAGCCGGAACTCCCCCGACCTCGGGCTGCAGTTTATCTCCGCGTAAGATCGTCCGCTTCGCGTAGACGAGCCCCGTTACCCTCAAGTGTCAACGCTGTCTCGTGCCCAAAGATCGCGCAGGGTAACAGTGGCCGGAGAAGTTACGGCGCCAGCTTGCTACACTGAGCAAGCAGTCTTCCCATTCCTACACGGACGGAAAGCGACGCAGAGAAAGGCAGGGGCAACACACAACGCGGGACGCGGGACGAGCACCACCGCGAAGGATTGTAGCGAGAAAACGACTGCGAAGACATTCATATATACGTGTAAGGCTCTGGAGCTCATGGATCACGCGGGTAACCTGTGGATAAACATGAGACAGCTGTGGATCCACCTTGAGCCACAATTCCGGTGCATTTCCCGTCGGGGCCGTGCCACACAGGACATCTCCGTTAAGGCATATTTGCCGTTTGGCAGGTACATGTATGGACAGCTCAGGACAGCTCCAGCGAATGGAATACATACATATGCTTGTTGGTCATCTCCCACCGCAACGTTCTGTGGGATGTACTTGCACTGGCTGTAAGATCTGTCGCAATATATTTGGCACTTAGAATCGGCTAACATGACGACTGGCAGCCTAAGCTCGAGATTCTAAGGGGAACGCACTCACCATGACTATGGTATGATACGGCCAGTGGGACCAGCCGGGAAGAACACCATACATGTCTTACAGTCTGGACATCCCGAAGGATATGCGAGTTCCAAAAATTGGCAACCGGTCTGAGCAGTTCCTGAACGTCCCCGGACGTCGCAGCAAGATGCCCAGGTGGCGTGAAGGCAGTCCACCTCATTCCTTCGAGAACGGCGAACTCCCGATCACCACGGCTATTCTCTGCACGTCATGGTGGACGTCGCAGACGGGAGACGCACCCATTGTACAAGCACGTCTGCGAAAGGAGTACCAGTGGCCCCAAGCGCAGTTTATCTCCCCGGAAGACTTCACGGGCCCATTTATGTGACGTACTCGAGTCTGCCAGCAGCAGGTCGAAATCTGGTTCCCGAAGGCGCCTGTCAAGAAGAAGGATGGCAAGCGGGCGACAAGGTCTTGCGCGCCAGTCCAAGGCAGACCTAAGCCGTCTACTCACCACACTCTGCAGGACAGGCAACGTCGAGGAAGGCCACACGATACACGATATCCCACCTCTGCGCCAGCTGCTTGTCTGTCTCGCCCTCTCCGGGCTTTGATGGTTCTTTGGGCATAAGACAAACAGCACCGGTACATCGGGGCACAACGAATGTATCGTTCGCTCGCAAAAGTAGATTGTCTGAGCAATTCTGGGCGAAGCGAGCGATACTGCATACGGGCTGCAGCCGGAAGGTAATGCACGTAGGTATACGTACGCCCCTCTTTATAACGTCAGTTGACGCCCATGATTACTCGAGCATGGAACCTCTTGGTGACATGAGGTTGACATGAGGCTCGGGACAACGGTCACGGTGGGTCATATTTGCTCGTATTTGGCAACGCATTGTGGCGCGCTAGCTCAGTACCTTTGCACCTCTTTTGGATTAATATACCCTCATTACAATGGTCAGTATGATCGTTCCCTGATACTTACTTGAGGAACAATAAGGCGAAAAAGGTCTGGGGTCAGAAGGTATATGACCCATGAGCCGGTGCATCCTAACTCTTAACGCCGAACCTTCAGTCATCATGCGTTATGAGAGTATCACCACCCCTGCGATAGACTCTCCCATGCTTGCTCTACTGACTGATCATTATGCTCATCTGACAGGCGACTCTACCATGCTGCCCATTCCATCTGGACTAACAGGAAGTGTATATCGTATACTGAGCCTCCGGAACCCCGCATACCCGCGACATTTTACCAACGCCATCCATGTCATCATAAAGGATGTTAGGCAGAGCCACGAATTTGCGACAGAACTACGAAGTTATGTGGCCTCTATTCCAGCCGAATGGGTTGGAACATGTGCTACAGTGAGATGCTGCATACATGGATTGACGGCAGCAACATTGTCCACATTTACGAGCCCAGATAATCCATCCACGTGCATAGCGACTCTCTCCTACGTGATGCGCTGGCCACAGGGCCAGGCTTTCTGCTCACACCCATCACCATCTTCATCGGACCTCACACTCGAAGACGGCAGTGCCTATTTCAAGGAACGTTTCCCAGCCAAAGCCAGCTTGGTGGGCTTCGAGCAAACTCTGCTGCTATCACGGGCAGATATCCGACTTGCTCATATCCAGCTCCTTTCTACGCCTCCCATCACTGCCGGCCAGACTAGCCAGCCCACTCTTATCACAGGGCTAGAAGTACGGCCGGAACACCGAGGGCATGGGTATGCTAGATACCTCTGCGAACACGTCGTCAAGGAGCACGGGGAACAAGGAGACGTTCTGGTCCTCGCTAATGTGGACAACCTGGAGGCTGTCGCTCTTTATGTTCGCATGGGTTTCAGGATAGAAAGCATCTACTGCGACGTCGATCTCATGATGTAACCTAAATAGCAGACTTAGAGGAGAGCTACAGTACAGCGCCATGTCTACTGCGTTTCGAGGCGATCACATGCACCCGACCTAACAGCCAATCCAGAGAAGAAAAGCAAACTGGACTGATCAAGCTTCAAGCTTTGCACCGATATCGGCCACGCTAGTAGAGATTATCGCGAGCGCAATGATACTCAATCAATCAAGACATACCTCTAAAAGCCCCAGCCTAGCATATACGTAGCTGCACGCCGAAACGCGCAAAGAGAAAAATTAGTGTCCTCTGTATATCCAGACTAGATCAAGGGCACACGTCCGCCAGGGGAACCTGGCACCGTACGGGGACCGCGAGCACAGGGTAGCAAGTGCATATCCACGTCCAGGGATGCCCCAGTGCCTCGTACACCAGCCATCTCCGTCCCCATTCTAAGGGGAATGTAAGGAGAATGTCCGCCTCAGCCGGGAGAGGCTGGAACAAGCAGAGACAGCCGCTGCAACCACCCTTGGCAGAGTGTCCGCCAAAGGTGTTGAACACTACATCGGTAGAAAGCGCTTTGGCGAGCGCAGGTGATGCCGATAGCACATAGGTGAAAACACTGGACTTGAAGCTACCAGAGTTCGTCGCGCCCAGCTGGGCCCTCCATGCTAAGGACGTGCCACAACATATCTTCAGGCGCACATGAACTGAGGACACGCGAAGCTAGAACAGCCGGCTCGCGAAGGAAAGCCAGAGGCTTTGTCCGTAACGAGCTCGCGGTCTTCGGTCTGCGGTGAAGACAAAGGAGGACGAGTTATGGGGGTCTGCGGGGCGCTATTTATGTCGAGACGGCGTATTCGGAAACATCCGTCTGCTTGAGTCTATTGAATGGGTTGTCGTCGGGTTTACGTCCTGTTGAGGTCAAGGGGAGGCCGAGGCATGATGAGAGCAGCTTTAAGTCATCAGAAGACATTTCGCCGACCGATATCCGGACGTCTCGCAAACGATGCATCTGCAGAAAACACAACGACTGAACAAAAGATAGATAACGATGAGCGCAGCTACCAAAGGACAGCACAAGAGATCATTCATCATATTCGTCCGGAAGCTCGATCCCACTATCCCTCCACCTTGCCGGATCCGCGGGTACCGCCAGATTAATATTCTCATGAATCATGGTATTCCTCAGCAGCCGCACCCTCGTCGTCTTCATCTTCTCCGAGCGTTTCGTGGAAGGGACGAAGTATCTGTTCGCGCACGCCACAAGATTGCGGCGAACGGCGGACTCGACGGGGAAGGTGGCGGAGCGCGGGGAGGGGCCGGGAGACGTGGAGGGTGCGGGGATGACTTGGACTATGGCCTGGGTCTCGATGCTGTGGATCTCGATATTACCATTTGAAAGCAAGGTAGTTATATACGGGTAGTCAAGACCTGAGTGTATAGCGGCAATGAATATATTCGAACCATGGATTGAAGTTAAAGAGGGGGCTTACAAACAGCCTCGGGGTGACTTGGCCACTCCAGAGTTCCACGAACGGGATCTCCTTCCCCGGTAATGAAGACGCCGATCGTGCTTGCACCGGTCCATGAAAGGATCAGGAATTCATTGTCACCGACAACAAGTATGTGCGGCTTGACGGGAGGGTCAGACGAACCCATGCTGGGTGCCTGCGAAAGCGGGAGTAACGGCACAAGAGACGCGGCATGCAAATCAATAATCCCGTAGGTCTTGTCGTCAGCGACGAGGACACAGAGATACCGGCCTGAGCGGCGAGCGATGAGGATGCCTTGATGGAACGGGATATCCTACAGAGCGCATTTAGGGGTGAAGAAACCCGCAGGAAGATAGGAGACTCACTTTCAGAAACAGCAGTCGGTCACTGAGGCTAAAACAAGAGATGCTGGTGCGCTTGATGACGCAGAATTCTACTGCCTCCACTGGATGTGAAGGATCTGCCGGCGGTGAGCGTTTAAGATGCTGGTCTTCCACCGCAAGTGTCACGACATTTCGGATGGGCTTGATGACAGTTGGTGGGACGGGGTCCAGCGAGGGCAGGGTATATACGTGGATCTGTCTGTCTGCGGCAATCTTAAGATTCATGACGATCTCCCCATGTAACGGCGTTATCATACCCGAAAAGATGAGTGCCCGGGATATGCTGGGCAGCAGAGCTATTTCTTCAATTGGCCTTGCATTGGGAAGGCTCTGGCGAGAGAGGAGTTGGTACGACTCTGGCTTGTGCACATCAATACAGTTACGACAAACAAGAATGGATTTACTCACAGTGTTTGGATTGTCTGCCTGTAGCGCATAACGTAGAAGTTCCCCGTTCGAGCAGCCGATATATATCTCTGAGCCTAGTAACCATTAGCTCGTAAGTCCGCCCTATGGTTTCCTAAGTCGCACTCACCTAGAGCTTGGGCACAACGAACCTCGGCAGTAGGTTCAGTTGGATTGTCTGAGGGTCACATGAAAGCATTCTCAGCGGGCCTCGTCCCCAGGATATCGAAACTGCCCTCACCATAACCGGGAAGGACACTGGCTACCAGAGGTTGGATCTGATATGGCGGTACTTTCAAAGGGTTTGTAGGGGCGGAAGTCATCGGTTCAGTGAACGCCGGCTCGATAACAGCAGACGCCTATGTTGTCGACGAGCACGAAAGTGTGTGCCCGACGTCGCTCACGGCGAAGTCGACGAGCGGCTAGCCGAAACGAGACGCGTCGAGGACGCGCGCTCCGGTAGAGCTCCGTGCATTTCCCCTTTGATACATACGTCAATCCAGCGCCAAGGTTCGCGAGAGGGCCGTATAAGGTTGTCACTGCTTTGTACGTTGCCTATGGCCGTCTTTGTTTGCCCAGCTTGCTCGCATTCCTGAGCTTACCGGCAATGGCTCAGAACAAACGTCTGTCTATCTCGAGCGCGAGGAGCGTGGCTGTAAGGTCGCCGTCGCCTATAGCAGCCAGTGTACCTTCGACCGCGGACTCAGACGAGTGGGTGAAGGCATGGCAGGGGGTGCTGGCGAATGGTATGTCTTTGTTTTTCTACAAGGTACGAGCGAAATTGTAAATGCGGCTCACCCCAATGCCACCTTAGACCTTATTGATTCGCCTGTTGTGGCCGTGGATGCCGACACTACGGTCGAAGACGCATGTGAGGTGAGCCCCAGCTGTCCCCCTAACTTTGTTTGAGTGTACTGAGACGGGCCCTCCTTGCGTCGCAGCTTCTTCTGTCCAAGGACTTGGCATGTCTGGCTGTGAAAGCACCAGCGGACCGATCGTCCTCGAAGTCCCCGTTCGTCGGATTATTCGACGTGAGTCGATATGGCTTACTGCGAGTTAAACCCCTGCTAAGATGCACACTTCGTCCCATTCAAAGTTCGCCGACGTTAATGCCTTCTTGACATTAGCCGCCACACGACATACTTTGCACCCAGACTATCTTCGCGACAATCCCAGGATTCACCAAATCGTGGAAGCTGCAAAGTCAGGACCCGACGTCCCTGTGTACCTCGTCAGCAGTACGTCCTAGTTACCACGCACCGGACAAATCGGATTGACCGTCCCTGCCCAGACCTTTCGGAGAAGAATCCGCTGGAGATACTGCCCCACGACGCGACTATTATTTCTCTTCTCGGAGTCTTCTGCAAAGGGACGCATAGAGGTACCGTGTCTTGCATCGCCTCTCGGGCCATGCAGGGAACTGATACGTCGTACCCGCCAGTTCTCATTTCTTCACCATCCTCATCCACCGAGTTCTTGGGCTTCGTCTCAGACCGCAGCCTTCTGTCCTGGTTCTCTAAACACGCGCAAGAAACACCGTCCTTCGCCAAGTTCATCTCGAACCCGCTCAACACCCTTTCCCTTCCGTCCATCAACTTGTATGTCTCGGTCGTCGCGACGACTTCCACCGCGACACTCTTGGACGCGATGCGTCTCATGAGCGACCAAGGAGTCAGTAGCGTTGCTGTTATCGAAGGGGAGGGGGGCTTCCTGCACAGTGCTATCAGCGTGACTGACATCGGCAAGGTTCGGGGTTTTGTTCCATAAGCCGCGTCCGAAGCTGATTTGATTATAGGTTGTGGTACCATCGCAGAGCCCACAGATACTGTCTACCCCTCTGCATCAAGTGATTAATCTCATTAAGGTAATGCTCCCGGATGTTCTGGTTGTTGACAGGTATAAAATGGTTGTTCCAGGAACCTTATGGAGCTACGGACGGAAATGAGAGATATCCTGGTGAGGTTCCAGGCTCCCAACACTATATCCTTGATCTGACTGTTATGAATAGTATATTCCGCTTCACCAAACAGTCCTCTTTCCTATGCTATTGAGAAGATCCTCGCTAGTAGGTCCATGAATTAGTATGCCGCAACCACTTCACTAATTGTGTTCTTGACAGCCAATTCTCACCGCCTATTCATCACCTCTGACTCGACTCGACCCACTTCGCCAGGCATATCCGGCAAACCTAACCACGTCTGCGGCATCGTCTCGGTCGTTGACAGTAAGTTGCTGCCTTGCCCATAGTCCGGCACTTTAATGACGTCACCCCCAGTTCTCTCGCTGTTCGCGCGCATCGCGAACGTACCGGACGTCGACCCGACGCGCATGCAACGCCACCGCCGCGCATCTTCCGCGTCCTCCTCACTGTCCTCTCGCTCGTCTATGTCGGGCAGCGATGCCTTTGCGAGGTCACGGAGCGGCAGTAGGACTAGCGTCAGCAGCCCGACCAAGAGCGGGACCAGCTTGGATGGGTCGTTTGTCTGGGCTGACAGGGTGCCTCAGCCGTCTACGGAGAAGAAATGAAGGACGTATACGACAGAGGCTCAAACGTCGTCCACCTATGGAAGACTGTATTACTTCATACTATTGAATAAGCTTGTGGTTGTAAGATATAATGTTGCAGAAGTGTATATACCAGTGTATTCCACCCACAACGTCATGCATTCAGGCATATTCTACATATTATAAATACATAAGCGCATGTAGGGATGGCTCTCCCCTGTATGTGACTCAAGCGAGACGTCCTAATTATAAGATAATTTATCGTCTACTCACGCGCAGTGTCGAGCTTACAATAGGGAGGTGTAGACTGTCGCTGAGCGCTGAGCGGCCATATATACGTCTATTTGTGGGTATCGTGGGAAGACTTTGTACCTGCTCTATTCTGTGGTTCGCGACCCTTCAGTCCTTGCTCACTTGTATCCTGCAAAATGTCGGACGGTATCGCGTGGCAGGAAAAACTTAGGTGAGCTAGCGCCTACCCGGTGGATCCTGTCCCGTTGATAATCGAAAGTAGCTGTGAACAAAGTCCCTACTGAAATCTTGAACGAGATTTTCAAAGCTGTAGCAAAGGAGTGCAATGCAAGTTCTCACTTTCTCTGCCTGGTACGGCTGTCCGGCATTTCCGAGTATTGGCGAGAGGTGGTGGTCGGAAACCCCACGCTCTGGGCGGATATCCATCTCAATTATTGCAATCCGAATTCAGAACATGAGCTGGAAGTCGCCAAACTATACTCAAGCCGCTCGAAGGCGCACTTGGTTAATCTCTTCCTGCGAGAAGGAGTAGCCGAAAGTCACCTCACAGACGACCCACACCAACTCAATCAGGCTCTCATATCCATTTCAGAACGCTGGGGCTCGTTCGCTTCTGCAACTGCATGAGTCGGGTCTTGCATGCTGGTCTTGCCCCTAATCTCAAGCACGTAACTCTGCGAACCCTGAACACATAGATGAGTATCACTCGCACCACGCCTTGTCTGGGCATGTATTTCAGGCCCCCGCTCTCGCTGAATTACACCTCCGATCCAAGATGCTCATTTATACGCCCCAGTGCTTCCTGTTATCACAAATTTCCGTCCTAGAGCTTGCTTATGATCCTCCAGACTATGATTTCTTTCCCATAGGATGGTGGGAAATACATTCAATACTATCGCAATGCCCGCTTCTGCAGCGGCTGAGACTCCGCTTGAGCGTCGAGGAAGATGCCCAAGACTGGAATAGGTGACCCTACCGCAAGCTAGTGTTACCGCGTAGCGTGAACTGGACCTTGGCTTCCGCAGTGACTCTCTGAGCAAGTACATTGTCAGAGGTGTTTCCATGCCGAACCTGGAGAAGCTTTGTCTATCCGTTATACCAGCCGTCACCCTTTCCCAATTTGAAACAAAGTTATCCTGCGCTCCACTCGATTTCATCCCACAATCTTATTCTGTATTCCTTTGAAGGTCCAGTCCCTCTCCTACGCGCCTGCAAGGATGTGGAGCACCTCCAAATTAGCGAAAACCACATTGACAAACTCGAGGAGATCCTCAGGACCCTTATAGAACCTGGCAATGAACCGAATGGCCCGGACCCGATCCTGCCGAATCTGCACACCCTAAGCATTCGTCACTTAGATTGCCAGAAGGATGGTGTATACTGTGCCTTAAGTGCCAGGTCTATCCGTGCTTTTTTGGAAAGACGGCTTGCGCCGGGCAAACCTGTGAAGACTCTGTATATGGAAGACCGCGAGACAGACAAATTCCGACACCTTGGGCTGCTTCTTGAGCTGATTAACAGTCCCCCACCCGATGAACCTTGGATGGATGTGTGAGACGACTACGTATTACCTTCCTCCTGTCTTCCACTCTCCGCTGCGTCGGTCTATAGGAGGCTTGAGACCAGGTGAATTGCGAAGTATGCTCTTTTGACAGAGCCTCGCAGGGTCCATAGACCGTTTGTATGCCGGTATAGAGGTGTTCACCCCGAGGTTGATTGCTATCAATTCCCGTAAGACAGTGTACTATTCGCTGTATACGCGAGCAACGCAATGCAGATAATATATTAATATTCAATTGCGAGGGAGACGCGTCTGTGGGAGAGGTTGGGCTGAGGTGCTACTTGCCTGGTGAATGTCGTGGGAACATTGTGGCATCCGAGTCGGACGTTGGCTCTCTCGTTTGTTCCTTACTTCTTGCTCTTCTCACTAGGACTGAACATAGCTCGCTACACCTTTGCATGATGCTACGTCGATTGTTGTATCTCTCGAAAATGCTCGATGCTATCGCAACGCGGACACAGAAGTGTAAGTGGCGTTTCCCTGCTAGTGGCCCTGCTTCCCGCTGATCCAAATGTCTTGAGTCACGGTCGCATTTGTGGACAGGGTTCCCCCAGAAATACTTACTGAAATCTTCATGCTTGTTTCAAAAGGGTACGAGGCGCAGACCCACTTCCGCTGCCTCCTAGCTTTGTCCAGCGTCTCGAAGTACTGGCGAGAGGTGGCGATTGAAAGTCCCTTGCTCTGGTCGGACATCCATATCATTTATTGCAATCCGCGTGCAGAGAACGAACTGCAAATAGCCCAGCTATACACGACTCGGTCCAAAAAGCTCTGGGTCAATCTCTTCCTCTACGAGGGCACAGCGACAGAACACCTAGAAGAGGAATGCCCTCAGCCAGAATGGCCTCAACTCGATAAGACTCTCACCTCGACTTCACAACGCTGGCGCTCGCTCGTTGTGGCCGGCCTCTCTACTCGCTTCTGCGCCTGCATTTGTCGTCTCCTTTATACTGACCTCGCCCCGAACCTCGAGACCATAAGTCTGTACACTCCTGAGCTCATGGACTGTTTCATTAGGCTGCGCGCGACCAGTGGGACGGTACTGCGTGCACCAGCCCTAGCTGCATTGCATCTTCGATCCGAGACGCTTGTTCTCATGCCCGAGCGGTTCACCTTATCCCGGCTGTCCGTGCTTGAACTGGTTTACGAACGTCCGCCCTCGAGTCCTTCTACTCTGGAATGGCGGAAACTGCGTGTCCTGCTCGCCCAATGCCCGTTCCTGCAGCGGATGAGACTCCGCTTGACTATCGTCGAAGATACTCAAGAGTGGGAAAGATGGCCCTACCGCGAGCTGACCTTCCCGCTCTTGCACGAGCTGGACCTAAGCTTCCGTAGTCTCAATGCCACTGCTGCCCTGACCAATCATGTCATCAGAGGTCTTTCAGCTCCGAACCTGGAGAAACTATGCCTATCCACTATCCCGGACGCCATGTCCCTGTCTCGTTTCGAAGCAAAGTATCCCGCGCTCCGCATGATTTCCTTCCGCGACCCAAGCTTGGGGGCTCCCATTTATTTTCTAAGCGCCTGCGGGGATGTGGAACACCTCCAGATCAGTGGTTCTGAGATTGACACAACTGAGTTGATCGTTAAGACACTTACGGAACCTAGATATTTCCTCAATGAAACACTCACATCCAACCCGATCCTGCCGAAGTTGCGCACCTTGAACATTCGTGAACTGGGTGGCTGGAGGGACGGTCGTTTCTGCAGCTTAAGCGCTAGCCTTGTCCAGAAGCTTCTGGAGACACGGATTGCGCAGGGCAAGCCGCTGGAAAAGTTGTATTTGGCGGACCGCGAGATAGACAGATTCCGACACCTCGGACGGTTCGTTGAGTTGACCAACAGCTGTCCGCCCGAGGAGCCTTGGATGGAGGTATGAGAGCAGTGTCGTATTGTTTTCATACCGACCGTGTCTATGTCGCGAGAGTGTACTGAACTCGTTTCCACTCGTCTGATTGGGCTTCGTCCACTGGTTCGTGTCCGGTGAACAATCCTATGGGCGGACATATCCGACCCCTTTATCGACAGTCGTCCATAGCAAAGTATCACTTTTGTTGAACCTGATCGTAGAGCGTCCTGACCCCCACCCGTCCCATATTCAGGCGTGCACCGACATTGGGATATTGGTGGCTTCGGTGTACACCTGCTAGAGGCGTGATGAATTCCAAGTAGTCTCGACTGCAAACCTTCCTGCTGACAGTCTCATGATATCATCAACGATTTGCATTGAATAAAGAACTTTTCTCCCGTAGGTAGCCCAGATTCAGCGCAAAAGCCACAAAACAGGCGCAAGAGTTAAACTTGGCTTGTTAGTCCATTGCCACGTGCTGTCTTACTCAACAGCGCCGGCGCCGGTGAACATCACCGACGTCGCTCGCTCTCCCCGTCGTTCGCCATCGCGTCCTCGACGTTAGCATCCGGCATAAGCAGTTTCAAGAACACAGAAACGTGAGTACAATGAGGAAAAAGACAGTTGGTTGTCGAACAATTCTCGCGCTGGAAAGGCAGCGTCCGATAGTTCTGAGCGGCGACGGTATCGGAATCTGGAGTTTTCAGTCGGAGAGGAGTGGCAGCCCGTTCGGCAAGCCCTTCATTTCCTCTTGTCTTTCCTACACCGTCGTCTACGTCGTATCACAGAACTAACAGCATGCTTGCAGAGTGTTGCCCGCATCCCCCTCGAAATCGTCGTCGTCGTTGTGCTCGTTGTCGTCGCGGTCATGTCCGATGAACATTCGCAGTCGCCTCCCCAGGCCTCGAGCAGCCAGGAGCAGCACCAGCAACCGCCTCCTCCGCCCATGGTTCCCTACGGCCTGCCATACCCACCACCCCCAGGTTATCCGCCCTATTTCTATCCACCACCTCCTGATGGATCGCACGACCCGAACGCACCTCCAGGTGCACCATTCATGGTTCCCTACCCGGCCCCGCCACCTGGGTTTGCTTATGTCTACCCTCCAGGTAAGAACCATGAGTTATTATCCTTGATGGCTGCTTATGCCATGCAGGTTATTACCCACCGCCACCTATGGGCATGCCCATGCCCGCGATGGTCACGAAACCTAAACGCAAGCAGGTTAAAATGGCTGTATGTATATGCGTGCTCGTGATTCTTCTACTGCTAAGCCCTGTTTAGTGCACGAATTGTGCCGCCGCATGTAAACGCTGCGATGAAAACCGGCCGTGCGACCGGTGTCAAAAGTACGGTATCGCGGACAGCTGCGTCGATGGAGTGAGGAAGGAGCGGAAGAAAGGAGTCAAGCGGGGTCCATATAAGCGAAAGAGGAAGGGCGACTCGGACTCAGGACTAGGTGCGTCCGCAGGACATTACTTGTATACTAGTCCTGACATTCACCGTGTTGGTCATAGACCCTGCCGCTGCGCCTGCCGTTCCTCCGTCTCAAGCGATCCACCCCGTCTACGGCGCACCGCCGGGGGAAGGATTCTATCCTGTATACTATGCTCCCCCGGGATATGTGCCGCCGCCGGAAGGGGGCGACGTGAGCGCACCCGCCCAGCCTTACTACCCTAGTTACCCGTTCCCTGGCTATCCACCCCCTCCAGCGTCGACGCAATCGTCGCCGGTAACGGTCGAGCCCTCGCAGACGCAGTCAGAGAGCAAGGCCCAGGAGCAGGAGCCGACGGTTGAGAAGACCAAAGAGAAGGAGAAGGGTGAGCGGAAGAAAAAGAAGAAGCGGCGGGTCGACGCTGAGGGCCAGAAGGAGAAGGAGGGTGAGCCTGGGGGAGCGAAACCTACCTCGAACGGCTCGTTCGCTGTCCCTCCTCCTATCATTGCTGTTGGGTGACGGGTTCGCTGTGGGTGTTCAATTCGATCTTATGTTGTTTTTGTTGTTCTTGTTGCCTATTCAATGTTTCTCGCATACGCGCTATATGCTAAACTCCTGCGCTGTAATTCTCTTTCGAGCTTAATGATATGATCACCTCAATTAGTCACAGTTGTGTGAACTCAAAGTCTCAAACGGAGACATTGACCATGGATCGGCAATATCCGGCTCGGGATAGCGCGCCTCTGTTTACCCGTATTTGTATTTTGTGGCACTTACGCGTCTGCAATAAATTTGAGAAGTTATTCTAAGTCCGACTTCACAACTGCACCAGCAGCAGTGTTCTCATTCCTCATTCCTCTTGCCTCGTTCTTCTACGTCTACGCAAGTCTTTAATTTCAAGATGTCTGCTTTCCGCTCTCTCCGTCAAGTCGCTGCGTCTTCGTCTCGCGTCTCTGCATGCAGGGTCGGGACTTCGACGTGCCGGAGCAGGCTGTTGCTGAACTCTGCTACGCGTTTGCCTCTGCGGTCGGCGTCCCGAGCGTTCTCTATCACAGCACGGGCTCAAGGAGAGGCTGCGTCGGATGCTGCGCTCGCGCAGAAGCTCCAGGAGGAGCTGAAGTATGAGCAGGAGGCAGCCGTGGAGGCAGAACCGGAGTTCTTGAAGACGTTCAAGAGCCAGAACGTCTGGCAGGTAAGTTGTGCAGCATTATCTTTGAACAACACCAATCTGACATGTGGACAGATTGAAGATGTTGCAGGGAATGACGAGGTGACGCTCACGCGGAAGTTCGGCAACGAGACGTACGTGCTTCTTCCTACCAGCTACCCATATCCGCGCTAACGTTGACCTCCAGCATCCGTCTCGTCTTCTCCATCGCGGACATCCAGTCGCCACAGGAGAACGAGTTCGACGAGCCCGAGGAGGAGGAGGGCGAGGGCGAGGAGTCCGAGCCCCCAGTCAACTCGTACCCTATCCGGTGCTCGTTCTCGATCACCAAGTCGACCGGGACCGGCGCGCTCAACATCGACGCGATGTGCCAGGAGGGCACGTTCATCGTCGACAACCTGAGCTATTACGCGGACGCGAAGACCGGCACGGAGCTCACCGCCGAGGCGGACTGGAAGCGTCGCGGGCTGTACATCGGGCCGCAGTTCGACACGCTCGACGTGTCCGTCCAGGAGGCGTTTGAGCAGTTCTTGCAGGAGCGCGGGATTAACGAGAACCTTGCTCTGTTCATTCCCGAGTATGCTGAGCACAAGGAGCAGAAGGTGCGTCCCTCCTTCATGCTCCAGTCGCTTCGATGGCTTACCTGTTTGCGTTGTCTATAGGAGTACGTGAAGTGGCTGGAGAACGTCAAGAAATTCGTTGAAGCTTGACGGTTGAATTCATGCCATGCTACGACCACTTAGACAAAAGTATCACCTACCATGACACTTTGCTATCGCTTTGTATTACTCGCATTATGCTTCGATATTAATAATGACTCTGTCACCGCTCTACTCGTTGCCATTTGTAAAATGATGCGTGATGGCCTACGGGGAGGAAGCGCGACGGAAACTACGGATTGCAAGAACCATCATTACATGGATGGTCTACGTACTGGCGGAGTTCGTCCCCCCTGTTCGAGACGCATACTTAGGCAGCAAACTGCCAATCTAAAGCGGAAACAGCAACTACATACGTTCATTATAAATCGAACAGGCTGTCCATCGAAGGATTAGTGAGAAATTTCGATGCGCAAAGCCAATTAGCACACACCTATTTGCTAATGCTATTGTAGACATACAAACATAATGCTCGTGAAAACGAGCAAAGCAAAAAAATTTGAGAACAACACGACAGCCCAAGAGTAGTCTGAATCGAGTTTCATCGTCTTCCACGAAGGAAAACATGATGAGCCGCGAAGTGAACTGAAGGGCAGGGTACCTGTCGACGCGCCCAAACGCTTCGCACTCCCCTCGTACGCCGTCTCGCCTGCTGCACATAAAGAGGCGCAAATGCGAGACGAGACCTCACCCATAGGAGAAGTACTGGGGTTCAACGGGGGCTCACCGATGTTCGGATTTACAGTCACGCCCTGTGCGCTTTCTTTTTTGACGACGCGATTTATTAACGTTACGCGTGCGCACGAACCTCTTCCGTTAACTCTGGACCCGAGGGTGAGGCTCTTCTGACGTGAACGACGGTCTCCTTGGGTCGAGGTGACCGCCGCGGCACACGATGGTACCTGGGCGCGATAGAGAGCGGGAAAACGCAGGACATTCGTCGAAGATGTACACCCACCCGGCCTCCGCGACGCTTTCAAAGCCCAACAGTCCGTGCCCTCCCTCCGTCGCCGAAGATCTTGGGGACGAAGGATTGTCGAGCTGGTTTTCTGGTGCGTCGCGCAGCGGGTTACCGCTGGACTCTGCTAGAGTCAATCGAGGGAGACTAGAATGCTCAGACCTTAGCCCGCTCACGAGCGTGGACGCGCTAGGGCATCCTGTGCGGAGTGAGCCTCGCGGCTTTCGAGCTGTCGTGGTTGAAGAAGAGAAGGCTGAAGCTGGATTCGCCTGTTAAAACATCTCGGGGGATGCCGTGATGTCGTTCGTCTCCCACGCATATTCTGCAGAAATATCAGCATACATCGGACGGGCCACGATAATCAAGCACCTTTGCCCGGGAATCCTGTGGAAGTACATGCGCTCTCTCGCGGATATCTAATGAAATATCATCTTCCCTCGACACCCTAGCAGTGCCAGTCACCCTCTGGAGCTTCTTCACCCAACCCCTCAACGAGTTTCCCGAGACATCTGAACCTTCCAATATCTCCTGGCATTCAAAAAATATCTTCTTAACCGGACAGCCCGATGAATGCCTCGCGTATAGAAGGTTCCGAATGGGTCCTACATCTAGACAGTAATCTCACCATCCGATCCTCAGGGTATAGAACCTCGTGGATCGTTGTTCTGAGGAAACTGCGTTCCTGATCGCGTCCCTAAGCAGCTGAATAACGCCTTCCATGTCAGGTCCTGATAAACTGTCGACATGAATATGCTGCACTTTGTCACGAGAGGACAGGAAGATGTCCATGCTTGTACTTCCTTCAGCGGCGGAAGGGTGCAACATCGGAGTAGCAAGCACTGTCTTCTGAAGGGCCGGAAAATGAGTAGGGGAAGCCAAGGGCTTAGCCCGCAAGCATAGCACTTGCAGGTTCGGGCGAGAGACGCCTTGGCAGAAATACCGGGAGACTCCCTGTCGAACAATTCACATTTCATTTCAAGTATAACAAGTGCGCGCTGAAGGCCCGCAGGTAATGACTCGACCGTAACAGTGCTTTTGTACCGTACAACTACTACTCAGCGCATTCAGAGACTAACTCATGCAGATCAGAATTTCAAATTACCTGTGGTTCGTCAAAGTTGAGTGGCCTTCACTTACAAGGAGGCCCTGCAGACATCTATTCACAAATCTAAGTCGTCTTCCGCGGGCTTCCCCTCAACCAACTCTACGAGCAGCTGTAGGTGCCGGAGGTCACCAATCTCGTCTGAAGACAGATTCAGTATTTGTATAGGTGAACGGGATGCAACTCGAGCGGCCAAGAATTGTCGGATAGGTCTATCACTCAAGGGCGCGTGCCAGCCTCCTCGGCCCTGAGCCGCAGTATGGTTGATAGCGAGACTACGCAAGTTTTGTAAAACGGCACAATAGTTATATGCCCGCGCCGTCCGTGGGTACCTGGGTGGCGGGGCTTTCCCTCGATGCCACAAGCATGTACGGCTGGAAGTTGTGGAACTGGGACAGCAGCTTTTCCTCAAAGGTCCTCAGCTTGCTGCCGCCTGAGTCTTTCCTGCGGTTTCCTCCCGCACTGTAATTCCCCAGTGAAGCTGTATCTCAGACTTCGATAAAATAACGAGTTCCTTGCGACGCTTGAACGTGTCATAATCTCCACGATCGCTTCCCTCTCTGATCCCTTCTCCGTAATTAATACCTGCTCATAACATATATGAGAGCGGTATCCGGATCACGTAGGAGCTGCTATGATCAAAGTAGCATTCCTGTGCTGCGGGTGAGAACTGTCCCTTCATTCTCAATCATGGAGATACAATATGCAGTACTAATGACTCTTCTTCAGACGTCCATCCATAGATCAAGCTCGTCTTCCGGAGGTTCTCCTTCGATCAGCTCTACCAGTTGCCTCAGGTGCTGGAGAACCCCAGCCCCATCCGACATAAGGTACAGTGTTTTTACAGGTCTACCGGATCCATTTCGTGCGGCCAGAAATTGCTGGATAGGCCAGCCTCCAAGTTCTCGAGCCCTCGGGTGTTTGATGGCGAGACTGCCCAAGTCCTGTAAAACGGGATCAGGATGACCCTGGAAGTCAAGAGTACACTCGATCAGAAAGTCGATGACGCCCTCGAGTTCCTCCGCCACTCTGGTTACTATCACAACATGTTCCACGCAATTGCAAGCGGATAGTAGGGCATGCATGTCCTGTACAGTAGCTCCTTTGCCAGTGAATGGAGATGTAACATAGCAGAATTCAATTTTGCGTAGTTCAGGATACTGCATGTGGATACAGGAGGCTGGGGCGAGCTCCGACACACGTAGTCTCTCCAATTTGGGACAGGATACTTCTTGGAAGAAATGGGCAGAGAGATTTCGTGTGTTACTGATGTCTAGTGCGCGTAGGGCTGGTAAATCGAGTATTCTGATGCGCCGGTTTTCCGGTTCCCCTAGGCTCTCCGCAAGGTGCAATCGCAGTTTCAGCCGTTCAAGACGATGACAGTGGGTCAACATTTGACGCAACTTGTGCCATTCTACTCCTCGGCCGCCACGAAAGGTTAATGCATGCCCGTCAATCTCCAACGCAGTCAATATAGACAAAGGGAAGGAGTCGGGTGTATCAAAGGGTACGAGTGAGCGGATACGTAGGCTTGTCAAAGCCGGAGTCTGCCATTTGACACCGCGACGTGGATGTCGGCCCATGAAAACGTCAATGGGACACTCTTTAGGTAGACAGACAATATGCTTCACATTGGGCATCGGGACCGTATGCAGCATTTGCACCATGGAGCCGAATAATTTGGAGAAGTTGGGGAAGTCGAAGTTAAGTGAGTGCCAGCGCTCTGATTCCGCTATCAGGATATCAAAGAGTCGACGAAAGAGCTGAATAGCGCAATCTTCACTTCCTCTGGAGTCCGGGCGTACTCTGGGACGTCCGCGATACATCCTTGGCAAGGCCTGTGGCTGTGGCACGGGCGGCATATCCGTGAGGAACAAGTTGAGCGGGCGAGTCTGAGATCGGATCAGATAAAGATTGGCTATGTCAGGTCCGTTACATAGTCCGACGCTAAGGTGCACGTCGGCCCAGAGGATGGTGTTCCCTAGTATCAGCGCCCGCCAGTACTTCGACACGCTTGACATTTGGACCAGATGGAAGAAATGTGAGCATCTTGCGCAGTCTTGTAACACGAGTCCATGAATTTTGCCGAGTATTTCTACAGGGAACTCGTCTATGCCTGTGATGGTGTCCGAACGAGTACTACAATGAGAAAGCAGCCGCTGCGGGAAATCGGCGATGGGCTCACCTTTGCCCACCACTGCGACACTAGTTGCCATCGTTGCAAGCACAAGACGTACCAATTCAAGTGCAATTTGAGTGTTTTACAAGGTATCGTGCTCAGTCTGCAATGCGAATGGGTGGTGGAGAACGTCGAGAGCAGCAATCGCCAGTGTGGCACAAGAGTGTTCCGCGGGTGGCGAGCTTTCCCACGATGCCACAAACATCATTCGCTGGACAGAGTTGAAAGTTGAACTGGTACAACAACTCTTCATGCCAGGCTTCAAGCTCGACTAGGTACTGCAGATGGTCCTGAATCACACCCTGACAATATGCCGCAGGGCTTCTTTCCGAGCTCTGTCGCAGTCGCGCACGCAACAATTCTGCCATCGTCCTGTCCCTGACCCAACACCAATCCCGAAGCTCTCAAATCCTACACCATCCGAGTTCAAGTCAAAAATACTTGACGTAGGCGCAGAAAGCCTGTCCCCTCACATTGTCACTGGGCTGTCCTCGCAGTGGCCGGCCATGACGAAGTGGAAGAGCATCCAAAGTTTGCTTACGGACGAGACCGCCGACATGCTCGTGCCCGTGGAGTTAGGACCCAGGAATGTCGGATACAACATCAAAGCCGATGGTGCTGACTGGGACGGCGGGCAGTGGCAGCGACTGGAGACTCGCTTCAAGTTGTTCGTGGCTTTGCTGGAGAGTGGGCAGTGGAGTGGCGCTGCGTATGTCTCGCAGCTAAATATTGACGAGGTATGCATCTATCCTTCCGAAGCAGCCATCATGGTGCACAGTCTTCGTCGGGTATAGGTCTGTGTCGGCGAGACGCATGCTACACCTCGACGAGGGCTCCGCATCATGAATGTCGGCCAACTCCCTAGGTTCCCTGATCGTCCGCTTGAGCTGTTGCTCACTATGGCCGGGCGGACGATCATGCGATCAAGTGATCTGTGAGTGATAGAATAGACCAGCCATACTCATCTTCCATTACCGGCGCTCCGTTACACGGGGTTTGACAGATTCCTCCCCTCAAAGCCGATGTTCAGCTGCCAATTCCGCACGCACCGGATCTAGCAGCGCCTCCAAATTTATGGATTGGCTCAGCAGATACATATACGCCCGTACGTCTACCACGTTCATTCAAACGCGTGCCTTGTACACATAAACCGTTGCGGCCCAGATCCATCGCGACATCCTCGGCCATAACCTACTCTTCCAAGTTCTCGGCAGTAAAGTCGTCCGCGTCTTTCCTCCCTCCGAAAAGCCCTTCCTCTACATCTCGGAAGAGCCGTGGTTACGGAATACCTCCCTCATACCCTTTGATCACGGCTTCGACGCGGACAGGTGGCCACGATTCCGTGAGGGTGTGAAGGTGTGGTATGAAGCGACGATCGAGCCGGGAGACGCGGTATTTATACCCAAGGGCTGGTACCATTCAGTGAGGGCGCTAGAGGAAAGTATCAGTGTCAATTCGTGGTTTCTGTAAGCTTCTTGGGTTCTCAGAGCCGCCGTCTGACAAACACACGTCCGCGGATTGGGTTACAAGACTCGAGGTTGATGGACGCTTTGGACTGCGTTTACCTCCTGCGTTGACTCTGATTAGAGTGGTGGCGGGATGCCCAATATATATGTTGTGGCAGCTGTTGAGCTGCTCTCCAGTCCCGTGTCCCCTTTGTGCCTGATTGAGGGCTATACTGAGCAGGTGCGATATTTTGAGCGACTCCGTCTCCGCAACTGCGTCGTCGTTCCTAGCTGCGATACTGCTGTTACATCGACGACAGCGTCGACTTGGCGTATTCAACGAGGCTACAGCATAAAGAACGCCAAACGTGATGTCACCCGCGTCCGCCTGAGCAGCCGACGCCCCACCTGTTTGTTTCCGGTAGCACGATACGATATTGCAGCGGATGCGTTCCCACCGCGCAATTCAGCTGAGAGTTCACGTATACATCCCGCTCTGTGCATGAAAGATGGCCTTCGGCCGTAGAAGGTTGACTGCTATCTGCCAAGTGCACCCGATACTCAGGGCTGCTCGGTGTCCGGAGGGGGCGCGGAGACTTGACGATGGCTCGAACGGGTCCGGATTTCCCGGAATGGCTACCGGCAGCACCGATCGGTCCTGACGCGGAGCCTATTGTCCCGGGCCTCGGCACCTTGACTCAAGGCAGGGAGCGGGCCTATATTGATCTGCGTCATGTCTGCAGGGCTGCGCAACTTTTCTTATACCTCTAACGTCCCTCTCACGACCCCGTTTACGACTTGAATACCTCAAGATGGGTTCCCCTCTAGATACCCCCATATTGCCACTGTTGAAAGTAGTCTTTGAGGTGAGCAGCGATGAGGATTTTGGGTGCACTATCGTCGAGCTAACATGCACGGGAACGCGCGGCACAGTCGATACTGGAGGTGTTCCTGCTTTGTCTAGCGGGATATATCCTTGCAAGAAAGGGAGTGCTCGACAAGAAGACTCAGAAAGTATGTGTTTTAGTCGTTATCGATGTTGCCAGGAATGTATATCTGACGTTAACCCTGCCCGCATATGAACGCTCCAATAGCAATTGAACCGCGTCAACGTTTCATTATTCACGCCATCGCTGTTGTTCTCGAAAGTAGCGTTCTTCTTGTCGCCTGGTGAGTCCCCTTGCTCGTCGGCGTGCTCATGTGGTTAAGGACGTCTTACAGCGAAACTGAAGGAACTATGGATCATCCCAATATTTTTCACTGTTACCACTGTGGCATCCATGGCCGTCGCGTATGTCCTGGGCGTCACGTTCAGGCTGAAGCGGTCACAACGTAGTTTTGCGATTGCGGCAGCCATGTTCATGAACTCCAACTCGTTGCCCATCGCGTTGATGCAGAGTCTGGTTATCACAGTGCCCGGCCTGAAGTGGGGAGACGATGATAACAAGGATGCGATGGTGGGAAGGGCGCTGACTTATCTCGTCCTGCACAGTACCATGGGTATGGTGGTAAGTGGCACCGTGTTTCGCTCATCATATCATCTCTTAATCTAGGCCTTGGATGCAGCTGCGCTGGAGCTACGGAGTCCGTTTGTTGGCTCAAGCTGATCCGGAACCGGTTGAGATGAGGGATACGAATGAAGCTACTCCTCTGCTGGAACCTGATGAAACCGCCTTCCCTCCATCCGCGGAAGAAGAGCAGATCCACCGTCACGAATACCCAGAGCAGCGGCAAACCAGTACGTCGTCATCCACGCAGGTCAGCGGGAAATCTACGCCAGAAATTACCGTCGCTCGCCCCAACGACCACCTTAAGCCCGACGCGGCATACCAGCCTAAAGACCGGGCCGCGGATGACACCACGTCCGCTGAGTACGACAGCGCAACCATCGACGACGACGATTCCGACGAGCTCCTCATTGGCCGCCCCGTCACGGAACCGACGTCGTCCCGGTTCCAGTCGCGCATGCGGCAGACGAAGACGAAGTTCAGGAAAGGCTGGAAGAAGCTCAACGACTTCATGACCGCGCCCCTGTGGGCCGCTCTGGCGAGTCTCATCGTCGCGCTCATACAGCCGCTGCAGCACATCATGAACGAGCACCTCGTGCCCGTCAAAGGCGCGCTCAACTCCGCGGGCAACTGCTCCATCCCGATCACCCTCGTTGTGCTCGGCGCGTACTTCTACACGCCGCCGGATCCGGAGAGCAACAAGCGCAAGCTGCCGACACACAGCAGCGATGGCGGGCTGCGCAGCGTGCCGTCGCAGGTGTCGCTTGCGGGGCATATGAAGAATATGTTTGCGAGGGCGAAGCGCAGTCAGGGGATACGGACGCTGATGAATGCGTCGGGCGATGAGGGGAAGAGGCCCGGCGAGACGAAGACGGTGTTCATTGCTGTGCTGGCGAGGATGGTGATTACGCCTCTGGTGCTCCTGCCTGCGATGGCGTTGTCGGCCAAGTTCGATTGGCAGCGCGTTCTGGAAGAGTGAGTCTACTTGGTTTTTGGAGTGTCCGAAGGAGTGCTGACGATTGGACTTCCCCAGCCCGGTATTCGTTGTCTCGAACGTGCTCCTGATTTCGTCGCCGCCTGCACTCACATTAGCTCAGGTACGTTTCGTAAGTTCTCATCGAGTAGTAGCCAACCTGACGATTCTCCCTCTTGCAGATCACACAAGCCGCGTCTGGAGACGCCTTCGAGCGGCTCATCAGCCGTACCATTTTCTGGGCGTACTGTGTGGTGACCCCGCCAGCAACCATCATCTTCGTGGTTGTCGGTCTCCTGTTGTCCAAGTTATAGTACCTTTCTTCATACGCACGTTGTTATGATTTTTACTTCATCCCTCAACCCTCTGCCCATTCCCTAGACATCCAATCACCCTCGTATGCACGCGATCCTGTATCCAAAATGTCTTCCTCTTCTTGTAGACGTCGGTTGTTGTGCCGGCTCAATGGGCCCTTGTATCTTACATAGGTTACTGGCGAAACACGGGGTTGTGTCTAATAATGCCACGTATATATTTCTTTTGTTTGCACTGTGTACGGACGCTCGGATTCGACTTGGTCATTCCGTGTTTGCTGCGGGGAGTCCAACTCTTGACTTCCCTTCAGCAATGGCAAGCATTGCGCTGCACCACAGCACACCGGCAAACATACATACGCCCAAAAAGGAACTCACCTCCAGAACCTTCGCCACCCTTCTTCATCGTCCTCTGCGCGTCTGCTACGTTCCGCCACCTCCCTGTATATGCCTCACTGCTGCGCTGACAGAGACAAGGACGTGGACCAATGGATAAGCTGAACAATGCGTACTGCCTTCGGTGACAGGATGACTTGCTCTGCTTGTCCGCTTGTTCCTGTAATCGTATAAGAACCTGGCACAGTTTGGGGGGTTTCGGCAGTTCGAAAGCATTGAAGTGCTTTCTACTGCCTATCCATCCTTCTACGCGCCCTCCGTGATATAGCGCCTCGTCATGTCTGCTCCCATCGACATCCCCTTCGCGCGTTCCAGTGCGCCCTCTATGGAGCGAACGTCGTCGGCGTCATCGCAGGAGAAGTACATCCCTGTGCACAGACGGAAGCCGTCCAGCAGCCCGTCGCTGTCATATCATTCGGGCACGCCGTCATCCTCATCATGTACCAGTCACGATTCGTCTCTATACCCTACCTCCAGGTGTGAGTATCTTACAGTACGGTGATAACGACGGAGCAAAGACTAATCGCATGATTTGTGCAATGTCAGATATACCCATTGCTCAATATACCCCAGCAGAGTTGCTTATGCTCGCCACCTCCCCACTATCTCGTATGTCGCCCGCCGCACATGCCATGATTTCCTCCGTGGCCCCGGAGATAATCGTCAGCAAGTCCGCGGCGAAGCGAAGCACCCGAAGACGTGCTGCGCCTCAAGCCAACAGACGCAGAGTGGCGACGAAGAAGCTAGCATGGGTGCCCACCGGACCTGTCTCGGCCGTGCCTATTCTACCGGATGCTGAGAGCAGCTGGAGGAGTAAGAACTGACGCTGAAGAGGCATTCTTGTACGATATTGATGCGCAGTGTGTTGCTAATGGACCGGTTTCATAGAGTGTACTATGTATCAACCCCATAATCATATCTTAAGGTCTCTGCAGTGCTGATCAATGAAGTCGTCTCTGGATCGGAGTCTAGGCAGAGTCAACCTCTCGGCGAGTAATCGGGCCACCAGAGTCTGCGCAGACCTACTGCGCTTCCTAATGTGTCCCACGAAAGCTATCGGTTTGAGCGCTTGAGGCTGCTTCTAGAGGGGTAGTCCCCCACGCTATCTCCTACCCTACCTACCACAAAGGCATGGAATCGTCTGCTATAGATGAGCTCCCACCAGCAGCGGAGTAAGTTGTGCCTACCTTAGTCATTGGCGTCGGACTGACCGTCGCCCCCCAAGAGGGCGTGGCCCAGCGCCTAGCTTGCCGACAGAGATCCTTTGGGATATCTTCGCTCGCGGTATTGCCGAGCGAGGTCAGCGTACCTAGTCTCGATCTCAGGTGTCTCGCAGCAGTGGAGGCTGGCGGCTATCGGGAATCCTCTATTCTGGGCCGATATTCATCTCGATCTCAGGTGTCTCGCAGCAGTGGAGGCTGGCGGCTATCGGGAATCCTCTATTCTGGGCCGATATTCATCTCGACTTGGGCTGCATTGGGGAACGGGCAGCTTATATGTTGAATCTGCATCTGGAACAATCTCTGTCATTTCCCTTGGATATCTACCTCGCAGGGTGCGACTACTCCTACGGGACTCCGGGGCCCGAGGGTGCGGCGAGAGCCCGCCACTACACCGAAGCCTTCAACACGTACATGCCGCTTCTCCTCACTCATGCTCCTAGATGGCACAGACTAAGAATTGCTACGGAGCTCAGCTTACTATATAAGATAGTAGGGTACCTCTGCATTCATTCGGTACCCCTCCCCACTCTCCAGACTGTGGAACTTCAGGGCACAAGTCTCTGAAGCGCAAACCCATCTATCGACAGATTCAGAAGGTCGCTCGCCAGTCCAGTCAAGGCCTGAGAGGTTGCGTGACTCCCGTCCTGGCAAATCTCCGCTTGCGAGGGTTGATTGCGCCTGGATGGCCAGTTCACAATGGCTCAAGTCACCGATCTTGAAGTAGACATGGACAAGCTGGTCGCTTGATTCTCTTTTCACTTGGTCAGATATGCCCTCAGCCTTGTCATTCACCCCGCTCCTCGTGCGGCTCAAAATTCGGGGGAACGCGCCCATTGCCCCGCCAAGGACATGGCAAGCCGTCAAATTCCTCACGCTGCGGGCTTTACACGACGTCGACCTCTCCTTCTGTAACACTGACTTGGTGGGCAACTTCATGCGCACGATTTGCTGCCCGGTGCTAGAGCAGCTCCATATGTCCTGTGCACCCCGCTTGAAGGTGACTGGGGTGCCCTTCGATAACCTCGCAACTGTGCGCACCATCGTGTTGATATGCAACCAGCACCAAGGTACAAACACCATGCCGGACTACACGTTCGCCTTGCCTTCCGTCACTCATCTCCACCTCATCGGAGCGTTAATATGGCCGAAATAGTGCGGCAAATAATCGCCTTAATGCGCAGGTCCCTGGAAGGGCGCCACGCTTCCGTGCTGCCTCGCTTACAAGTCCTAGCCTAACTAATACTGCCCGGGACGAGTTTCCGCTACTCACTGAGCTGCTGAAGATGCTTCTCATTGGGCATGGAGTGGTACGGCAGCTCTGCTTGGTTGGTGGTGGTGCAGAGACGGAGATGTTTCGGGACCTTGACCAGTATGTCCAATTAAAGGAAGGTCTGCCGCACGACTTGGACTTGTAGTTGAGGACCGACCGAGCTGGACTCATTATTGACTGGTGCATAGCATCGTGTTGCCGGTATTCCCTGCTTTCGCCGTGTCTCTTGCCCGCGTGACAGCCGTATGACTGGAAGAAGAATGGTCATCATATATGCGAGACTGAAGTTGGGTGATCCAATTCTAGCGGACATATGTCATGCCTGGGTACTTCCGCACACCATGCGATCGACGGTGGTAAGCTTGTGATAGACTGCACGTGGTACTAATAAAGCTGTACAGTAGCAAGACGATGGGTAGAAGTACATGGATTATACAGAGGTGAGTAACAGTGAGTAAATTTCGCTTCAAATTATCCATCGATTGACTCAGATGTTGGGAGGGAAGTACTAAAATACAAGGAAGTCCTTTAAAAATCCACGCACTTCTTCGAAAATGCAAATCGCGCAGTTACGATAGCCAGTATATCCTCAGGCAACATTGACCGTAATGTTGACGCACTCCATATCCGGCGCCGGACCAGCCTATACGCGTGCTGTTAGTCACTCTCGTCCAAATGTCGAGCTGATGCAAGCCCACTCACCCCAATCAACACCATATGGCTCGCACTAAGCACTGCTGGTCCGCTTTCTAACCCCTCGGGGACCTGCACGGTGAAGTTCTGGTGCGGCGGCAGCGCGCCCGCGGGCTGGCTGTAGTCCGGCTGCCAGGCGCCCGAGTAGAGCACGTTACCCAGGACTTCGGTGGGCGCGTAGCAGGTATTGTTCCGGCAGGGATTGAGCGCGAGGACCAGGCCGACTTCCGTCGAGCCGGTGAGGGAATTCTGGAGCGATAGGTAAGAAAGCGGAGGCACACAAGGGCAACGGGAATGGGCGTACGGGTTTAAAGACGGAGATGGTGATATTGGAGCCGGCGCTGACTGTCGTGCCCGGGGATGGCGCACCAATTTCGATGGACTGGCCGAAAGCGGCGGCGACGAGGGATGCGAGGACGAGGGCGAGACGCATACTTATTCTCCCACTAAGTCAACTTGTAAATGCAGTTGTTTGTTGAACTCTGAAGGAAAGCTCGCTCTTATATACGCGTAGGATAGGGGTGCAGGTGATCAGAGAGTTGTGCAGACAGCGTCACTGCATAGCTGTTGTTCTTGGAGCAGCGTGATCATGCGTTCGGCATGGTTGCCACTCGCTCGTGGTGTCCGCTCGGAAGGCACGCTAGAAGCCTTTCATCTCCCCGCTCCGATGCTGTTGTTCCGTCCCGTGCTCAGCGGCGGATGCGTTCGCTTTGTTGACAAACTTGAACGCGGCATTTCACTGGTCGATCTTGTCCGCAGCTCAGATGGATTGAACACTGCACAGAGTTCTCTTGCCCCGTCGTCGCTTGCTGGCTACACGTTGAACAGTTCACTGGCAAGACTGCCACATCTGCCCAACTGGAGTTGGAAGCATTCGGCATGGTGGCGTTGCACAGCCACAACATTGACGTAGAGATCGTTTGCTTCCGTGAGTGCCACAGACCGGACTTTTGGCTTACACTCGGCTTTGTTGTCAGAGACTCCAGCACTTTTGTCAGATGGTACGTGGAAGCGCACTGAATTTTCTGGATTATCGACTCGCGATGTTCTTGATGCATGACAGGAGAAGCCGTGACAAACCTCTGCTTGAACACAGGTAGTCGTTAATGGTGGTGCACGACAAACGATCCTTGTCTGCTACTTGGAGAGGCTCTGAGCACTGGCAAGGTCAGAGAGTAATCGGTCCCTGCATCCCTCCGTCGACCTTTTGCTTGCTTCGGGCCTAATATAGTTGACGTAAATGTGGGTCCAGTTTCTTGGGAAGAGACACTCGGATTGCATATCAGAGGTTGGCTGAAGTCTCCTTCATCACGCTCCTCGTATCTGCTATTCTACCAAGTTCCGCTCCCGTAGTGGGTATCGGATGCTGGGTATTTGCAGCCTGCAGGGGTTGAAGGGTCTATATTCAATCAGTGTGGCGAGATGCCAGAGTGCGTGACCCTCGACGAATATCGGACACAACTCATGCAAAAGCTATGACTCTGCAGACTATCGTTCGACACACTTTCGAGAGTGTTTCGATATGGACTGGAGATAACCCAAGTGCCGCTACACTACTCATTTTTGGCGGCGGTGTCAGGTGTGTCGAGAGAATGGCGGATGAGCGCGATCGAAGATCCGTACTTATGGGTCGATATATACGCTGACGTGACGGACGTCAGGAGGGCGCAGCGAGAAATCATCGCGCTGTACCTGGAGCGCTCAAAATCCCTTCCACTCGGCGTTCATTTGACGGGCGATCCGTCTTCCGATACACTGTCCCAGTGGGCTACCGACGGACGTCTGGGCTCCCTCCTGTCTAGCACGGCACGATGGGAGACGCTTTTTGTGATCTCTGAGAACGAGGTCATAGCGGCGATCTTGCTGCAATTTTCGGCCGGACAGACGGTCCAGGCGTTCCCTACGCTGCAAACCGTGCAGTTCCGATACCCTCGCAGGCGCCGAATCTGTGGGCACCCTTGGGGCGGAGGCGAGGAGAACCTTGCTTATCCCCCCAGGCTCAACGCGGTGATTGATGGGGGAGGGCGGTGGGCGACGCCGGTGTTGACACGCATGCGCGTGATCTCGGGGTTCCTGACCAGGGATTGGCCCATGTTTTTCTCCTTAGCGAAAGTAACCACCCTCGAGCTGGGCTCCGATATGTGGTGGAGCGAACTGTACGATGTGCTGTCTCGCACGCCTCTCCTACAACGGCTCAAGATCAGCCGGCATGTGTCGCACGAATTCCCTGTGAGTCAGCCGGCTGTCCTCCCGTATCTTCGCGACGTCCAGCTGTCGTCGGCGGAGCACGGTTCCTTCACAACACGCGTCTTCGCACTCATGTCCTGCCCGCGCCTCGAACGTCTCGGGCTGGCGCACGTGCCCCCGGAGCCTTTGCCTCTGCCGAGGAACCAGAAATCCCTGCACACCGTGATCATCCACAGCGACGTTCCCCGGTACGCCAAGGGCGACATCTGCGCGTTCTTCCGGAGCGTGCCCTCCCTCCAGCGGCTGTACCTCATGGGCGCGCTGGACATCGGGGAGATACTGAAAGAATTGACTGAGGAAATTCAAGACCCTGAGCGCGACTGGGTGATCCTGCCGGACCTCTCTGTCCTCGCGATCTGCCTTGACTATGGATTGAGCCCGATTAGCACGCCGTGCCCGATCGCACCTGGGGTGGTGAAGGCGTTCCTTGAAGCGCACGGGGGGATCCGGAGGCTGTATTTATCGACGGGAGAGGGAGAGATAGGGGTGTCTTTAGGAAGATATGTGGAGCTTGTTGAGGGGCTGCCGCCGGACTGCGAAATGGACTTCGATAATGTCCACTGACTCGCATAATGACGTGCTGCGGTGTATTGTCCCTGCTTCTGTTATTTGGGACCAGTTCTTCGTCGTTCTCCATTCGCACGCGAGTATACCTTGGGCCGGTGTGACGAGTATCTGCCATCGCCAGCCAAGCCGCCACAGCTTGGGTTCTCGGGAAGATGTTCAGAATATCACGGACGCGGAGACGTGCTGGAGTAAGAAAGAAACATAACCGCGAGGAGAACTTGGCAGAAAGGCGAGGTGCGTGTCGACTGGGAGGGTTGCTGATAACTTGTCGAGGGGTCAAGATGACCACGGTGAGATGCCGCACTGAATGTTGAGCACGAAGTCGTGAAGTTCGCGAGCTTTGGAGCGCGCATCTTACCGTCAGCCGTGGCAGCTGCGGGCCAAGTCAGCTCTCCTCCTCCGCTAGGCGCTCACGCTGATCGGTCATGGATGCTTGAGTAGCAAGGGGACTATCTGCTTGACTGGGCGACAAAACCCTTGCACTAGGCCTTGGACCATTAGTTTATCCATGGAGAGCAGGTGTACATACCTCGTCGGAGCCTTGCCCACAGAATAGTACCGCCATGTCTATCCCGAGCGAATTCGCTACCCAAAATGCAAAGGACATATGTATATATAGGCACATGGTCAACGCCTCACTTCGAGACGTCGAGGTGCACATATGCTACTCACTGCTCGTATATAGGCTACAGCGAGTCCGCGATCTTGCAGATCCGAGGTAAATCCACTGCCTAATCGACGAATCTATCTCAAGCAGGCAACTCTGGACCAAGAGGACAGAGCCTGATCGTCCCCGCGCGTGCATGGGGAATCTGCGGGGCCGGGCACGTAAAAATGAGCTGCTCGGGATCAGCGTGATAAAGGAGATGAAGCGGAAGCATTTGCTTGTTTGATGATCAGAGAATGCCAGTATTGGATGGTGGCAGACATCGATGGAGGGGCGGGACAGTTGTAGATGGCCGCGTGGTCCCTTTCGTATTGCTCTTTTTCCTCGAAGTGCATAGGTCCTGTCGTAGTCCAGCGCGTCAATATATCCACTGAGATTACCAGCGGCGCGATGAATGTAACTTGTACGTTGCGCCTCGGCGTTCCACGAACGACCACTGGCGCCAGCTGACCGATGCCACAGTATGCCACAGTGCCAGGCAGCGTAGCTAGCGTTGAGTACAGTAAGTCCGCGGGCTTAGGGAATAGTAGGTGCCACACTCTAGGGCCGAATCGGGGCGATCACGGCCGAATATAGTAGTCCCCTTGCCAAAATTGGTTGTGTTAGTCTGTGTACGACATATGCCAACTCTTGTGATCACTCGCCTTCACATATTCGTGGTATAAAGTCTAGCGGTCCGATACCTTCAAATCCACGTTTCCTTTCCCCCCAACCTCCACCATCTCGCCTCTGTGCTCTCACAGCGCATATCTACTCGTCGCCGCATCCCAGACTCGGGGATGAAGTCCGCCTTCCTTCTGTCATACATGAAGTAAATTCAAACACCGCTCCAGACATTAATTTTCACCGCTTCTGTGAAGATTTGGCCAGGGTTTGTTTGGCTTCCTAAAGACGAGAACAAGGGTGTAGCGGACGCGACAGGAGCTACGCCGAACGGTGGTAAGCCGCGCACGTTTGCATTCACCGCGTCGAGACCACAAAGTCATGATCAACGTCGGCGGCAGAGACAAGAGCCCATCGATGACTGGCCAATGACGAATCTGATGTTTAGCTCCCAGAACGTCATTGCTGCAGTCCGCCACCAGTCCGGGCCGAACGCGCGACCTGCCATTCCGGGCGGGCCTGCTCGAAAGATTCAAGAGGGGATCTAACCTTCCAAGGCATTCCATCCTGCGATTATCTGCGACCAGCCGCTCGTTTCGACTATCCTACAGCTCTACAAATACCCCGCCTTCTTACTACAAATTTGTTCTAGTATTTAGACCGTCCAGACTCGGTCGCATCCCCCCTAACCCTGCGGTGCCCCATCATGGACTCCTTTTCTGAGCCAGCCAACACCGCCCAGTCCCCACCCTTGCCCTCCATCCTCGACAACATCCGTGCGCTCGAGGAGCAGCACCACGCCAAAGGGATCCCACTCTCCGGGCGGGTCATCCATGTCTGCCACTATCTGCCCGTTACGTGCTCGCTCAATGTGCCCTCTGCCCCGAGCACCTCGATCCAGTCCGTCCCTGGGCTGCTCAGCCCGCCCAGCACCCCGCCTGTCGACGCCAAGAAGGACGGCGAGGACGCCCCTCCGAGCCCCGTTGACATCACCGACGGGGCAGCGCAGGAGCAAGGCACGCCGGCGAACAAGAGCAAGTGGAATCTCGGCGTCAGGTATGGGCACGCCGCAATGATCTCGGGCATCCGCTCGCTCTCTGCGACGCATGAGCAGCTCCTGATTGGCTGGACGGGCGACATCTACGCGTCCCCGCCATCGTTCTCGGCCACCTCGTCCCCGTCCAACCCGGAGGGCTCCAAGCTGCCTAGCAAGGATCTCGCCGAGGAGGACAAGAAGGCGTTGGAGGAGGCGATTGGCAACTATGAAGATACGGAGCACGAGGTGAAGGGCAAAGGCCTCAAGCTCGTCCCTGTCTGGCTCGACGATAAGCTCGCGCATGGACATTACGACGGGTATTGCAAGCAGAGTAAGTGCACATCGCGCTCCAGTCTCCCCTCGTTGGCGCATACTAATTTGCCCTGCCACAGCCCTCTGGCCCCTCTTCCATTATCTGCTCTGGCAAGATGTAGCTACCGAGTACGCCTCGGCTGACCGCCACTGGCCCGCGTACGAGCAGGTTAATAATATCTTTGCCGAGAAACTCAAGTAAGCTATCAACTGTTCAATCCTGTCTGTCACGGTATGGCCCTGACCTCTCTTTGGAATATAGAGAGGTGTACCGTCCCGGAGACCTCGTCTGGGTACACGATTACCATCTCCTGCTGCTCCCTCGGTACGTGTTTCCGACACCGCTGATCCTTTAGCTTAGGTTTACTCACTGTCTACTAGAATGATCCGCCAATTGCTCCCCGAGGCCTACGTCGGCCTGTTTGTGCACACGCCTTTCCCGAGCTCGGAAGTGTTCAGATGCTTGCCTCGTACGCTCATTTGTTCCTTCCTCTGGCGTTGATCACTGATAGTCGTCTGAAGGTCGCAACGAGATTTTGGACGGCATGCTCGGCGCGAACCTCGTCTGCTTCCAGACGTATTCGTATTCCCGCCATTTCACGAGCAGCTGCGTGAGGGTGTGTGGGTACGAGATTGCTGCCGGTGCTAAGGTGGGTGGAGTCCCGGGCGGTGCTGTCATGTACAACGTACTCATTGGTCTATATTCCAGGGTATCGATGTCCAGGGTCATGTCACCGGAGTAAGGCACTGCCCGGTCGGCGTAGACGCCGAAAGAGTTGGGAAAGACATGTGAGACGCACGTTCTGCAGCCCGATCTTCCTCCACTCAAAACAAACCCGATAGACTGCGGCCCGGGATCCAGCCCAAGCTAGAGGCGCTCCGGGCGCTGTACCAGGGCAAGAAGATCATCGTGGGCCGGGACAAGCTGGACGTTGTGAAGGGTGTCGTGCAGAAGCTGCGCGCGTTCGAGAAGCTGCTGCACGACTACCCCGAGTGGATTGGGAACGTGGTGCTGATCCAGGTGACGAGCCCCGCGCTGACGGACTCGCCGAAGCTGGAGCGGCAGGTGAGCGAGATTGTGAGCCATATTAATGGGGAGTACGGGAGTCTGGACTTTATCCCTGTGCATCACTAGTGCGTGTCTGTTCCTTGTTTTCGGTTGGTGCCTAACCCTTTTCCTTTCTGCGCAGCCATCAGACGATCAAGAAGGACGAGTTCTACGCGCTTCTGAGTGTCGCGGATTTAGGTGTCATCACGCCCCTGCGCGATGGGATGAACACCACGAGCATGGAGTTTGTGATTGCGCAGGAGAAGACGAAGCGGAGCCCGTTGGTGTTGAGCGAGTTTATGGGGATTAGCAATAATATGGGCGAGGCGATGTTGACGAATCCGTGGAACCTCGGGGTGAGTGATCCTTTCGTCGTTATTTCTGGTGTTATCTATCATCTGGCGTCGGAGCTTGGTGTTGGGAGGTTATTTATACTCTTTGTGGGAGAAGGTATTGAGATTTGGATGGATCTGGGTGATAGGCACGGAATGCTTGGAAGCAACGCGGAGCGTTCGCGTTTCTCGGTTCCGATGCTTACTATTTTCTTTGTGGCGTCTTACAAGACCAGCTCTTGTTCTGCTCGTCACGCGCATCTGATCGCTGACCAACGTCGTCATGAAACATCACTGACCGCGATATATCATCCAGGAGGTTGCAGCTGCGATGCACCGCGGGCTGCTTATGTCCGAGGAGGAGAAGGCACGGAGACACGCGAGCCTGTTCAAGCAGGTCACGACGCACACGAGCCATACGTGGGCTGCGACGCTGACGCAGATGCTCCTCGAGCGGGTCGGTGCGGCGGGGATGGCGCGCCAGACGCCTAGGCTGCCACTGGAGCTCATGGAGCAGTGGTACAAGAAGGCCGGGAAGAGACTCTTCTTGTTCGATTACGACGTATGGCCGTTTCTGCACTCGTCCTCGTATTCATCCTCACTCGTTGCCTACAGGGCACGCTCACGCCGATCGTGAAGACGCCCTCGATGGCGGTCCCGTCCGAGGCGACGCTGGAGGCGCTCGAGAAGCTGACGGCGGATCCGAAGAACGTTGTGTACATCATCTCGGGGCGTGACCAGGCCTTCCTGGAGCAGCACCTAGGTCACTTCCCGAAACTCGGGATGAGCGCGGAGCACGGCGGGTTCATGCGAGAGCCGGGCGAGACTAAGTGGACGAACTTCACCGAGAGCCTGGATATGAGCTGGATGAACGAGGTGCACGAGATCTTTGAGTTCTACACCGAGGTGAGCGAAGCCTATTTACGGCACGCTGAGGGTGCTGAGGCTAGACTTGTTTTGCTAGCGTACGACGGGCAGCCATATTGAGGTCAAGAAGAGCTCGATTACTTGGCACTACCGCTCGAGTGATCCCGAGTGGGGCGCGTTCCAGTGCCGACAATGCCAGGACCTGCTCGAGAACAACCTGGTGCACAAGAGGCCCATTGAGGGTAAGTGATGTCCTAGTGCTCGACTCCGGGCTTCCCTTACTGACGGTTGTTGGTACAGTCTTGGTAGGCAAGAAGAACCTGGAGGTTCGCCCCATTGCGGTCAACAAGGGTGAAATCGTGAAGCGTATATTGTACCTGAACCCGGACGCCGAGTTCGTCTTCTGCGCCGGCGACGACAAGACCGACGAAGACATGTTCCGCGCACTCTTGTTCCCGACTGGCGGCGAGAAGCTGAGCATGGAAGCTCCGCTGTCTGTCACCCTCGCGTTGAAGGACCAGTCCACGAAGCCTCCTCCTGTCGATCTTGCCCTTGACCATGAAGCCATCTTCACGACTGCCGTCGGCCACAGCACCAAAAAGACCCTCGCGAGCTGGCACGTCACCGCGCCCGAGGAGGTGGTCGAGAGCATGCTCAACATCGTCAATGACACCAAGGCAAATCTATGATCACACCGGTCCATCATTCTCTTTTTCAGGCATCATTCACCTAACATAGACGGGGACTTTTTAACGACTCAGCTAATGATGTAGCCTTCTCATCTGGTTAATATTCACGACGGTCAGCCTGAGATTATTCATGACCCCAATTTCATAGATTACGATGTACATCTTGGATAAGTGGGGACGTAGAGAGCAGATAAAGAAGTTCAAATTTTCTTGTATCATACACACCACAGCAATAAATGGTACTTGGCCTAGAGAGGAGCCCGAGAACAAGAGCGGAATCATAGGTTAGAAGCATAGAGTTATATTTCAACTTAAGAGCGCCTATGCCGCGTCGGGCTGCATGGGCACAACCTGACCGCCTTTTGCGGCGGTGGGAGTGAAGGTATGCCAGCGGTCGTTGAAACGGACGTCTGCAGACAGGGCGCTTGTATGAGTGCCGCATTCAAGCTAACAAGCGGCGGGAACTTACCAAGAGGTCGTCCACCATACATGTAATTTTGAAATTTGGCGATCGCGGTTTCCGCTTCGGCGATAGTCGAGAACTGAACCACACCCATACCCTTGGATCTGGTGCCCTCGAACAGGATCTCGGCTAGTTCAACTTGACCCGTCGTCTCAAACAGCTCGACGAGATCCTCGTTCGCAGTCGACCACGGCAACTGGAACAGGAATAATCAGTACCATTTCAACGAAACACGTACCGCCACCTACATTGCGAACCATGATTTGTTGACTGGGCTCAGCATCAGGGAATGCTCCAGGGGCGCCGAAGCCCTGGCTCGCGAATCCTCCCCCGCCGTACCCATCCATCCTCAAGCCACCTCCAACTTGCTGGTCTGGGCCAGAGTAGTCCGCGTACAGGTCCTGGGAGAAGTCGCGCCCAGCACCGACGGCACCGCCTTGGAACCCACCGCGGAAGCCGCCTCTGAAGCCGCCTCTGGGAGCTCCTCGGAATCCACCACCACGAAGGCCGCCGCGGAAGCCGCCACGGAAAGTACCAGGTCCGGAGAGACCAGCATAGCGGTCCTGTGTATGTTTAGACATGTCCACTACGTCTGACGGGCCCTGTTACTCACCAGGCGAACCTCCAGCTGGCGACCGTACCAATCGAAACCGTTGTACATCTCTGGGGAGGAAAGTTAACAAGCAGCTGGGATTCTACAAACATAGGATGCGCACGGATAGCGTTGGCGGCATCTTTGGCGGTCTCAAAGATGACCGTGCCTGAACCCTTAGGACGCCCATCTGCACCAATATTGATGTCGGCGCGGACAATGTTACCAGCAGAGCGGAACAAATCCTTCAGGTCTTGCCAGCCGGCTTGGTAAGGTAACTATCAAAAGAGGCACTCAGTGACTAGACTGAGCAGCAGACTTAAGCCAGCTCACATTTCCGACATACAGCTGATTACCTGGGTTCTCATGCCCGAAGTAGTTATGGTGAGGAGGCCGAGGGGGTGGCGCAGCGTTGAGGCCCTGGCCAGCCATCGCCATACCTACTTTACCAGGGACAGGCGTAGCGCCGAACCGGGATTCGTTCTCTCGGTCCTACACGCAACCTTCCATCGCATGTTCACTGCAGCTACGAAACAAGAGACCTACCTCACGGATAAACACAGGTCGGCCAAGCAGCGGCACTTCCGACAGCTCGCGGATCGCACGCTGAGCATCTTCCTGGGAGGCGAACTCCACGATTCTGGTTAAACGTCCCATCTCAGAACCACCGCCACCGTCTGAATCCAGCGTGCCAAACTCACCCGCATCCCTTCGAGACACCGGTAGGAGTCACGAGAACCTCGGCGAACAGGACCTCTCCAGCTAATAACCCCAAAAGAAAACTCCCATCAATAAGCCATCCTCTCGACTCGCCGTCCATCAGTAAAACCGAAAACCAAAACGGCCCTCCTCGAGCATACGGGCGGCCACTCTTCCTCCGAGCGGTATCTCAGCGAATCGCCTTCGGCCAAGCCGCCACCTCCCGCTCTCCAGACTAAACGAAACAGCTAAACTGAGATCCCCCACCCACCTCCCCTCATAAATTCCATCAGGTCCCTGTACTTGACGTCGTAGCTGAGATTCCCGACATAGACCCGGTTTTCTCTCTTGCTATGCTTAGCAAATTCAACAGCCTCTTCATGCGGGGCGTTCATCGGACCACCCAAAGAACGGGCAAAGGGATCAGCAGGCTTCCGGTCTCGACTACGCGACCGGGTACGAGAGCGCGAACGGGAACGCGAACTCCTGGAACGACGACGTCTGGGGGATCTCGAGCGGCGCCGCGAACGAGATCGTGAGCGGCTGCGAGAATGTCGGCGTCGCTATTTAACCGCGGTTAGCGAACGGCACACGACTGTGGATGTCCTCCTCGTGACCCGTGACCGAGGGGGTACTCACATCACCGTTTCGCCTGCCTTCAGGCTCCCAGTGATCGCCATCGCGCGTTCCACGACGGCTTCGGCCTGTGGCACGATAAGAAAATCAGTTGTAGTTGTATTGTTTCCATGCCACACCGCTGTCCTCGCGGGCAAATGCTTACCAGGCCTGTCGCGGTCTCTGTCGCGGTCCTTCCTGTCCCTATCCCGGTCTCTGTCACGATCCCTCTCCCTCTCGCGATCTCTCTCCCTTTCTCTGTCAAAGTCCCTTTCCCTCTCGCGATCCCGGGACTTGTCCTCGACGTCGTCCTTGACTTTCATATCGACATCCATGGCGGGCGACTCGTCCACGACGGCAGATACGACAGAGATAAGAGACAGTGGCAGAAAGAAGGAAGGTGATGGTGGTTAATTGGAACCACTGGATTTTTCGTGGGACGCCAGACCGTCGTCCGGCGCGTCGCCCGTCGGCCTTTGAATCGGACTTCCGTCTCTGGACGCTGTGGCGTCGCCATTCCCTCACGGCGCCGTCAGCAATACATGTATGACTCGAATGCTCAGCTAGATGCTGGCTAACATTATGTCAAAAGTAACTATCCGATGCATAGATAGGCATCAGATCAACCTCGCAAGTATCATGAATATTATGTTACGTTATGTTTCTCAAACATGAGCAGCCTTCACACCGTAAAATAAGGTGCAGATTAAGAGAAGCCATAGGGTGCACACGTCACCAGGAGAATGAGGAATCGAATGGAGAGCATGAGAAGACATATAAAGTGAGTGGAACGGGAACAGCAGATACAGCAGCAAGCAAGGACACTTTGCAGAAGATCCTCAGTACATCCGATGAAACAGTACTCGGAACCGACAATGCGCACGCGACGAAACACCTACTGAAATATCCGTTGGGGCTCAGAAAGGTTGGCCACAAGACATGCACAGCTAGTCCACTCCGGACTACAAGTCCAAGTCGCGTGGCAAACCTTCCGTGAGCTGAACATCCTGGTCAAGGACGCGCAACGTCTCCATCTCCGCACCGCCAGCAACCAGGTACAGCTGCCGCATACCGCCATGCTCGATGCGGAGCGTCTTCAGCAGCTCAGCAAGCAGCGGACATTCTTCTCAGGCAGTGTAAGATAGGCTGAGAGCCAGGACTTGCAAGCGCGGCAGCACGACATCGAGAGACCTGCGCATCAAGGCTGTTATATGCCCCACCATGTCGGCCATACTGAGGGCGCCGAGTAGGAAGAGACAAGTAAGGCGAACATGGAGTCTGGTATGGTGTGCGTATCCTCCTGCTGACCGCCTCTCAATAGGGGACGGCAGTCCCCTCCCAGCGAGGCGCACACGATATATAGAGCTTCTCTAGCGCCGGGCAGCAAACCGCGCGCATGAAGTTGTCGACCAAGTCCACGTACAAAAGGCGAGATCGACGGCTCGCAGAAGCGAGAGCATGAGGAGCATGTCGGCTCGCCATGTCCTCGGCATCTTCCCGGGATCCTGAGCGGCTCCAGGAGGAGGGTGCACGACAACACAGAGCACAAGTCCAATGCGCGCCGAGCCAGCAGCCTCTCCTCCATGTCTACATCAAGATTGGTGCCTCGCGACCTCATGAAGAACTCCGGCCATCCATGGCGTGCAAGCGCAGGTGTCCAGGACCGGCGTCACGCAGCTCGCAGACCCTGGCTAGACTGCGCGAGCGACATCCTGAGGGTCAGGAGCAACGGGTTCTGGATCCACAGACTTGTGCCCCGGAGCTCCACAGTCTCAAGATGCGGGAGGGACGCCGAATGGACGCAAAGGCGGCCTATACTATCTTGTAAAGCAGGCCGAATCCTGTCGCGACCTCGGACGAATGCGAACGCGAATGCGGCATGTACGGGTTGAAGGCTGCGGTGTGTGGCGCGCCCTCGCGCTTCATCGCTCCAGAGTCTCCGGGGAGTAGTCGCACCCCGCGAGTGAGATATCCAAGAGGGATAGCTGACTTCGACCGTTCCAGGTCCAAACTTGCATGGGCGCGCCATCCCGAGGTCGACTGGTCCGGCGTCACCGTCCCCGTCTTCAAGCCCCTATGTCCACTCGCCTTGGCGCAAGCGCTCCCCTCCCTTGCAGGACGTCGCGGGAGTTCTGTATTTTCGCTCCGACGTTAAACAGCGTTGCGTTGACGCCGAGCTTCCGTAGCTGCTCACCATCTGTATCATCCATGTTATCCAGCCCGTACCGAGCTGCTCATCATCCGAGCGCACGCCGTATGCCAAGTACCCAGGCCTGGCATTCTGCTCCTTCCCTCCCTCTCGACCGGCGCTGGCCCATACTGAAGGACAGGCACTCCCGGCGGCGTGTATCAAGGCCTGGCCGAACCGGACCATACCGATGCGGACGAGCCCCTGTCCCAGGCGTCACGCAAAGACCACCGGAGATGGCGAGCGCTCATAGCTCGGAAGGATCAGCCTACCCAGCTTCAACCTTCCACTCATCTTCGTCGGATCATAGCAGAGAATGGGTCTGGCGTGGGGGCTACCTACTATTACTCACCTCTGCATGATCCGTGTACTTACTACCGCCCATCATCCGTTTCCGCCTGCATTTCCTTTCGTCTGCGCGCCACCCAGGGCACGTTGTACGGCGACTCGCACGCGTGTTGTATGAGGCCTTGCCAAGCCGCCAAGTGTCCCAGTTTCAGCTCGTCTGAAGAGAAAAAGAGAGAAAGAGAGTAGGGACGATAGTACGTTCGTGAATGAGTGAGACTGACCAGATAAGTGGACAAGAACACCATGACGGTCAGAGACAAAACCGATGTGACCAGCCTTGGATTCAAATATGGGTCGTATAATGGCTACGCAATTTCGTTTTGGATCCCTCGCCTTATACAACACGTTTCTCATTCAACCATATCACACCGTACGAGAGGGTATGAAAAACAGAGGAAATAGATTATAAATAGAGACCGATACAAGTATAAGAGTACAGTGAGAAGAATACAATGGAACGAATCTACTTGGCACCCGCGCTCGAGAACTAACAAAGCCTTTATCAGCGAACATGCTAAGCATGTGGCGCTGCATTCACATACCTTCGTCACCGACTTGGTACCCTCAGAGATAGCGTGCTTGGCGAGTTCGCCGGGTAGGATGAGGCGGACGGCTGTTTGGATCTCCCGTGATGAGATGGTCGACTTCTTCGAGTACGACGCGAGCTCTGAGGGATAAATTGTAAGGACAAGTCCAAAGTAGACCGCAAACAGAGACTTACTGGACGCCTCGGTGGCGATACGCTCAAAGATATCGTTGACAAACGAGTTGAGGATGGCCATCGCCTTGTTCGAGATACCCGTATCGGGGTGGACCTGCTTGAGGACTAAGGCCAATGCGTCAATATCAACCCATCCAACACCAAGTCCGCGGCGACTCACCCTTGTAGATGTACGACGAGTACGTCTCCTTGCGGACCTTTCTGCGCTTCTTGTCCTTCTCGCCGCCCTCGGCCGCCTTGCTCGTCTTCTTCGCGGCCTTGGAGCCCTCGGTCGTCTTCGCAGGCGCCTTCGAGGCCGTCGCAGTCGAGGCGGGGGCCTTGCCGGCAGTAGACGCGGGTTTGGGGGCCATTGCTGTGGATAAAGCGGTGGTGGTAGGGCGAGGAGGATGTGGTCGGATGGAAGATACGGTAGGGAGCCCGGTCGCACGCCGGGGCTTATATATACCGCGGGTCACGTGCGGCACGACGCGCTCTGTTGACTCAAACCTTATTTCACCACCGCGCGCGTCGAATTAAGGTTTGGATCAACAACCCGCGTCGCGCGCGTCGCTATAAAGCCGGCCTCCTCCTGCTCTCTGCCACCAACTGCCCTTCGCCGTCGCCGTCGTCGCCCGCAGCGTCCAGCACTACACTTACCCGCCTTCAACACTTTCTATATCGACCATAACAATGTCTGGCAAGGGCAGCGGCAAATCCAAGTCCGGCAAGGCCTCCGCCGACCCCAGCGCAAAGACGCAGTCGCGCTCGCAAAAGGCGGGCCTCCAGTTCCCCGTCGGTCGTATCCACCGTCTCCTCCGCAAGGGCAACTACGCACAGCGCGTCGGCGCCGGTGCACCTGGTACGCTTGTTCCTCATTGTCCTTTGTCCTGTCTGACTCTGGGTCGGGCGCAGTGTACCTCGCCGCCGTCCTCGAATACCTCGCGGCTGAGATCCTCGAGCTCGCGGGCAACGCGGCGCGCGACAACAAGAAGCAGCGCATCGTGCCGCGCCACTTACAGCTCGCCATCCGCAACGACGAGGAGTCAGTGGCATTCTCTTGGACACCGCGTTCGAGTGCTGACCCACTTCCCTTTCTTTCCAGGCTGCACAAGCTGCTCGGCAACGTCGTCATCTCGCAAGGTGGTGTAGTCCCCTTCATCCAGCCCGAAGTAAGTTTAGCTCGCGTCGCCGTCGGACACCTGCTGACTGCCACCGATCCACAGCTGCTACCAAACAAGACGCAGAAGGGCAAGAAGGAGGGCCAGGACGAGGTGTAGACATCGCATCGATGTATCATCTGTTTTCTCTCTTCCTTTGGTTCCTGTACTACCAGTGTATCCCTATTTTATTCTAATCTTATTCGTCCATTCTTGCGTGGATCTGTGCTTGAGTGTGAACCGTGAGATTAGGTGCTCTCAAGGGAAGCACACATAAGGAGGGTATACAGGTGTTATACGAGCACGAATACCTAGATCGTTTTCCTTATGCATGGCCACAATCCCTACCCTCCGCCATGATACCTCCCTCACTCCATCCTTATAAACCCTCAGGTCCCCGTCCCCGTCCCCGTCCTCATCCCCCACCGCATATCCTTCCCTTGACTTGCAGTCTACCTCATCTACAAAATCCGGCTCTTCAGCACACCCGCCACAGCCAGCGCGAGCGCAAGGAGGAACCACCGGCCCCACCTCTTCTTCTCCCCCTGGAACTTGAAGGCGTTGCGCGGGGGGAGCTTCGTGTTCGCGAGGGCGGCGACTGCTTTGAGTTTTTTATCCTACAGCGGCATTATGAGAAGGGTGGGCGGTGGTTGCGGGGGGAGGAAAGGGGAGGGGAAGCGAAGGAGAGGAAAGGACGTACATCATACGGCGGGTACCGCGCCCCGAGAATCCTATCGATCCTACGCATCCCACAAAGTCAGCCTCAGCCGCACCCTGCCTCCCTGTCACCGCACGAAAACACGCACCAGCCCGGCGAGTCCAGCACCGCGCGCAGGTGCGTGAACATGTCGAACGAAAATTTGCCTGTGTGGTACCCGTCTGCGTAACCTCGCTTTGAGCACCTGCCACCCATGCGTGTATGTCTGAACTTACTTCCGCTGGGGCCGATCCCGCCGAAGGGCAGGCCGTCCACTATTCATGGGCGTATTCAGTAAAGTTGGAAGGGTGAGAGTATAAGGAGGAGTGGGAAGGGAGAAGCGCACCTCCGCAGTGAATAATATACTCATTCGCAATCGCCGCGCCGCTCTGCGTGTTGTCGAACACTAACCCACACCCCACATCACGCCAAATCAATCCCCTCCTCTTACCTCATGTTATGGGAGAACACGGACCTTTGGATTTGAACGCAGAGTCCTGCGACATCACGTACAGCACGAGCGGGTGTTCTCTAAAGTGTGGTTATGATCAAGTCGCGCTGGGGGACGCAGAAAGGGAGAGGGCACGTACCGTGCGTTGACGAAGGCGATCGCCTCGTCCAGGCTGTCGACGGGTACGATGGGCAGCACGGGGCCGAATATCTCTCTACCACCCGTTCACCATTCAGCCCCACCACTCAATCAGCAGTTGTAAGAGTAAAACCACGCTCACTCGCTCATCAACGAATCCTGGGGACCCACGTCCCGCACCACCGTCGGCGCGACGTACTTCCTCTCCACGTCCGCCTCGCCGCCGAGCACGGTCTTACCTTTCGTTTCGTCGATGAGCCGTTTGATGCGCGCGGTGTGCGCGCTGGAGACGATGTGCGTGAGGGAGGTGGAGGCGCCGGGGCCGGAGGGGTAGAAGGCGTTGTACCTGCCGGAAACGAGGGTGAGGGTGAGTTACCAGGGAGGGAAAGGGGGAGGGGACTGACGCTTCGGTGAGCGCGGCGACGAAGGTATCTTGGAAGTCGCGCGGGACGAGCACGTAGTCCGGGGCGACGCACGTCTAGCAATGGTGTCACGGAGTCTTCTTCGTTCACAGGGGTGGGGAATATGCGTACCTGCCCGGCGTTGACGAACTTCCCCCATAACAGCCTCCGCGCGCCCACGGTCAAATCACACTTGGGGTCGACGAAGACGGGGCTTTTCCCGCCGAGCTGCGAGCAGGGGGGGGGGGGTTAGTTTTTTGGAAGGAAGACGGGGGGATAAGAACTGCGCACCTCGAGGGAGACGGGGGAGAGCGTTTTGGCGGCTGCGCCGGCGACGATTTTGCCTACTCGTCCGCTGCCTTATGTCGAATGAGAACTGGGATGTGTATGGGGATGTCTTCGAGCCGTTGGCGTACCTGTGTATAATACTGGGGAATGTAGGCGTAAGGCAGGCTTATGCCACATGCGTGTCTCACGACTTACTGTGTCCCCACGGGAGATCAAGGAGCTAAGTGAGTGCAGCGAACCCATATGTAAGCGCGATACCAAACAGTATGCAACCCCTGTGCATACCTTGGTCGTTTCCGGAATCGCGCCGTTCACGACGCGATACAAGTCCGGATCCATATACTTGGCGAACAGCTCCGCGAGCAGCGCGCCCATCGCCGGTGTCAGCTCAGACGGCTTGACCACCATCGCGCAGCCCGCAGCTATCGCCCCCGCCTGCATATCACCATTCAGCCCGCGCCCTGCAGGTCCTCCAGAGCACGCACCAGGGGACTGACCACCAGCCACAGCGGGTAGTTGAACGGGACGATGTTGAGGCAGACGCCCTTCGGCTCCTTGCGGATCGCGGGGCGCATGGGCGTCCACGTCAGGCTGAACGGGGGCCGCTCCGTCTTGGCCCATTTGTCGACCGAGTTTAGAGCTGTTTTGATTTCGGTTATGGAGCCGTCGATCTCGAGGCTTCATAAGCATCGTATTCAGCGTGTTTCTAGCGTGAAAGCGTGGATAGGTCAACTCACAACGCGCCCTCGAGCACGGGCCTCCCCAGGTCCGCCGCGAACGCCTCCTGGAAGCGCTCCGCGTTGTCTTTGATGAGGTACGCGAGGCTGAGCAGCTGTTGCTTCCTGTACGCTATCGACTTGAGCTTGCCCGAGCGGAAACCTTGATTCAGCGCGGTGTGAATCTGGAATTGATTGCAGTCAGTTCGGTTTCGAGTATCCTTTGAGGAACGCACGGCTGCAATCTCCTCGAGGGGGGTGTAATGCGACATTGCGGGCTCGTTATTTTCAAAAGGGTCTCGGGTGTTTAAATGTGGGCGGTAAGCAGGAGAGCTAGGATTAATGGGTATAAATGAGTGCAGGTGTCCGGGCGATCGAGGAACCGTAAAGTCAGCGGGTATCACGGTACTGGAGGTGTGGCGGTGCAACCATGGCCTGTTATGGCAATGGCATCTCCAAGAAAGGCAAATGTCGAGTCTACTTTCATTGCATGTCACGTTTCAAGCGCCGCTACTTTGGTAAATATAAAGCAACTGGATAATGCCTGCGCTTTCTTTCTCCTCCGTCGGCCGTTGGATTGGGCGGTATCAGCTGCACGAGGCCGAGTTTCATGTCTTTCCCCGCAGTTTGCCGACGTCGGCGCCCGACCCCGGATAGCGTCATCCTGTAGTGTTCTGTGTACCCCAAGTCACTGGCGACACTACAACACGCAACCTCGCCTCGAGGAAAGCGACCACGACAGCATGGCGCCCTACTACGAGCTGCAGCTCACGATCCTGACCGCGTTCTGCGTCATCTCCTTGCTCCTGGAACGGTACGTGTCCAACCGTCGAAAGGAGCACCAGACGGACGCGGGCCATGGTGCCACGTCTGCAGCCGTTGCTGCACTCACCAAGCAGTATCTAATTGTATACGCCATCGTAATGGGTGAGTTCAGCATCTTTCCTTGAGACCATGACCAGACGCGCCTTTGTCCTCAGGCGCGGATTGGCTGCAAGGGCCATATGTGTATTCTCTGTACAGAGAGCAATACGAGTTTCCCGAGAGAATAGTTGCAGTCCTCTTCGTGACCGGTTTCATGTCGGCGGGGTTAGCAGCGCCCTTGATTGGTGCTTGGGCCGACCGACAGTGCGTGCCTATGACCAGCGATCTAAGCTTGGCGTTTCACTAACGGAGACCGGCAGTGGGAGGAAATGGATGTGCATGGTATTCTGCATAAGCTACACCCTGACCTGCGTCTGCATCCTCATCCCGTACCTCCCCATCTTGCTCCTGGGACGCCTCCTCGGCGGAGTCTCCACATCCATACTGTTCTCGGCGTTCGAGTCATGGTTGATCTCCGACGCGTCGTCGAAGGGTATTCCCCAAGCCGACCTGTCCACTATCATGGGCCGCGCTACATTGGTGAACGGGTTCGCTGCAACCGCTGCCGGCGTGGCGAGCAACCAGCTAGTGTCCACCACCGCTTCGTTCGCTTCCCCGTTCGTGGCGAGCGGCGGATTACTCATCTTGGCTTGGACGGTCATCAAGAACCTTTGGACTGAGAACTACGGTGCTGGCGGGGGCACCGCGACCGAAGCTGATCTTTTCCAAGTTCGACGATTAGGTCAAGCTTGGGACATTGTCCGCCGAGGTACGCCTGTCTCTAGCTATCCACACTCCCTGTTGACTTCTTTCCTTCCAGATCCAGTCCTGCTCGTCCTAGGATTAACCCAGACCTGCTTCGAAGGATCCATGTACCTCTTCGTCTTCCTCTGGGTGCCCTCGCTGCAAGAATCCGCGCCCCCCTTCGCACCCCCACTCCCCCTCGGCTACATCTTCTCCTGCTTCATGGTCTCCATGATGCTCGGCTCGCTGCTCTACACCGCGATCTCCGCGCACTCGCTGCCCACCGCCGAGTCGACGCTGACGCTGCACGCGAAGCTGAGCAGCCTCGTGTGCGCGGTGAGCGCGCTCGCGCTGGGCGTGAGCGTGCGGAGCCGGGATGAACATACGCGATTTTGGGCGTTCTGCGCGTTCGAGGCGTGCGTGGGGATGTATTACCCTGTGCAGGGGATGCTCCGCGGGAACCTCATATCGAACGAGCACCGCGCGACCGTGAGTACCCCTCGTTTCCCGTACCTCTTATCCAGCCACGTTCTCACTCGCACTTGTTGTTTAGCTATCATCGCTCTTCCGCGTCCCCCTGAACGTATTCGTCGTAGTCTCGCTCCTCACCGGCGTATCCTCCGCGCGGCAGCTCGTCCTCAGCGCGAGCGCGGCCATGCTCGCCTTCTCCGCCGTCATGACCGGCGCGGTCGTCCTCCCGCGCGTCGAGCACACACACCCCGAGCCGCCGTTGTCTGCGCAGGACAGGTTGGCGTGATTCTCCTACCCTCCTTTACCTATCTTACCCGCCAGTTGTCACTGACTGACTATGACGATGCGGCTTCCTGCTGCGTTGATAGAGCCCAGGCGTGCGAGATGTTCGCCGACGCGGCGATGGCGCCGCTGCTGTACCGGTACCGTGGCGCCGGGGCGGATGGCGGTACGCAGCTTGCGTATAATTCGTTCGATTAAGGAAGGGCGGCGGGGAGCCTGATGGACTACTACCGGAATACTAATCTGATACCCGTATGTATTTATTGTGTAATAGATCTTTTTGGACTAGACTTGTGGCTGGGGCGAGGGGGAGGTGGGGCGATGGGAGGATGAACTGTGTTCGCCGTTGGAGGCTCGTGATAAGTCTATCTTGTCTCTGTGAGGGCAGGAGAGGGTGGGAACGAGCCTGGCCCCTACAACGCTGAGAAGGTGCTCGGCGCTCTGATTTTGGTTATCTTGGATGGCCCTGGAAGTCCCGTAGGTGGCGGTAAGGAGGCAACGGTGAGTGCGTTTTGTGTTATCGATGGAGCGACGGGTCGGCTGGCGGTGGTAGGGACGGATGGCTCGACCTCACAATGCGCCGGAAGGAGAGATGTCTCCTGTAGTGGTTTTCACCGTGTTGGGTAGCTCTGGAAGTCCGTGTCGGTAGGCAAAGGTGAGCGCACTTTGTATTTGTTCCAAAGCGCAGGGCGTCTGACGACGGTAGGAATGGTTAACTCGACCTGACACCGCGTCAGGACGCGAAATGTCTCTATATGGTGAGCCTTGTTGGCTGAATAGCTCTCCAGGTCTATACCGACAAAGGTAAGTGCACTTTGTATTATGATCGAGGTGCGGGTCGTCGAGAAGGGCAGGAATGGTCAACTCGACCTCACATTGCCTCGGTAAGTGCCCTTTATGTTAGGATGGAGATGCCGGTAGTCTGGCGGAAGACTCTCTACGGTGATCGTTATCATCATGGCAGCTGTTGAAGTCCATGTCGGGAAGCGATGGTGAGTGCGGTTTGTACAATGATCAAGGTGCTGTTTGTCTGGCAACGGGGGAAATTGGCTAGCTCGACCTCGCATTGCGCCGGGAAGCGAAATGTCTCCATATGGTGGTCATCGTAACGTGGATGGCGCTACAGGTCCATGCTGACAAAGGTAAGTACACTTGTATTATGATCGAGGTGCGATTTGTCTGGCGACGGTAGGAGTGGTAAACTCGACCTCATACTGCACCAGCGAAATGTCTCCTTGAGGTGATCCTTGTCATGTTTGATCGCTCTCAAGGACCATGTGGGCAGGGGTACATCAGGGGGCTTTATTCTAGGAAAGGGAACAATTTGCGGGTATAAAACTTACAGTGAATTTCAAGTCCAGTTCATTCCACAGCTTAACATTCTCCTTGCCCACCATCGGGCGCCCTAGCGATCAGTTCAGACTGCGCGATAATACGCTAAGGTGGGTGGTGTCCCTGCTATCCTGAGCTTGAGCGAGCTTAAAGTGGTCTGCCTAGATCGATGAACGTTAACTCTGAAGCGGTAGTTGCTTATGGCGTTGTGGCCACCCCTCGGTAAGTGACATTGGTTATCTGTGGAAGAGCTACGACACGCTCACATAGGATATGGTCTATCAGACTCTCGGCGGAAATGCTCTCGGCAATCTTCATTTCTGGCCTAGAGGGCATTAAAGTTCGCCGCCAATTTTCCTATTTGGCAGCGGTATCGGGCGTCTCGAGGGAGTGGCGGATGGCCGCAGTCGGTGATCCGCGCTTATGGGTTGACGTATACGCCAACCTGACCGAAACGAGAAGTTCTCAGCAAGAAGTTGATAAGTTGTACCTGGAGCGATCAAAATCCTGCCTACTCAACGTTCATATGACGGGCGACCCGTGGCTTGTTACAGATCCTCTGACGAAGTGGCTTAGAGGTGAACACCCGACCACGCTCCTGTCCACTGCAGACCGATGGCGAACGCTCGTCGTCACCGCCTCAAACGAATTCGTCGCGGCATTATTGCTCCATCTCTCAGACGGATGGCGGCTCACTGCGCTCGAAACAGTGGAGCTTCATACTGCGACGGTGCGACGCTTCTACGAACCCATCCGTTCCGAAGAGGATATCCAACCCTATTACCGTGGGATTGAGGATTATCCTGCGAAGCTGAATGAGAAGATCAGATACGGGTCTTCTGAGTGGGCACTACGGACTCCACCGCTGACTCGCCTGTACATCGAACCCAGGTTCCTGGATGAAAGCTGGCCTGCGTGCTTCGCCTTGTCCAACCTAACCAGTCTCGAACTGGGCTTCCGCATACCCTGGAACGTATTATATCATGCGCTATCACGTGCACCGCTTCTGCAACGCTTGGAATTCGAGGAATGCTGGATCTCCTCAGACCCAGACGAGGGCGAAATGACCCGAATTGTTCTGCCGTACCTGCGCGATGTCGAAGCTTGCTACTCTACCCGCAGCTTCTGGATGCGTTTTTTGTCGGTTATCTCCTGTACTAACTTGGAACAACGTGCGATAGGGTCGGGCCTGTCGGAGAGAGAAGACCTGGAGTATGTGCGTTCTTTGAGACGTTTGGTTCAACATGACTCTGTCATAGGTAAAGAGACTATGTAGTAAGACAGGTGAATTTGTCTGTAGCAAACAAATACTACATAAGTACCCTTTGTTCCCGCTACCCCAGGTTGTGACTAGGTTGTCCGCCATTTTGGCAAGATCTGCCAGATCTATTTGTTGATAGTCCTAGAAAAAGCCATATTTCTCCACGCCACACTTGGTGGCACATCCTCGAGAGTCGCGAGAGATTCCGAAATGATCAGAATGCTGCAGGTCGTGGTCATCTACGGTAAACAAACAAATTCTAGAAATCTAAGAGTAAGCTCTAGTTGTCCTATGGAATAAGAATACAAAGGTATTTGGAGCGCTGGGCACTAGAACCGAACATACTACGCGCTCCGAGTCTATTTCCTGTACTGGTATGTATCATGAGATACCTCGTGCTATTTGCCAGTTACCTCCCAGTCGCTACTAAGAGAACAAAGAGTCGTGAGCTGGAAGTACCGCGTTACCATGGCCCCCACTCTGCAAACTACAAGATACAACCTGGAGTCTTGTAGTGAAGATATCCATGCTACGACGTCGTCCGTCTGAGTAATGCATGATGCACAGGGATAATAATTTAAATGCAAGATATCGATGCGAGCGATTTCAACCTTTGATCCAATATGTCGTCGGCCCTCCGCTAGAGCCAGGTTTCTCCGTGTTGGTAGTTCCCGTATTCCGCACACACCCATCGTAAGCAAATAATCACGGACAACTACCATTTCGACAAGCTCGAGCCTCGAGGTCGACCGAGAAGACTTAGACTGCCGCAGTGAAGGGACTGATAAGCGCGCATCACGGTGCTTTGGAGAAGTTGGGACTAGCTATAGCAATGTCCACATCAGTCCTGCAATAATTGCAAGTCTCACCGCTTCAGCTCGCGCATCGGTAATTCTGCGACAGCGTACGATATCGAACGCCTGAAGTTCGTCATTAAGAGCGACGGTGGCGACAGCGACGTGCCGCGTCTCGCTTGCGCATCAGGTTGAGCGGGACTCCGTCATCCGTTAGCACCGAGGAGGCGCCCGGTTGAGTCACTATAACTTTGTTTCCTGTCTGGTCCGTTCAGGGTACATTCATCTACCAGCCTCGGACACGTCGTGAAGAATGGAGGGGCCCAACGTTGTACCCACCGTGGTTGATCTCGCAAAGCGGTCCAGTTATAGCCTGCGATCTCATCAGTCTAATACATCCCGGAACCGTGCGGATGAAGATGTCGCGTCTAATCGAAGCGAAGCCAGTACGAGGGTGGAGGCAGCTGAAGCTGTTGGCGAAGAGAATGAGCCGGTGATTGACCCAGAGTTCAAGTTACCGAAGCTTAGATCACTATCAATAATCATATTAACCAATGTGATGTTGCAGGTGAGCTACGTTCAACAGAATGAGACAGTATGGATCTGATATGTTTAACAGCTGTCATTCTTCATCATAGTCTCGTCCTCTAGCGAGTACGCCGCATACCTGGGTGGTACATCGACGTTCTCCGGTTTGGTTATCGGTATCCCTACCGTGTTCTCGGGTCTTGCCCTCCTTCCGATGATGAAATGGGATCAAGGTATGGGGCCCCTACCCTCTGCGCGTTTGGTTGCGTTTACAAGGCTTTTACAGGTGTATACCACCGTCCATTACACTTAGCCTGTGCCGCCAGCGTACTCGGCAATATGCTGTACGGCCTCGCGTATAGGGCCCACTTCCTGTATCTGATCCTGATATCCCGCATCGTGCTCGGAGTATCGTTCACCTTCTGGATGTACTGCAAGCGTTACTGCTCCGACCCGCGGATCGTGGGCATCCGTCGGCGAACCGCGCTAGCCGGATGGCTCGTCGTGGGGCAAGGCGCGGGATTCAGCGTCGGCCCCTTCATCGGCGGTTTGCTCTACAGAGTAGGGTTCCAGAATGGGGTCTTCAACGGGTACACTAGCCCGGGGTGGATCATGGCAGGTGCTTGGCTTGCCTTTTGGGTTGCCGTGGCTGTCTTCTTTGAAGATGTACCCGTCACCCCGCCTCCGGAACAGGTCGAATTGACGAATATGTCAAGCTCTAGTCCTCATACGCAGCAGCAAGCTGCAGACGAGCACCGCATGACTCTCCAGCGCTGGGGCGTCGTGGTGTGCATGTGCTGGTACGCCATGACATGCTTCTTCATCCTCGGCGCCTGGGAAGCAAACATCCCCGTCTACACTGCCCAGGCCTTCTCCTACTCGCCCTTTTCCGCAGGCAACCTCATCGCACTCGGCGGGATCACCACCTTCCCGTTCCTCCTCGCGAACCTGTTCGTTGCGCGACGCGTGCAGGACCGGCATACGCTTGCGGTGGGCTCAGCCATCGGCCTAGCTGGTTTGCTGGTCATGATCGCCCTCCTTAAGACGAATACCGTGCAGTTCGGCACCGTATATTTCTGCTGGTTCCTTGTCGCGCTCGGGTTCAATATTGCTAGCACGTGCACTCTCAGTCTCCTATCCAAGCAGCTTCCCGGGGAGTGGAATAGTCGTATCAGTCTCGCAATCCAATACAGTAATTATACAGGACGGGTTACAGGGGCTGTGTGGGGTGGAGCTGGCGTGAAGGTGGGTATGCTTAACTACTTAGGCTTGCAGATCGCTGTGGTCGGGATTGGCGGCGTCATGTTCATGACCCTATGGAGGGATCTGAAGGCGAAGACGGGATGAAAGATCGTAAGGGAATTGCGTCGTATTGCTGATCTCTGTCGCGGTTTTCTAGAATAAATATATGCATCCTGGATAGCGCACAGAAGCCCTATCATTCAAGTGTCAGTGTGAAGATCAACAGAAGGCAACACTTAGTGGCTTACCTTGCATTGGAGTCCTTGGTCGCGACTCCGCCTCCGTATTCTTCGCGGCAAACGTTGAAGATGAAGGCACACTTCTTATCCTGTAGGAACAGGTCCAGTCCACCGGCTCTGATGTATTCAAGATTCGTATAGCAACGGAGGTATAAATACGTGTGTACTGTATCATTATCCAAACGATGGCAGATAGTAAGGTAAGTAATTTGTTCTGTAGCAAACAATGGTAAGTGCCCTTTGTTCTAGAAAAGGAAACGACCTTCGTATATAAAAGAAGTTGGTGAGCCCCAGGGACACCATTCCCTCCTACTTGTCTTCTGTTTCGACACGTGCATCCCTACAGGACGGCGGAGTAAAGTTGCAGTCAGCTTTCTACCCTAAAGCAAGCAGCATGCCATACTCGCAGGCGGAAAGTGCCACTGGTGCTGTGGCTGGGCCTCGGTAAGTGGCATTCAACACCCAGTCTGTAACTTGCTGAATGGGAGTGCCATTCTTCAGACTGCCGGCTGAAATGCTCTCGCAAATCTTCATCTCCGGCCTGGAGACGACTGGCTTGCGGCAGCAGTATTCCTACCTGGCTGCGGTGTCAGGCGTTTGTAGGGAGTGGCGAATGGCCGCGATCGAGGATCCGTTCTTATGGGACAACATCTACGCCAACGTAACTGACAAGAGGCGAGCCCACCAAGAGATCACCAAGTTGTACCTGGAGCGATCAAAATCCTGCTTGCTCAAAGTGCATCTCACGGGAAACCCCCATGCCGTTGCACCCCCCCAGTGGACCGCGGACAGACACCCGGGCCAGCTCATGTCCAGCGCGGGTAGATGGCGAAAGCTGGTTGTTGAGTCCGAGGGCGACGTGGTAGCAGCGGTACTGTTTTATCTGTCGGTCGGACGAACGGCGCAGGTGCTCTCTGCACTCGAGACAATGGAGTTTCGGGCGCCGCCGCCGCGACACTTTCATGGGCGCTCGCTCTGGGCATTAGACAGTACTTGGCACCGCACTGAGCATCCTCGCGGTCGGCTGAATGTGGCGATAAGAACGGGGACGGCGCAGTTGGCCACCCCAGCCTTGACCCGCCTTGGCATCTTGCAAGCGTTCTTGGACCCAAACTGGCCCTTGTTCTTTTCCCTAGCGAACGTCACTTGCCTCGAGCTGGCCTTCGATATGTCGTGGAACGAGCTGCATGGTGCACTATCGCGCGCTCCGCTTCTGCGGCGCTTGGGATTCAGCGGATCCTTGCACAATTCAGAACTGGACGAAGACGACTTGACACCGATTGTTATGCCACACCTGTGCCATGCCGAAGTGTATTTTGCTACATACCGGGGGGAGTTGATCTTCAGGCGTTTCTGGTCTGTTGTCTCCTGCCCGAACTTGGCACGACTTCGTCGGAGAGGGTCGGGCCACTTTCAGTAAGACTGTGCATAACTCATAAAGCCTGCCTTGGCGAAGCATGGATTTTCCGATTCTTTGAACATATCTTCCTTCAACATGATGCCAGTGATAGCCATAGGATACTACGTGTCCCTCCATCTGAGCGATCCGCTGTTGGGAATCACTAGCAATGCTAAGCTGGATACGAGAGTAATATGGGACGAGTGAGAAGCAATGTGATTGACTAGATGCTCACCACTTCTGACCCGACACCGTGCGTGGGTTGAAACCGCGGGAGATTAGCACTTTCCAAATGAGAAAGGACAAGGTCCAAACGAATCAGCAGGGTAGATGTGGATACATAGTCATACATGAACGATAAATATACGTCTGCCCAAGCCTCTTCCCTCACTCCGCTTCGAGCAATTCACCGACCTCCTCCTCTTCATCTTCGTCCGAGTCCATAATCGAGTCTGGCTCGTCACCATCGAGGAGGCCGTCAATCTCCTCGTCCAGCCTCGCCTCCTCTGCTTTCTTTGAAGCACTATACTCTATGCATTATTGATGTTTCCGGTGGAAGAGAGGAGTGCTCGTACCGTTTTCTGCTGGGGGGCTCCGGAGTAGACTCGTCACGATCAGCCTGCTGCGCGGCAACTTTGCTCTTTGCCTTGGTCCGCCTGCAATAGTATAACGTAAATATCGCCCGTCTGAAAATAATCACGGAGGATCACATACGCGGTTCTGGCAGGCATCGCTCGAGAGGGAATTTCCTCAGTGGCATTGCTATCGGTATCAGTCTCAGTGGAAAGGCGGGCCCGTTTCCTGAAAGAGAACAAACAGTTAGACCCAGAGCGCGTACGACTAGATATTGCTGCACTCACTTGCCCTTGCCTTTCCGACTGTTCTCAGCCGAGGGCGTTGCCGACTCCTCCCTATCCGTGGTCTCAGCCGTCGCCGTAGAAGCGACGCTCTGTGAGCGACGTTTCCGCGTCGCCCGCTTCTTCGGCACGGGAGTGTCCTGCTCATCCTCGTCGCTCTCCGGGATGATGTCGTCGAGGAATTCGAATAGCTCCTTCAGGCTCTCGAGCTCCCTGTACTGCTCCTCGTCGAAGTCTTCGAGCTGCTTCTCGAACTTCTTCGAGATGGCTGCATCAAAACGGGTGAGGGCGTTATTGGCGGTCGTATCCTTCAGAGGTCGTCGCTGATACATGAATCATTGGGTCAATGAGGAAGGGTGAGTGAAGACTAAAGCAACGAACGGATGCCAGATTGTGCATGAGTAGCTTCAAAGTGCGGATCTGATCGTCGTCCACGACGTCGGGTATGTACAGCTTGGATAAGGATTGGCAGAGGACCTTCTTTTCATCCTCTGTAACAGCATACGTAAGACCGAGTAATGACATCGAGACGAAACAACGCACTCTCCATGTCCTTGCTGTAAAGCGTCCGAACGATCTCGGTGGCCATATCGAAGTGGATCTTATCATCTGCTGCCTGTCCGCGGACGGCACTACCGTAACGTCCAGTCAAAACGCAATCGAAGACATGTGGGAAAGGAATACTCACACAGCTTTCTGGGGATCCGTCCAATCGACGAACATGGCTACTACGTTCGCGGGCGAAATCATCTCTCGGTCATCGTCAAGCTCCTTGTACACTTGCGAGAGCTCTTCGAAGATCGGAATGAAGATCTGCAAAATAAGTGAAGTGAACTGATCCAAACGCATCCTAATATACTACGTAGTGTTATAGCTCGTACCTTCTGCATCCTGCGCTGATTCGCCGGGGACGAATAGCAGTATACAGGGAAGAAGTACGATAGGCACTGGCGGAGTTCCTGATTTCCTGCCGTCTCTGGGGAGACGTAGGCGAAGACGAGGCTCTTGAGAACCTACATCGTAGACAGTGAGGACACTGACTTCGTCCCTCCGATCATTGTCACTTACCCTCTCATCGGTCACCATGCCGGATAGCATCAATTTCGCAATACCGACACACATCAAGGCCTGAACTTTCTCGGATTCCTCATTACCCCATATCTGGAGGAGGAATTCGATAATCCGGTCGCCCTGCGGGAAATCCAATTTAGATTCAGAGTAGCGTACTCGAACCTGGTTAACATACCGCCACGCCTTCATTGCCCAAGAAATCGCGGTCATGCACCATGAGAATATCGAAGATGATCTGTAGGACGCGGATCTTGAGCAACTCCGGTGCAGACTGTACTTGACTCAAGAAAAGTTGGAAGGAGTTGAGGGCCATGCGCTGTAAGTGGAAACGGTCAAACTCGACCGTTGGCCGTACGGGAGACTACGACGTACTCTAGCGATGAGGCAACACAGTCCAAGGCTGACAAGACCCTTCTCTCTCAAGGCCAGCTCCTTACGCTTGACTGCAGGGATAATCAACTCGCCCAGAATACCTTCAAGCGTGGAGTTTTCCTCGAAGGTCTAACGATAACGAACATCAGTAGGAATAACGACAAACACATTAGGAGCGAAATCACCCCGTTGACTCGCTCAAGCATCCCTATGCATAATGCCAGACACCGGAGGTCTATAGCGTCTGCCTGAGCTTTCTCTTCTGGCGTCATCTCGGAAGGTGGCTTCGGGGCAGCTCTGACAGTCCTGACTGTCATGGGCGTCTCCGCGTAGGTTGTCTCGCCATCGTCGCCGGCACTGGCTTCCTTCTGCATCAAAGTGAGCCCTATCAGCACTTCTTTTGAAGTCATGCGGTAGACGAACCTCTTCCATCTCAGGATCTCGTAATTCGTGGACTACTTCAACAACGAGGCGGATGAGGTCGCGCTCGTTCGGCGACAGCTTCCGCAGAACGTCCAGACAGCGTGACAGCAGGCTCTCGGGCAGAGTCTCCTGGGATATCATATCGCCTGTATTAGTGAGATATCAGTCAACCCTGACCTGCTCCTCCCTAAGACATATACAACTCACGAACGAGCTGGAACATCTTCCTCCTCCCAATCTCATCCGCATAATCCAAGTTCACCGCCAACCTCAGCATCTCGCCAATGACGAACTCCTTGTCCATCCTCTCATCCTCCTTTCTGGCGCGCTCCTCATCATCTTCGTGGTCTTCACCGCGGAGGAACTTCTGCTCCTCGTCGTCCTGAATCTGCTCCATCAGATCGTTGTACGTCGACTGGATTCTGAAGGCAAGGAGTGTGACGACAGGCAGCGCCGACTCGAGCCTTGCGTCGTCCTTGGTGGAGATGCAGTGATCAACGAAGACGCGGGCGAGAAACGCCTTCTCGGGCGTCAAATCCGCCCAGTACTGGTCTGAAGTGCGGTCAGCATCATGGCATCCAACTATCGAGCGGCATCCTTACCTCCAAATTCCACGTTATCAAAGATATCGACTCGGGAAGCAAAGACACTCCTAAGCGCGTCTTCCGCAATCCCGGTCTCGGCGAGGTCGAATAGCCGCAGGAACGCGATGACCTCCTTCGCGGGCTCGTCGCCCTCCATCTTCTCCCCGACCACCTCCAGCCAGGTGACGATCAGCTTGGCCGCAGCGCTGCGCACGGACGGCTCGCGGTCGCCCAGGCCGTTCCGCACGATTAGCTCACGCTGCGCGATGGAGAGGACTCGCGGGTCCGTAATGCCCAGCCCGTTGGAGTCGTCGGGGGGCACGCAGTTGCTCTCGAGCAGAGTGTAGAAGAGCTTGCGGATGATGGCGTCGGTATCGCGGCTCCTGGCTAGGATGTAGGACAGAGTCGCCTGGTTGATGTGCACGTTAACTAGGACGGCCCGGCGGACGTCGCTGTGGCATACGCGGCGGTTAGACTGAGGACTCGGGATACACAGCAGACTCACCCAGAGGGATCGTGCGCCAAGGTGTCGAGGAGTACTTCGACGACCGGCGGTTCGCCGTCTTCGAGGTCGGCAGGGTCTTCCGTGCCATACAGCTTCGCCAATCCTATGACCGCTTGCACGCGCACGAAGGGCTCCTTGTCGCGTAGGCGGTCAAGAAGAGACTCGCGTATTTGGGTATACAAGTCCTCGCTATCCAAGGTCACGTTGGTAAGTAAGCCGTCGCGCTCGCCATGATCTTCAGTCAATGGGGATGGACTCACTCAAGTTCACCCATATGCGACACTACTTCGGCAAGGATCTGCACGACCCTATAACGGACATTCTTGTCCTTGGCGAGGAACCCCTTGAGGAGGAATTTGAGCATTCTGCTCGCAAAGCGTGAAGCGGGCGTATCGTCGTATTCGTCCGCGTCGCCGCCATTTTTCTTGCGCTCCTCGAGGACTGTAGCTAGATGGGAAACTGCTTCCAGGCAAAGACGAGGGAAAGATTCACCTTTCTCATTCATAAACCTCACATAGCCTCCAATAAACTTTACGATCCTGTCCGCCACGGTCGTCCCTTTCTTCAGCGGCAGCAAACGACTTGTCATTTCCACCACAACGTCTTCAAATGCTTTCTGTCCGACATGTTTGACTGTCCTTCCCTTGTTAATCGGTTCCGTGTGCTTAGAAGCCTCGAGGTGGAGTTTGTATAGGGCGACGTAGTTCTTCTGATGGTTAGCTGTGGATACTTGTGCTTGGTCGAAGATTTTCGGGATAGAAGAGGATATTTCCTCGAGTGATGATAGAGTGCGCGCAGGCATCCCTTCAACTGAATGTCACTGTTGTATTGCCATGGTTTACAAAGTAAGCAAGATGTATAAGTAGCCGTACAGGGTACGGGTTGTCTTTATGGGTACGCACGCTGTATCTCCACACCGTGAAGCAGTGCGGTAAATGTTCTGGTAGAGCTCGAGCTTTGTCTTTTGTCGGTCAAAGACACGTTTCGAGCAAAGTTGTGGCAAGCCTGGAGGCTCGTGGACAACAGGCTGAGGTTGGGACAGGGCGCGCGTCGGTACGCGTCCGACCGAACGCGTGCCACGTGCATCAAAGTCACGAGACAGGTTAAACGATCACGTGGCGTACGCGAGCCACACGCCGCCGGAACGTGTTTGCAACATTTCCTAAGTTCAACTTTCTGGCTGACAGCATCCACATCCCTCCCCTCGACATCGACGGCGTTAGGCCAAGCAGGCGTCAGGCCACCGACAACGACGACGACAACGATGACAACGCCCTACTACTCCGGCATCCCGCCTGCGCCCACCGCCCGTCGCTATCCCTTCTCCAACGCCGTCAACCACATTCCCCGGACGACCCCCCCTACGAAACCGCAAGAGACACCTGATGACAAGATTGAACAGAAACAGAAAGAAAAGTATCAGAAAATTGGAGAGCCGCCGTTGCCGAGGCAGAATACGAAGACCATCCCGCCCTCGCCGCCGAAAGTAATCGTGGACAAGGGCAGAGCGTCCAAGTATGCGCGGGTTGGATTACTGGGAGAGGTGAGTGCTTTGGTTGCTATGTGACTAATAAACCTCATTCTGGCACAGGGTGGGTTTGCACGAGTGTATGAAGTGGTCGATCATAAACACTCGAGACTCGCGTGCAAAGTTGTTACCAAGACGTCCTTGAAAACTAAGAAAGCGAAGACAAAAGTGAGCATACCTTACTATCCGCTACTACTCACCCTAACTCCATGGTAGCTTTATGCAGAAATCAAGATCCACCGCGCCCTCGCCCACCCCAACGTCGTCCGCTTCCTCGACTGCTTCGAGGACGACGAGAACGTCTACATGACGATCGAGCTCTGCCCCAATGGCTCTCTCATGGACCTACTCCGGCGGCGCAAACGCTTCACCGAGCCCGAGGCCCGCTTCTTCATGGTCCAGCTGCTCGGCGCCTGCCACTATATGCACAACCACCAGGTCATCCACCGCGACCTCAAGCTCGGCAACCTCTTCCTCGACAGCAACATGAACATCAAGGTTGGTGACTTTGGGCTCGCGGCCCTCATCGAGAGCCCCGGCGAGCGCAAGAAGACGATATGCGGCACGCCCAATTATATCGCGCCCGAGGTCCTGTTCGACACCGCCAACGGGCACAGCTTCGAGGTCGACATCTGGTCGATTGGCGTCATCCTATACACATTCGTTATTGGCCACCCTCCTTTCCAGACCAAGGAAGTTAAGAGCATTTACAAGTGAGCGAACTGTTTTGACTTGCGCGTTTGGAGGCTAATATCCACCCAGGCGAATCCGCGACAATCAATACGAGTTCCCCGTCAACCGTGACATCTCCGATGACGGCAAGCAGCTCATTCAGCTCATCCTCACTCCAGACCCGCAAGAGCGGCCCACCCTGCACGAAATCCTCGACCACGGGTTCTTCGTCGGCGGCACCGTCCCGCTCACCCTCCCCACGACCATCCACGACATCATCCCGAAATTCGACCACATCACGCGCCCTATCTCCACCGCCAACCTCGCGAAGCTGCGCCGCCTCGCGCTCCTCGACGAGGACCAGGTCAGCACGATCTCGCTGCCCGTCGCGAACAGCACCGCGAACGGCTCGAAGATGAAGGGCAACCCCACGGCGGCGCTCGCCCAGCAGGAGAAGGAGTTCCAGCAGGCAGTGCAGCCTGGCTCGCCCATCTCGGCGCTGCTCAAGTCCGCGCGGCAGCCGCTCGTCATGGGCAGCGGTGGTCGCGGCGAATCCCCGCTCTACCGAAAGCTCCAGGCAGCGGCCAAGGAGAAGCGCTCGTCGCCTCTGAAGCAGCGCACGGACGCGCTGCGGGATATCGAGGAAGAGCGGAGCGGTGAGGGCAGGGGGCAGAAGGAGAAGGACTACGAGGAGGTGAGGAGGAAGGAGCTGGAGGCGCAGAAGGCGCGCATCGTCGCGCAGATGGCGCCGCCCAAGGCCGTCACGGCAGCCGAGTTCGTGCAGACGCTCGAGCGCGAGAACGTCGACCCCATCCCGAAGGCATCGCGGGAGCCCAGGGACAAAGACGAGAAGGAGAAGACCGCTGGCAGGGACGACAAGTCCGGCGGGCCTGTCCTTAAGGTGAACGGCTTCGACGCGGCGGCGGAGACGCTTGCGGCGGCGCTCGGCCTGCTCGCGCAGGGCGAGTGCTTCAGCGATCCGCGGGAGGAGGCGGCGATGCTCGAGGGGCGGGTGTTCATCGCGTCCTGGGTGGACTATTGCAATAAGTATGGCATGGGGTACGCGCTGACGGACGGCACCGTCGGCGTGTACTTCAACGACAGTACGTCTCTAGTCTTGTCTCCCGACAAACAGTACGTCGCAATCATCCTTTGCCGACCGCGCATATACTCACGTATTCCAGCCATTTTGACTTTATCGAGAGCAGACGCGGGGGCTCGGTATACGTGCGCAAGTACTACACCGTGGACGAGTACCCGGACCCGGAGCTCAAGAACAAGGTGTACCTGCTCAAGCACTTTGAGGGGTACATCATGAACCGCCTGTTCGGCGATTACGAGTACTGCTTCACGGACACCACCAGGACCAAGGGTATGGCCTTCCTACAGAAGTTCCTGCGCATGAAGAACGTCATTGTCTTCAAGATGAGCAACGACACCTTACAAGTGAGTTTTCCAAGCCCCTAACAGTCCCTGGGCGCACCTGACCGTGTGTCGTCGCCCAGTTCAACTTTTACGACCACTCGAAGATGATCCTATCCTCCAACGGTCTCGTGGTGACTCACATCGACAAGCACTACAACATGACGAAATGGAAGCTCAGCGAGATCATGGCCCGCGCGCTCGGGCCCAAGCCCGAGGACCCGGACGAGGCCAAGCTGCAGCAGCGCCTCGTGGACAAGCTCAAGTACTGCAAAGAAGTCCTCCTGTCCATCCGGAAAGCGACCGAGCTTACCGCGAACCAAGGCGAGGGCGCGGAGCTCAAGGAGGTGCCCGAGCCCGCCATCGTCCCCCGCCCCTCCAAGCGGTCCGCGCAGCCGCGCGCATGAGCGGCATCATACCGGTGATGTGTCCACGCGGTTGTAAAGATATCCTTTATTCATCGAGGGACGTTGCGGTATACCCTGTCTGTTCACACCACTCCACGTCGTTCTCGCACCATACATTCCCCATCGCTGTCGTGAAGTACATATGTATTGATAGTAGTCCTTGTACATTGGTTCGCCCGCTCGGGATAGAGGTAGTGGGCTAACATGGTCGTCGAAATAATAATGTCCAACAGCTTTACTGTCATTTATGTATGCCCATGGCCGAGTGAGGGTCCATACTTGTTTGCACAGCAAATGCAAAGAGGAAGCCTAAGGCGGGCAAATGGAAAGCAGAAGGCGAAGGACTCGTTCGCGCAAGTCAGACATCCTATGAAGGTGTGACACAAGTGAACAGCCAAGTCACACCAGTACTCAAACGATGATAAGGATGAGGATGAAGTCTATTTTGCATTGCTTTTCGAATCCAAACTATGTAATTATTGCGGTCGCAACACAACCGCTACATCATGAGATAAAACGTTAAACAAGCAGCTTCGTAATTACCAAACTCGACATGTCAATAGAAGAGGAAGAGAACGTAAACCGAGGAGTCCACAATACAGACCCGTTATACAAGAAGGCCGACCAGTTGGACGCCGATGCCAATGCGAGGATGGGTGGATATTACGCGTACGAAGGGGATGATGCTGGAAGGAAGGGATATATTGCAATTGACACCAGACATGATGGGTCTCACTAGTATTAGGGGTATGTACGGATAGGATACGGTTTAATGTCGTCTATGCGGTGGGCCGGCTGGGATGGCGCGCGAGGACCTGACCAGTCTGAGCAGCCTGGATACTGCTGAAGCGTTGCAGCTCCTGGGGGTTCATCTTGATCTTGCCACCGAAGCCAACCTTGCGAGCAGCCCTGCGGATGAAGGAGGTACGGTTCTTGTACAGAGACTCGTGGACGGAAGCAGCGCGTGACTGGGTGCGGGTGAGGGGAACACCGCCGGTCTGCTGCATCTCCTGAGCAGCAGCGGCCTGGTGACGCTCACGGAGGCGCTTGATGACGGTGGCCTTCATGGCGAACTTGATCCAGTCCAGGGGAATGAACCAAATGATGTTCTGAAGGCGAAGCAATAAGCATATAATTACAGCTTCAATAGAGCGCAGCGACTTACCCAGACCCAAACGATACCAATCCAACCACCCTCAATAGCGTGGATGTTGGTGAAGCCCCAGTTACCGTAAGCAGCGATGATGGAGGAGATGACCTGGGCGATGACGAAGGCACCCATAAGGGCGAACGACGGGCGCTCCATAAAGAAGAAGCCGTGCGACCGGGTGACAAAGATCAAAGCCTGAGAGATGACGGCCACCTGCAGGTAGACAATGGTGTGCAGCTGGGGGTCGTTCCTGTGGTCGGTGAGGTTGCCGCTGAGACGAACGCCGAACTTGTCCTGGAAGAAGCTCGTCTCGAGGATGACAGCAACGAGAGCGACACTATCAAGATCTTGTAAGTCAAAGCCCATGATCCACAGCAGAAACGAAACTTACGTAGAAGCGGTCAGGTACAAACCGTAGGCAACGGCGTAAGAGAAGATCTCGGCCAAGTCCCAGCTGTCCGGAGTGTTCGAGGGCAAGACACGGTCAACGGACAAAGTCATGATGGTACCGTCGTTGAGGAGAGCGATGATCAGGACCATGAACGGAGGGAAGTCGAACTTCCAAGCGAACGCGAGGATGGCAAAGCAGACGACGATACGGATGGTGACAGCGCACGCGTAGATGGAGTAGTTCCTCATACGCTGGAAGATGACACGCGAGCCGCGGATAGCGTGGACGATGGTGGACAGACCGGGCTCAGTCAAGACGATATCGGCGGCACCACGAGCAGCGTCGGTCGCACCCTCGACAGCAATACCGACGTTGGCGCGAGACAAGGCAGGGGCGTCGTTGGCACCGTCACCAGTCATGGCGCACAAGTGACCAAGAGCCTGGAGACGCTTGACGATCTCGTACTTGTGCTCGGGGAAGACACCCGCGAAACCGTCGGCGTCCATGATCATCTCGTCGAGAGTAGCGTGCTTGCCACCAGCGGCGGGACCTTCCTTCAAAACCTTGGCGGGGTACATGTGATCACCAAGACCGAGACGACGACCAGTCTCCTTAGCGATGGCGAGCTGGTCACCGGTAACCATCTTGACCTTGACGCCGAGAGCAAGGGCATCGTCGATGGTCTGCTTGGTGTCGTCACGGGGAGGGTCGAAGATGGCGAGGAGACCGATGAGCTCGAAACCGTTACCCTCGCCCTCGTGGTCCTGACCGTCAAGCTCCTCGTAGGCAACCGCGAGCGCACGGAGACCACGAGTGGCGAATTCCTCGACATCAGCCTCCAGGCGGTTCTCAATCTCATCGGTCTTGTTGCGCGTGCAGAGCTCGATGATGATGCCGGTCATACCCTTGGTGACACGCTTCAGCTTGCCAGACGACGTCTCGCGATAGGTGATCTCGGTACGCTTGTCGACAGGGTTGAAAGGCTTGAAGTCGAGAAGCTCGATACCATCATGAGCGTGCTCCTTGCCACCAGCGGCGCCGACGACACACTGGTCGATAGCGTCGGCGTTCTCAGTACGAGAAGCGTAGCCAGCCAGGCGAATGACGTCCTCGGCGGTGAAGGGGCCGTAGGTCTTAACGAGGTTGCGGTCGATGGTGAGCTTGTTGGTGGTCAAAGTACCCGTCTTGTCGGAGCAAAGGATGGTGACACCAGCCAACTCCTCAATAGCGGTGATACGGGTGACGATGGCCTTGTGCTTAGCGAGCTGCTGAGCACCAACGGCGAGGGTGACGGACAAGACAGTGGGCATAGCAATGGGGATACCACCGATCAAAAGCACCAGAATGTCGTCGAGGCCGCGACGGTAGTTGTAGCGGAAACCGGCGTAGAGGACGAGGATCTCAGCAATGACGAAGATACCGATGGAGACCAAGCAGAAAGATCCGATTTGGGCCAAGATCTTCTGCAAGTGACCGGTGGTGTCGTCGTCCTGGCCAACCAACGACGCAGCACGACCGAAGAAAGTGTTGGCACCGGTGGAGATGACAACACCCTCGGCCTCGCCCTGCTTGCAAGTGGAACCACTAGCAACGAGATGTCAATGATATGTTCCTCGCCACCACATATGACAGAGGGGTACTCACGAGAAACACTGGTCGCCAACCTTCTTGCTCTGGGGCAGGGACTCGCCGGTAAGAGCAGCCTGGTCGATGGAGACGTTGATGGCCTCGGTGAGACGACAGTCGGCCGGAACAATGTCACCAATCTTGAAGGAAACCATGTCACCGGGCACGAGTTCCGAAGACTCGATCTCGTCCCACTTTCCGTCACGCTTGACCTTGGCCTTGGGGGCAAGGGAGTCCATGAGCGCCTTGACGGCGTTACCAGCGTTACGCTCCTCGTAGAAACCGATACCGGAGTTGATCAGGAGAAGGGCGACGATACCGACGAAATCCTCCCAGTCGGGGGGACGGTGTTCACCGTTGGACAAGACGATAGCGACCAGGGCGGCGCCCTCCATGACCCAGGAGAGCGGATTCCACATGAACGACAAGAACTACAAAGAGGTCAGCATATCCGCGTAACGATGAGAGTGTATGCGCATGTACCTGAAGGAAAGCATTCTGCTCCTCCTGCTCGAGCTTGTTCGGGCCGAAAATCTCCAACCGGCGTTGAGCCTCCTCCTTAGTTAAACCTTTGTCGTCACACTGGAGGAGTTTGAAGACGTCCTCAATGACGATGGTCTCCAAGTCCACCTTCTCCTTGTCGTAGAGGTCCTCCGCCTTGAGCTCGATAGTGGACATATCGACATTGGCGTCTGCAGGGACACGGGCGCTAGTGAGCGGCTATGACGTATGAAGAAAATCATAGGATACGTACGGGTGGGTTTCTCCTCCTCGTGACCAAAGTCCTTGTATTCCCTTTTTCTTTTCTCCGGCTCCTGAGCCTCGGGCTGCTCAGTGGGAGCAGGCCCGGCCTCCTTTTCTGCGATAGGTTCTGACATCGCTAGACGCGCAGGGGTAGAGAGGTGGACAAGAGGGTGAGCGGAAAGGCGAGCGGGCTGCGACCCTGACGGGCACTTCTATACAGCAAGCGTCGAGGACGAGGGGGACGGCGACGGCGGAGGTGGTGGATGGGGGTGAAGAGGGTTCGACGACGGGGGAATCGCTTCCCTTTTATTTTAGTGGTTCGGCTGTCTCATCAGGGGTGCCAAACACGCGCAAACACGCCAGCCGCGCTTCGGCCGGGTATCATTTCAAACCACCCGCGCGAGCGGATTCCTCCTCGCGCGTGAGATCATTCGCCCGGGAGTTTGTTCCTCAAGAAACTGGCAGAACTCACCGCGGCAGCAGTAAGTCTGCAGCGGGAGGGGGGGGAGAGAGACATTCTTTGACAGCGGGAGGGGGCTTGGGCAGCCGTATACAATCGCTCAAACGCCGGCTGCGGCATTCCCGATGAATTATCTTCGAAACGTTCCCTGCCTCGGGGTCGCTATTCACGACAGACAAGCCCCCGAGTTTGAATGCTCGCATCAGTCGAAGCTGTGTCTGCACCGAACAGTCCATCTCTCAAAAGTCCGTAAGAACAGATTGATGGGACCCAGCTGAACGCGCAGGATCATCAGGCTTCTTCTTACGGCTATTGATTCAGAGCTCGTAACGACCCAGCAACGGCGCAAAGCGGACCTCAAGTACCGTCCGCCACAGCGTTCAAAAGGTGCTGGCCGCATTCGAGGGTTTCTTCGAGCCAAGCTGCAGCTCACCTCCCCAGCATCCTCGGACCGAACGGACCCACGTTGACGCTCGAAACGCTGCCGAATGTTGCTATGTCATCCGCACGCTTCTCCCAGCACACGAGCACTTCAAGTGGCGTAAGGAGCGCAGGCTCAAGCCGGCACATCATATTCAGACCGTCTTCCGCCCTCCCTTGCGCTCTTTACGCTGTACGCCCCGCGCGGCAAGCGTGTCAGCCAGTGAAGGGATAGGCTCCCCGGCTGTCTCGCGCGGCCGGTGCCTCCTTTGATATCGCAAGGTCGCTAGACAATTCCGTCGGATTCGGCTTTGCACTCACTGGACGTCGGAGCGCGCGGCAGCCAAAGTTATCTCGAGTCGGTGCCTCGGCATCGGCCTGATTCGGTGCATGACATGGACTCGTCCTTTCTTTCTTCATATCTCTGTCACGGTAAAGTCACATCCTGCCAAGTCCTCTACACGCTAGCAAGCCCAACAAAAGGGTGGGTGTATCTACGGCGCTGCGCACCTCATCCGACAAACCGCCACGCCAAACAGGAGGCTCGAGCCCGAGTGGCATCGGACAACCCTGGGTTGCGTCCCCAACATAGAACACGCTTCTCGTAACCGAAGCGGTGTAACCAGTCGACGGGCTCGGGTCGGAAGCGCGGCACGGCCCCCCGTGCTGACTTAAGCCGCCGGCAACCCCAGATTGGGCTGGCAGGCGCTCGATTGGCCAGCGCTCCCTTCGTGAACAACGATGAAACGCCCCTCGGCGACGTCCCGCTCGGTGAGCGCGGTGGGTCGCCGCGCCCGGGACGCCTTCGACGCCGTATCACTCAGCGAGGCGGCTGCTGGCTTGCGATCAGCGTCGTCTTTGCTAGACTGGACTCGTTGGGTTTAGCGTCTTTCACTCGTCTTGGACAACGTCATGCATCATCTGCAAAGCTCCTCTGCGGCCTATCACTCTCTAGGCGATTCCTCGCTGGAATACTCCCCTCTGTCGATCTTTGCTCTTTCAGGCGGCGCGCGGATCGTCGAGTACGAAGGAGCCCGCACTGATATCATCGCGCTACCGCTTCTCGTTGCGTCTGCGGCCTGTAGCTTGGTCCTCCTATACCCGCGAATCCATCGAGGAACCACTCATGTATATCCTCACAAGCGATAGAGCGATGCTATCCCCGAAGACTATCCGAAATTTGTATGAGATGTGCGTGTTGCTCGAGACGTCGTCGCCGTTGTAGGCAGGACGCGTCCGTACCTTGAGGATCCCCTCTCTTATGATACTTGGAAGTGGCTGAACGGCTCCACCCACTGCGCTATGTATTTCACCAGATGACAATTGCCAGACGTGCGATTCGGTGACGCCAGCCTCGCCCATTGACTCGAAGAAGCCTTACCTTACAATTCACACCGGGCACCCTCTTTCACCAAGCCACGCTCGTCTTGGTCTTCGTTACCGCTCCTTCTATCCACTACACCCACGCCACTAACTACATATACAACCGGTAATCACTGTAGCTTTATGATATACTACTATCTATCTCCATGGGACGCAGCAGCTTCTGTATCCGCCTCGTACCTCCGCAGCCCCCACGGCGGGTTGGTTCGCTCGCGGGATGTATTCGCACTATCGTTACGTGACGCGAGAGTGCTTGAAAGTGCTATTTCTGAATCTGAGGCAACGCGGGGCCTGCCCTCATGACGCCGGTAGTTCCTTCGCTATCATTAGGTTGGAACCTGTATCCACCTCGCGTTAGGCAGGTTGCAGGGGCAGATACGGATCAAGTCGTGAACTCAGAGTCCTATTGCTTTTGACAGAGGCTTCCGATATCAAAGGCTGTGGGTGACCGTGGAAGGCCGTCCGAGGGCGACTGGCAGATCCAGAGCGTGGCATTAGGGAACAAGTATTCCGAATCACGAAGGGGGCGCCTGAGCGAAGCGGGAAGCACGGATTCCGAGATGTTGCTGTACATGTCTTATTCTTGCTACACATACAGACGTTGACGGTGGCTGTTGCGCCGCCCCGACCGCAGGAGACCACGGTTGTAGCATAAGGGACACCTTTCAAGTCGAACATCGCGAGACGCGCTCCGACCTGTTCCTGCTTGGATTTAAATTTTGTTCCTGCGACATCGCTGCTAGGCGACCGGTCGGGGCGGGTGTACTGGTGTATTATCGCTCAGCATATACCACACGGGTCGTTTTTCTAGCATCCGCGAGGCCATCACCCTGCCCCTCCTGGGCATGGGCAAGGTGGTGGTCCCGAGGAAACCACGCTCCGCCCTTGGCCTCAGTTCTAGTCTGAGTCAGGACATGACAAACAGTGAGTAAATCCCATGTCGTATCGAGAAAACAGACTGTGTTTTGAGAGCTTAAGCTGATCGATAAAGGGTTGTTGTTGTCGTGCTGGCCCAAAGCTGCGAGGCTGCAAGTGAACTTTGAAGTTTGAAGCTCGAAGAAATCACGTCCGACATGAGACGCATTTAGCAAAATACAGACAGGGACCCGAGACACCCATACTTTGTTTAAACCCATCTACCAGCAAATCGAACGCGTCTCCGCTCATGATCATCTTGCTCAGCTGCTGCACAAATATTAGACTCGCCTACGCATCATCTGCGTTCAACAGTTGGGCACCGATGATGCGCAGGTAGATATTTGACCTCCTGCGCGTATGGTTGGGTGAAGGCGACATCGAACAGCTGAAGATGAACGGGAAAAGTCTTCGCTGTGTCGGTGCATCCATGAGGCGACTTGGATCATACTTTGGTCGATGGAGAGCGAGGAGAGACCGTCCTCGAGGAAAGTTCGTCTTATCACTGTATGAATAATAGGCGCACGGGACAACTAGATCACAGCAGTGACCGTTGTACACGTACGCCAGCCTCGACGAGGGGGTAAGTATCCGACATCCTTCCGCATAGCGACAACTTTGGCTACTTTATCATGCAGCAGCTGAGATTACTTCCAGAGTATGAAGCCACCCTTCGCTAGCGGTGCAAGTGTGCGCCTTGGCGGGCGGCCACAAGTACTGAGGCATTGCTAAATGGCTTCCCGCCTCTTCAAGGTATGTGGCTGAAAGAGTCAGTTTTTGTGTATTCTGGCTTCCGGTGCTCATCACTCCTTCTAGTACCTTCGAAGGCCTCTCGTTGTGCTGCGCGACAACATGTTGCCTTGCACGAGAGTGGTTTCATCCCGCTGTTTTCCTTTTCCTTTTAGCCAGAAAATGGTGGTCTGGAACTTAAAGCGAAGATGCAGTACGTATGTACGTTATTTCACGCTTTATTCGCGTTCTCGTGTATCGATGAACGCTGCGGTTTTAGGAACTTCCAGGGTATTCTTTGGGCGTCTTGCATAGTCGACTCTTCTGTCTCCTCCGTCCTTATGATCGTGAGTACGGGATTGAATACTGTGACTCTGTCGCTGCTAAATGCTGCCTAGCTTTAGAAATTGTGAGTGCCACAGGTCTAGGAGGATAATCAAAAGCTCACATGATGTCCTTGAAAGCCCAAGGTCGGATGAAGTGTTCGGGGTCTCACTACCTGTACCGTCGGCACGGTGCGGTGACGTTACGCCACATTGTCAAGAAGGCAGTTAGGCATTTCCTGCACGTGGATTCGGACGGTACATTTGCAGCATGCCACCAGCGCTCGTCCTGAGCTGCTCTCAGCCCTCAGCGTTATGGCCCATTCTTCATCGCGGACAGCGGCGGCAGGCGGTGTGCACGTTGCGCCCTATCTAACGCACGTCGTCGCGCACCACGGCCAGCTCACTCTCGTCCCGCCCGACAATGCCGGCAGGATGCGCAAGAGCAAGGAAAGGACAAAGCGGCCGAAGGCGGGTAGGCAGCGCACGGACGAGTCTGATGTCTCCGTCGTGCTAACGGGTGCGTCCGAGAGGCTTTCGCAAGATGTGCGGGCGCGTATTCAAGACGCCGGAGAAGTAGAACCTGGGCCAATTCCGAGGCCGTCAGACAGGACGGCAGAGGAGAGAAGGCAGATCCGCCAGTTATACGATAGTAAGTAGACTTCTGTCAGTTGGTGTATGAATGCTAAATCCTGCTGTTTAGGTGTCAATATTCCGGATTGCCCTCCCCCTACGTTCCAAGAAGCTATCAGTACGCCGACCTTCCCCCACTTCACTGTGTTCCACAACGGATCGGCGGCAGCCTTTGCTTCTCCGTATCTCAACATGCCCTCGACGCTCTCACTTCCTTTGACAATCTGTCCATGCGCACACCCGCCTCCCACTCGTGCTGCATCCCCGCCACCTTCGCCCCCCTGTAACGGGGAAGAACCGGCCGAAGATGATTCTGAGTCTGACTCGGATGTATCCAATATCGAGGCAATTGACCGTTTGAGTGCCTCGCAGACGCGGTGGGAGGACGACCGGCGCATGGGCTTGCCCCTGCACCAAAGAGTGGAGAGACAGCAAGAAAGGTATCTGGCTGGAGGCGAAGCCCCCGGATCACCCGTGGCCACCCGATCTCCCCCACTAAGCCCTTTGCGCTCCCCGCTATCTCCAACAAGCGAACGGCTCTGTGAGCATTGTGGTGCTGGTACCGGCGAATCCTCTAGATCAAATCAAGGGTCTCGCGCGGACTTGAGAGCATCCCAGGACCGCGCAGCCTCCCCCACCGATGCGGCAAGTGAAGCCAAGCGCCTTGCGAGCTCTTCGATGTCGAACCTGCTGTCGCGCCGTCTGCTCAACAAGGCTAAGAAAGGACCGTCGCCTCTAAAGGTGTCTGGTGGCCCCAACGACTTGTCCTCGCCTCTTTCATCTCCTTCCTCGTTTTCGCTCTCTTTGTTCATTCCTAACCGCCCTTCCTCTCCGCGTCCGCAGAGTCCTACTTATACAGTCAAATCCCTCCCGCCGGGGCGCAAGCGAAGAGGCAGCATCCCGTCTCTGCGGCTCTTCTCCTCGATGAAGGGCAAGCAGCGCGAATCCGTCGATCGGCGCGGCAGCTCTGGAAGCTCTAGTGCTGAGCCCGTCGAGTCCTGGGAGATCGTCGACGAGGAAGAGGCAGCGTCTGCCGCGTCCCATGCAGGCTCCTCGCCCTCGCTCGAAATCGACCTGTGCGCCGAGTTCCCCCTCCCACCTGACACGCTCCCGACGCGCCCCCAATCCCCGGCAAGTCCCACATCCGCGTCTGCTACGCAGGCGCACGCGCGCTCGCACTCGGAGCCGGGGCTGGCGAAGATCAAGCGCGCGCTTGCCTCGGCGTCGACGCTGAACTTGACTTTGGGCACGGGTACGAAGCAGGATGTGACGTCGCGCCCATTCAGGGGCCAGCCGACAGTGACTGACGTACCAAGGTCGTCTAGTATCCGTAAGTTGGGGACCATGCGCGACCGACCAGTCCCGCCGCTTTCTGATGCCAAAGAGGCACCCAAGCGTCGTCCACCTCCGCCGCCGCCCCCACATAGGCATGCTATGACTCCGCCCGCCTCTCCAAAGTCACTGCGTCCCCAGGCTTCTAACGCTATGCGCCTCGATTCCCCTGTTCCTGCCGCTCAGCAAAGCGGGCCTTCTCAACGAAGACCGGCGAGTCCTCCTGCGTCGCCTGTATCTCCCCAACAGTCTCCCTCCCTTCGCTCTGAGTCTCCCGCTATGAGTACCTCTACCAAACGAGGCAAGCCACCGCCCCCGCCTCCCCCGCGTCGTGCGGCACATAAGCAGCCAATGCCGAACCCAGCCGATATCGAAGTCGCGAGCCCGACATCCAGTCCGTCAGACTCTTACAGACCATGGGTCTGCAGGTCGGTCAATACTGAAACCGGCGCGATGGAGGGCGCTTCGAGCCGCTCCGAAACTTACATCCCAACGTTGCCGAGCTCGCTGAATTTTGCGAGTGGCGCCGGCGACATTCAGACCGCGGCTGTGACAGATGCTTCCGCGCCATTCAGCCTGACACTCACTCGCAGCGCGGACCCGCGCGAGCCCGACGATCGTGAAACGTTTCCCCCTACCCCTGTTGCGCCTACCGGTGTCTCAATGCAGACCGGGTCCCGATATATCGAGGATTTGCGTCCGCCCTCGCCCGCCTCGCCTGTTATGCTGCATTATTCTCAGTTCCCTCCTCTAGTCTCCACGATGGCTGGTCCAGAGCAGAGACGCTCCCCGCCTAGCGGCTTGGGCCACTATTCTGCTGCGTCTTCGTCTGCTGCGCCTCAAGCTTTCAGTGTCCCTTCTTCTCCGGTTTCCCAACGTTCTGGTCGTCATCATTATCCTGGCAGGCCGCTCCCTGTTCCTCCCTCGGTGCAGTCGCCTATAACTGGCGCTTTCCCTATCTCTGTCAAGGATGTCGGTCCCTGGCGCGAGGAGAAAGTTGCGCCAGGACCGTCTTCTCAGAATGCCAGTCCTAGTCCTGGACCTCGCAGTTCTGACGTGTTCTCTGCCCCTCCTCCGAGCTACCGGCCGAACATCAATCGCTCTACGTCGACACTCGACCAGGCGTCTTCGTCTTCATCGAGTGTTCGTGAAGAACCCGCCCCCGCGCCGAATGTGACAGCCAACCGTGGACTTGCTCCCCCTGCTGGTAGCAGGCCTGCGGCTGAATATGTACCTTACACCGACCTGGACGTACTCCTCGATCGGCTGGAGATCAGAGACGGCGGCGATGGGGGGAGCTACGAGGTCCGTACTGCGTCTTCCGAGAGCCGTAGCGTGCGGGGTCCAACCAATTCTTCCACTCAGGACCTCCTTCTCCTGTCCGACCTCGTGGGCCCGGCGCGCTCTGGTTCGTCGAACGCGAGCGCAGAGAAGGAGAACACGCCCCTTCTGGGGCGCATCGACCTGGAGCGCCGGCGGGTGACGAAGGACGGGCGGGTGAAGCTGAAGCTCACGCTGGCGGGGGTGCCGGTGGATAAGTGCGGGATCTGCCTGTCGCAGTTCAAGGAGGCGCAGTGGGCGGCGCTCGGGGCGGAGTGCCAGCATGCGTAAGTAGTCGGTATTTATCCATTGATGTGTGAGGGTGCTCATTGGGGTATTGCCATAGGTTCCACGAGAAGTGTTTGAGGCCGTGGCTGGCGAGGAAGCAGACGTGCCCGATGTGCCGCAGCTCGCTCTCGCTAGGTAGCTCCTAGGAGTGGTTTCTGAAGGCGTAGGTCTGGGACCTGCGCTTGCGCTGTGTTTTACATCTGGACTTTACAACTGGGGGTCATTTGCGTCGCGTCATCTGTCTGTAGCATCTATCGTCACATTCACGAGTTCTCCTTGCAATTGTAAGCATACCCTCCATCTAGCATCTCATGTAGCGATGTGGCTCAAGTTGTAATGTGCGTCTTGTTATGTAGTTCTCTGATTCGTGGTGTGCTTGTCCCTGTGTATTAGTCGGGTTGTGTAGATGAGTCTAGGCGTTTGCTGTGGAATCAGGAGCTCTGCATGTCTGGTCGATAACTCCCGTCCGGAATTGAGAGCAAACGAGTCCCGTAGGTAATATATTCCGCTGTACGATATATGATACACCACCGACATCTACCACGGGAGCACCTCGCCCTTGTTGTTGAAGAACTTGCCTGAACGCTCGGGGCCGGCGTCGGGTATCCAGCTGAGGAGGAGGTCGATGCATTCGCTGGTGGTGATGAAGGCGTTCGGGCCGCCCATGTCTAGGCTCGCTGGTCAGGGAGGGGCGTGCCCGGGAGAGTGAGAGTGAGACGGGCGTACCTGTTTTCACCCAGCCAGGGTCTATCACGAACGCTACGAGATCTGGCCTCTGCATCGCCTGCTTGTACGTCTGAGAGAACGAAGATATATAACCAGCTTGTGTCACGACGAGAGGCCGGGCGCACTCACGAGCATATTGAGCGCGGTCTTGCTGATGCTGTACGTCGCGTTCTTGTCGCCGAAGTTGAGGCCGATGCTCGCGAGCCCGCTCGTGACGTTCACGATGACTTTGCGCTTGCCCTTCTCGAGGAAGGGCAGGAGCGCCTGCGCGAGCAGCGCCGGGCCGAGGACGTTCACGCGCATGGACTGTATGAATCCCTCGGGCGAGAAGCCGAACGCCTTGTCGTCGCCCTCCGTCTGCGAGCGCCACAGCCAGTCCGGTCCGGTTCTAACCAACAGGGGGGGAGGGACGTACGATCGCGGCCATGTTCACGAGGTAGTCGAGCCCACGGTCGCCCAGGATCTCGGCGACCTGGTCGGCGACGCCGCGGATGCTCTCCTCGTCGCCCGTGTCGAGTGTCACGACGTGCAGCTCGCCCTTTGCGGCTTTCGCTGCCGCCTCTAGCTTCGGCGCGCCCTCGGGGTTGCGGCACGCCGCGATGACGAGGCTCGCGGGCGAGGCGCTGAGCCGCGTCACGAGCTCGAGGCCGATGCCTCTGCTTGCTCTGGCCGCGCAGACGTTTCATTCAGCTTCCGCGCGGTCGTAGGATGGGAGCGCACTCACGCGGTGACGAACCAGGCGGCCTTGTCAGACATGGCGGGGGTACTTGGACGAGAGGGTCAGTAGGGAAAGTCCGTGCGCGCTGGTGGGCTCGGACATTTATATGGATCGCTGTCCCGCTGGCTCAGCGAATGACAAAGACCATGCCACGTCGGGTACGGTAGCGTCGAAGCCATAGCCGCCCCTCGCTGAATTGTCGGACGGGGAATCTCCTGTCCATGTCCAGTGGCGCTCTGCAGGCGTCTTGTGATTGTCAGGCCAGGATTAGAACGGAAGTGGTCGACATAGTGGGCACGGTGCCAGACGACGCATGAAAACATTTGACAAGTCCATTCGATGCCGCAGACTGGCATTGCGACCGCGAAGGCTTCTTAGTCTCTTTAGTATAAGTACTTGACGGTATTCCATGACGACGGACTGGCATTAATGTTGCCACTGTACTATCATTGGGGGGGTTCTGTAAAAACTTGACAATATGACCGGCCAAGGGCTACCTTCTTCATCATCCCCTGTTATTTAACTCAGGCATCATAGTATACCTTCATAAGTACCATCTGCAAAAAGAATGATCTCGATTCACTATGTACAGAGTAATAGGGAGAGATGCCGCAGACAGCAAGGGGCGTGCGGGTTGAAAACCCGTGAAACCAACTCCCTCGACCGCCTGCGATCGGAAGTCATGGGGTCCTACCTACGTAATCGCCTCTGATTGGTCGATGAGCGGCTCTCGCGGCGATGGCGAGACATGAGTTCCCGTAGATTAGATCAGGCGCAGACCTAGTCATTCTCTCCTCATTCTCGACAATTCCTACTACTTTTTACACAGAAAAATACATACAGATATACTAAAGCTTTTTCTTCTTTGCTGGCCTCTCTATTACAGTGTTAGACTCAGCCCTAGCCCTGCGGAAATTGTCAGTAATTGCTTCAACTGCATCTGTATCAGGTAAATGGTGCTCTTCTCGCCAGTTCTGTGTGCTTTCCGGTGCTACTCCCAGCCGAGACTCTTCTGCTGATGAGATGAACATCTCAACCAGCAGCTCTGGGGGAATTTCAAGCTGTAAGGATGCATTGATTTCAGCATGATGACGTGACATTTCTACTTGGTTCTCTTCATTTTGAAGCTCTTTGTCCCTCATATCTCTCGCTCCCTTGCATTTATTCTTATTCCTATGACGCTGGAAATTGGCTAGGCTATCACCAGGAACACCAATATATCTATCACAAAGATCACACTGCACTGAAGGCTTGCCAGTTTTAGGGCTTGGAACAACCTTTAGATGCAGCTCTCCACCAGTAGGACAGTGGTAAGTCAGATGCTTGGATTCCATGGCCTGGTAGGCAGTAACAGCAGCAGAACAGCAGTCAGGAGAACAAAGTAGCAGTTGGTGGGCGGAAAAGCAACCAATCAGCCAGGATCCATACGGATATGAGACTATATACAGTGCTTTCGGAGTCTCTTATAGCATGAGGACTCACAGCCTTTCTTATCGAGGCAGCATCTGCAGTGCGGCATGCTATTTGGGCTCAATCCACCCGAGTTATGCCCACTCAGAGCATAATCTAATCTGCACGCAGCTGTGTTATCGCCAGAGCGGCTCATCGACCAATCAGAGGCAATTACGTAGGTAGGACCCCATGACTTCCGATCGCAGGCGGTCGAGGGAGTTGGTTTCACGGGTTTTCAACCCGCACGCCCCTTGGCAGACAGACGGCACTTGCGGGGAGTAATGTAAAAACATCACGCGCGGGTAACACTATCCGATCCGCGTGCCTTTGTCACGCATCTGTCACGCCCTTGGGCCCTTGGAGTTCTGTAAAATCTACCATATGAGCACTTCACAAGCCTGCAGCTATTATCGGGTGGGCGCAGGAGGTTTACACATGCCAGAAAAACCTCCTCTAGGCAAGCCAATATATGCCGGGGTCGTGTAGGCTGGTAGATCTATCCATCAAGTGACCATCAGACCTGTTACAGTGGGCATTTTGGACGGTGTTCAACCTCCCATACGACAAGGGGCAAACTTGAGGCAATTCTGACTTCACAGACCAACTGTATGGTATACAATGCATATACGTACCAACCCGCTAAGCTCCCTGTAGCATACTTCTCGAGATTTCGGAGTTCTGTAAAAAATCTGACTTTTACAGAACCCCCCCAATGATAGTAACTCGAGGCTTTTCGACACCTCCGAGGAATAGGGGAAGTCACAGTTGGCGTTTTAAGGCCGTTGATATGCACTGACACACAACAATCACCAAGGACCAAAGGAAATAAACCCTAACCCCGTGATATGGGTGAAGGCGGTCCGAGACAACTGAAGGGTATTTTAATAGCTCGAGGGGGAAAGGAGGAGTAAGGCGCCGTAGGGTAGTCCGTAGGAAGACCTAGAAAAATAAAACAACAACCTTGATGCCTGAAACAAACACCAATGGATGCTCCGGAGTATTTGTCTCCGGAAAGTCGCAAACAAAGTCGCAGACCGCAGAACCGAGTGTAGGTCCGGGCCCGCGGGAATAGAAAACGCTAGAGAGAATCGTTTAATTTTATTTTGCTATGTGAGGCTCACCGGAGTTAATTGAATCAATGGCGGAGATAATTCACTCGATGAGTCAGGCCTACTGGCAAAGCTAGGATCGGTTTAAAATTCGCTAAGTTCGACGCTTTCAAACTTCTCGGGTCGCTGAGATCGTAACGCTAATTCTCTGAGATGGGGAAGTCGAAACTTATTTTTCTGTACACTACTTTGTACAATTTATACCACGGGAATGGCTTTACGACCGTCCGGAGATAAATAACAAATAACCGCTGCTACCCACAGGATTGCTCAGCACTTGCCGCCGCTATACCATGTACCATACGACTCTCTTTTACTCCCACTTGCTTATCCCAGCCCCTAGAGGTCACCTCAACGCTCCGCCACCTGCCTTTAAGCAGTCCCATCATTCCGCGCGACGCGCCGGTCACGTGTTAATTACCTCCGGCCGCTTGCTGACTGATGTTAACCTCATGGTGACTCGTATGCGTGCGCACCTTTGGTATCTTGATGGAAATGAGGGGGAGTGAGTGCTGGAGGGTGGGCATGAGGATGACGCCCCTCAATAGAAGTGTCCGCGGATCCCGGAGCTAATTCGGTTAGAAGTCGCATAAGTCGCTCCGGAGCTTCGGTACGCGGAGATAAATCGCGGAATGGGTCCGTGTACGCCTAGAGGATGTTAGGAAGTTCGGAGCTAAGTAGAAAAAGTCTTTTTTAGAGCCCATAGAAGCCTAGAGGCGTGCGAGCGCGGTGTCGAATAAGCTCCGGGGCGCTTGTATGCCGTGCTGAGTCCGCGTTTTCGGGGCTCAGACGATCCTAAGGCTTATCACCGTTTTAGCGTCCGTTTTGCATTTCGTTTTCGACCTCTAAAACGCCTCGTAAAACGAAATCAACTGTGACCACCCCACATAAAATCCGTTCTACGGGCCGTTCAACGCTTCGTTCAAGCACGCGTTTACACAATGTTTACAGCCACTGACTGTAGGCGGAGTTCCAATGTAGAGCCGTGATTCCGCTTTAAGGAACAGCACTCTTTAAGTTGAGATGGTGGATGCTACAGTGCCTTGCATAAGAAACTGAACTAGGTGAAATATCGGCGCTGCGCGGCATGCCCGGGTCCGATTCCCCGAGAGTGCACGGCGGCTCTTTGTCTGACCATTAGATTTCAGAATGTATATACTTGGCCTTGCACAATGGAGGCTCTACTGTCTAATCCTGCAGGCACCATCAGGTGAGGCATACCTACTTACAGTTGTGTAAGAAACTGAAACATCGGGTTACCACTCACATTCTTTGTCCTATGTCCTTTTCGGGTAAGTTAAGATGGCCTCTCGCGAGGCTGGTTTGTTAGATATTAGGTAAAGACTTTGAGATGTCTTAAGGGGCCTCAAAGGGTTGTGTATATTGCACCTCATGTATACTAGACAACCTCAAATAATGTAAAAAGTCATTCTGGCATGTCTACAGTGGTATAAGGAACACTCTGCCCTCTGGTAAGCTTTGCCGCGAGAAGGGTATTTTGAGCGCGGAACGCGGAAACAGTATGTTCAGTTTAAATATGCAAACGTCTGTACATAATACCATGTCGGAGTACTTCCAGACGCTGCCACGGCACACGTCTACCGAAGGCAACGGTTAGCATTGGACCTCAGTAAAGTTTGACAAGATTCACTCACAATGTTTCGGCCGGCCTCCCGGCCGCCAAAACATGGCTCGAGCCTGGGAACAGCAAACATCAGTCATGAATCTCTGCTACGAGATATCAGAGTTAATTCTACACAACACTACTGCCTATGCATTACCTGATCTGCAACTTGCGAGGTATTCACCCGCACACGATGCATGAACATAGCGGCTGCAATCATCTCCGATCGACGACATTCATGCCTCTAAAAGAAGGAAATGCCGGCTCCGGCCGGTCGATCGCCGCTGAAATCCGGGGATAGGAGGTTGCACAGATGGAATCGGGGACGTGCACTGTACTGATAACCGATTCTAGGGGAATCAGAACATCGCATTTCCGCGCGCGTTGTTTGTTCACGCCAAATATACCCTTTTCGGGTAGGTCCGGAAGGCCTCTTGCGAGACCGTTTGCTGGGCAGGGACTCGCAGACGCCCCGAGAGAGCTCAAAAGGCTTCAGAAAATGCATGAAATGTATATTCTACCACTACACTAAAGGCTGTAAATCATTATACTCTGCCCCCAGTTGTGTGCCTAGCTACCCTCCCTCTCAATAGGTCATTTGCCGATACCCGAAAAGGGTATATTTGGTGCGAACAAACAACGCGCTGATATGCACTGACACACAACAATCACCAAGGACCAAAAGGAATAAACCTAAACCCCGTGATATGGGTGAAGGCGGTCCGAGACAACTGAAGGGTATTTAATAGTTCGAGGGGGAAAGGAGGAGTAAGACGCCGTAGGGTAGTCCGTAGGAAGACCTAGAAAAATAAAACAAAATCTTGATGCCTGAAACAAACACTAATGGACGCTC